AGCATGAGTTGCTCGCTGCGAACATAACACTCGGATAGGCAAGAAACCAAAGCATATAGGATGGAAACACGACTCACATATGTTTCTATATCAGCCATCTGACAAAGTTCTGACCATCTGAACTCCTGCGATTCCTTCCATCCGTCATCACAAAATCCCGTACCTGCACCAGTGCCTACGAGTGTTCGAAAACCATGGAAGTTGCGAAAGGATTTGAAGATGTATGGAGTTGGCGACGGACAATGAGGGCCCAGGCAGCCTGAGTAGTCCAGTCTTGGTCCATTCAGCGTATGTTGGATAAGCCTGTTGAGCAATGAGCGCAAGCAATGGCAGAACGAAACAGAGCTTGCAGAGCTGAACGCTGAACTTATCAGACTCATTCGCCACACAAGCCTGCCGAAGTCGCGCCGAAGTGAACTGCCGTTTATGGCGTTGTTTGGCTGAGGCACGCCATTTTTTTCTCCGCGCGTCACTCCGATCTCATATGCAAACGGCTGTAGTGTGCGGCATCCTGTATACACTTGGAGGCGAACTTGGACCCATAGCGTTAGTAGATTGACTTTCGAACCGCACTCCTGTACATGGCAGATCGATAACACTGGAGTAAGGCCTGTATAGGGCTTTTCCCGACCGCGTCGTTAGACGCGGGCGTCCTAGTCACATCGGGACAGTGATTGACGTCAAAGCTGACGGGTGAGAAATGATTGTTCGGATGAGGTGGGGGATGAAACCCTGTGCATTGCAGAACGCCTTTCCGCCGAGCTCCTTTTCGTAGCATCTTCTCATTAATCATTTTCTACCGGGGGGAAAAGGTCAAAGGACCGAAGGAAGTCGACTGAGACAAGGAACGTTTTGGCTCCCCTGATGAGCCAACAATTGACTCACAGAGGTATGCATTATACTTATGCTGAAGAGCAACGTTCCGGACGATCGCTTAATTGGATTCTAGTTTTCCGGAAGGAAGGAAGAGAATACATCCTCAAACTAACGGTCGAGGGTAGTTCCCGTATAAGTATTCGTCGAGCCTAACATAGTTAACAGACGCTGGAGTTACCACACGCACTTTATTATGAGGCAATATTATAACGTTGCACAATCTCAATCCGACTCGTCGACGAGTACACTCGAGTGCGTGCCCAAGCACTCAGGCCTCAGGCCTTCTCCTCGAAGCGTTCATACGTATCGTTTACGAGGCTCTTTTTATACGATTCTTCAATCGTGGCATAGAGCGCGTCGAGGTCGTACAACGCTTTTTCGAGTGTGGCGAGGGCGGAGAGGCCATCTGCGAAACATGTCATAGGAATTAAGGTCAGTACAGCGATGATATCGGAGGGATACTGAGTTGCATGCTCCAGGGTGGGGAAGGGGAGGGATGAGATGGAGACAGAAAAGGGAAAGAGAGGAGGATAGGGGGTGCAGATGAAGGATCGGCCGAACGTACCATACATCTGGATCCGCAGTTGGATGAAGTTCTCCGAAGGATGCGGGACACTATTCAAGCACAAATATCAGCACGATGGAAGGAAACCAGAGGATGCCAAAAGCGAACTAGAGGAAATAGAGATATTGAGAAGGATGAGAAGAATCAACGAATCTAGGGTTGTGCCATGAGGCTATCAACCAGGCCCATGAGGCTATCAACAGTGCAACGAGGCTATCAACGAACGATCACCGTCATTGCAAATCGCAAGGAACACGGAAGCAAGCCTAAAGGGTAGAACAAAGGAATGGAGTGGCGCAGGCCCCAGGTGTCCGTGATGTGGGTAGCGATCGGTACGACCGCCCGGTCCCTACAGTGGTGCCTCGAGGTTACGAGGTGGAGGTGATGAGAGAATGAGTGGTGGCTCAGGGACCATGCGTAAACGAGTGGATATCTGCGACGCTCCTCAGGACAAGATGACAAGATGACGAGAGTGGAGAACAAAGGAAGAAGTGATAACGTCTATCGGTGTGGGTGAAGCTGTGGAATCTGTGGGAGGATCCGACCACCATTTCCTGGGAAACAGTTGTGCTCCTGTGCTTCGCTACGGAGGGGAGGTGATGAAATGGTGGCTCAGTCGCCCAACCACCTATGTACGGGCGAATGGAAATTACAGGAGTAATCCGTGACTCCTCATGTCATACCCGGTTTTACGGCGTCAAGAAGGGGGTGAGAAAGGGGGAAGGCAGGGAAAGCCCGATGAGGAGAAGAAAGGAATGAGCGGCACAGCTGTTCGTTCAAAGTCTCGTATGACAAGATTCGGTACGACAATCCGACCACAATTTGGAACGGGACACCGGCTGTACCCCTGTCCAAGCCTCGAGGCTACGAGGTGGAGGTGTTGAATGAGTGGATCATTCTGTCGGGCCTCGTGTTAGTACTCGTGTATGTTGAACATACAGACTTGAACAAGAAAACCGAGTGTGTGGCGACGAGTACGGGGTGTGTACCACCATACAACAAAGCAATGTTCGTCCGCATGCTACGAGCCGCCGACGAAGGCTTAATACCATCATCGTAGAATGTTTCACAAAACCCGACGGGGAAGCTCGTCGTTAGACGTGCGAACTAGAAGGGCGCAGTGTACCTACCTCCCACAAGTGGCGGGTGTGAAGACAGAAGACGAGGGTAATTTCGGTGAGCGAACCGATGTACCCGGTGAAAACAAAGCAGAGAAAGAGGTCTGGAGCTCTGTGAAATCACTTTCTGACGTTCAAAGCATCCGGTACTAGACTATGTTGTTACACGCTGCGGATGTTCGATGAGCAGGATCAACCCTGTCGGGTGTGGCGGTAAGACGGGAAGAGTCCACTTCTAGCGAAGAAAAGCGATCCGGGCCAAGTAGTTGAATCCTCATAGTGGATAGGGACTGAAGATGGAACAGTTGTACGGCACGGACAGGGGCCCTCGTCGCTACGCGTGTAAAATATTGGGCAGTCAAGAAGTTGGCGCTTGTTGGTGCCACAACACGAGAACGGCGGGTTCCCACAGCAGTCTTTGACCCGCCATATTGGGGTGACACAAAACAATCACAGAAGAGTCGTATCCGTAGGTTCTTGAGATACGTGGAAAACAGAGACCGAAGAAAACAATAAGAACAAAAGTTGCTAGCTCTCACCTGTATCCACAGAACTCTACATTCGGGCTGCAAGTAGATCGCGGCTTTCAGTCTCAGTTGTTAGCTGTCAATGAAGGTACCGCTACGCACTTTTTCATAATAATCCATCTAAGCGCATTCCCCATTGTGTGTGACTCGTCAAAGATTTGGAAAGTCGCCGCTGAGAGATCTGGCTCCGCCCCCTTCATCTGAAGACCAGTGTCATTCGAGCAATTGTGGCAACACGGCGATATAGCTTGCGTCAATAAGACTTTGGAGACGATATAGTAGGATTATTGGCGACATACAATTCGTAGTTTAGGTGTGGGTTCGGCCATGGTAGATGGATAAATCAAAGGTAAGTCAGACGAGGAGCATTGCAGGAGAAAATCAAGAGAAAAGTTTGTTTCTGGATTGTGACGGTTCGTGGGAAAAAAGTGACCGGCATTGTTTTGTCACGCCTCGTCAGACATTCGCCTCTTTCCTCTCCTCCTCGTCTTGCTTGCTTCCACCAGTCTACCAGCTTCTTCATTCCACTGTGTACTGGGTACATGTTTCCAGCAAAGGACCAACATCCGTGGCATTGGCCATTTTGAAATTGACCTCTGTGTTCGTCGCGCATAGCCGCCATTTCCAAACCCGTCGAACAAAGGAAGTCTTTTGTGCACCCCGCACAAAACCCACGCATGCTTTGTTCTTCGGACTGTCGGGTGCTCTCATCGATCCATGAGCACTCCGCGGCTACGAGCCAACACGTCGAGTCCGTTTGTTGATCACGGCAAGCGCGACTTTGTCAACGAATCTCGCTTAGCTGTGGAACTTAAGGTATACGAAATATAAAGCTGGCGCTCTGTGGCTCACATGGAGCCATCCCGCCGTCCGACAACACCATTTCTCCCCTGATTCAAGTTTCCCCTATTGGACTGTTCTGCTTGTCTTCTTTAGGCTTCTTCCTGTCTTGTACTTCGTCTATCTAGATAAAAGGCAGGTCTTCTGGTGTAAACTGTAGCTCTCATCTTCTTGCTGGAACATCCCTTCCTGCCTCTCGAACATCCCATATACCTTCTGGTCGTAGTCGTGCGCCTCTTCCATCTGTATTCGATACTGCTTCGAAGTTATATTTATCATCCCACCAGCACGCCTATCATCTTCGCCATCACATCACTATCGCTGTATCAATGGCTTCGTCATCTTCTGCATCATCGAACTCGTATTCCGTCTCCTTCGAGCGGCCGATGCTCCCCTCTCTTCGCTCCCTCCATCTTCCTGGATACAATGACGGTTCCCATGGCTTGACTGATGTATGTATCTACCAAAACTCATCACACGGCCATGTACTGATCACTTCCATAGGCCTCCCTGCTGAGGGAGAGCGGCATTGCTCTGCCCATCTCGAAGGCTGAAGATGTCCGCACACGCCAATTCTCCATCGCCTCCACCTGCACAACTACCTCTCGTCTCTCCTCATCTCCATCCTCGTCCTTCTCTACCGCCCCAACGTCTCCCTCCTCCTCACCACCACCTATGCCGATGTCGCCCTCGAAAATCTGCACACCCTCATCTTATCATCCCACCTGCTCTCGTCGCGCCAAAGCCATTCCTCCTGTCAACCTCGGCTCTGCACCAACTACCACAACCGCCACCGCCACAATCGTCACGAACAGATGCTCTCACGTACGCTTCCGTCTCGAGATCGCAGACTCTTTCGACAATGCCGACGCCGCCGTGATCTTCCCTCCACCCACCGCTCCACATATCCCTCACGTTTCCACTATCTCTACGTCCACATCCACGTTTTCCCTTCCTTCCCCTCGGGCCACGCCTCCTCCTTCTGTTGGTCCTCGCTCCTCCTCCTCCGCTACTTGCACCGGTCTGAGGCCAAGGATCGCCGATCCGCTTCTGTTACTTGGTCGCAACGGATTGAGATACCTAAGGTCTCCGGAGTGCAAGCTGGCGGCGGGCACGAGGGTCCATCCATATCGTGTGGTCGTTGCTAGTGTTGGCGGGAGGGCACGGACGCATGCAGCTAGGCCTCTGCGAAAGACAGGTACAAATGGTGCAGACGCGGCGGTTTGAGCGTTTCATATGATTGTTCGTGAGCTGGTGAGATGTGATGAAGAAGATGAGAGCGATACTGGCACTCCCCTTTGGATTGTTGATAGAGCGTAGCTGCTCGCACATGTGGGCAGCGATTTACGTGTCCCTCTAGGTTCGTATACTTATTTCTTGTATATTGTCGTGGTTCCGAGGGTTGTTGAAGGGGATGTATGATCTGGTTGCAGAAACATGGGGAGAATTGTTCGTGCTATTTCTCGCTACTAACACCAAATAAATGATGGTGTACTATCTTTCGTGGACATACTTCGTCTATTCGTCTTCCTACTATTTGTTCATCTTACGGGACATTTTCTTGAGTCTCTGTACGATGTGCACTATCTATTCATGTATCTACTATCTAATTTCTTCTTCGAATGGATGTATTACAGCTTCTTCTCTGATTATCCTCTCTCACTGTTTGACCTGTTTATCGAAGTGGCTTGCCTTTCTCGTCTTAGAGAAAAGCACAAAGGCGAGGCACAGGTGGAGCTTGTGCGGTGTCTATTGTCCATAGTCAACCAACGGAGTTCTTATCTAAGAGATAGTTTTGTCCGCTGCAGTTGCAGGCGTCCGTGTTATTGTCTCGAGCCTCAGCTACTTATTGTTTCGTCTGCTGCGGCGTAGATCATGGACGTACAACAACCGCCTGCACATACTGCAGCATTGACCATAGACTTTACTGTTATGACTCATGCATGAAAAGACAATACTGTGTGGCATGCTTCAGACGTCTCCGATGGTACTTGAATAGATTTTCAACCATGACAGTAGGCCGTGCATACATTATACGTTTGTAAGTGTTCGTCCTCATCCAGTCCACCAACACAATGTTACAACCTCGTGGAGACGACATGCAGGGAGAAGTAAGGCACCACACAATCCGCTCCGAATCCAGAGCTCTCCGAAGGATCTCGATAATTTGGGTTTGAGATCCAACAGTGCTTAAAAGTCTGTATTAGGGCGTGTAACAATACAAGAGCAATACTTGCAATTGCTACTATGCAAGTACCACACTGCATGACATTCAGTGAGCGCCATTTAGAACTACAGATTCGTCGTCCCCTACTTACAAAAGATGTAACGCCTCTGTGGGAGTTTCAGGGATCAAAGAATCGTTCAGCGGAGCTAAAATCACCCAAAATTTGGGAGGCGTATCATCGTGAAAGAGAACTTCAGTAGTGCTGATTTTGGTAAATCTGTATACCTTTATACCGAAAACGAGGCTGGCGAAGACCAGGGGTACGGCAGATGATGCAGCATTGACTGGTTCATACCTAACGACATGTGTGTGCTATATTCCCCGTACCTTCAGAACAGCATATTTTATACCTGTCCCACACATCGAGAATACGTCGAACGGAGTTCTAGCGTAACGGACGCCTGAATAGACTGTCGAAAACTTGGAGTGCGGGGACTATTCGTCGCTGGCGTAGACTGGCAGCTACCTACCTCATATTTCATTGGCGACCGTTTACTTACATGCCAATCGTGAATGACTTATATGGCTATGGCGCGCAATTTGACGAGGACAAAGACGTACTTATCTCGTCTACTCTTTCTTCCATACTCATAACTTAAACGATGATGGAGGAATAGATGGTTCGAAGTTTCTCGTGAAAGCCTCGCGCAGAGAGCATGATAGTTTATATGCTATCAGAACGTCGGGTGCTTCATGAGTATCTCGCCGCCCTGTGGGCTAAATGGAGCTACAATCGGCGCATATAATTTCCAAACAAGCATGTATGAGTTCCCTGATAAGCAGTAAAAACTTGGGTTTTGATTTTCTAAAAGTTAAGAGCCTCGGAATTTGAGCAAGCAAGAGGTGCGAAGTAATAGTCTACAGCAAAGTGTTATCATGAGAACAGGAAAGCTCGAAAAACAAGCGAGCAACAGAAAGCATAGGACAAAGCAAAAGCAAAAGCAAAACACGAAGCACATGCATAACAATGGTGATATCAGGATTCAGCGCTATCGAAGAAGATGGATAGCCTAACTAGTAACCAACGGATGCCGTGAAACGACACCACCCGATTCGTTACGGTCAGGACGTCAATCTTCCTAGGAAAAACAATAACAACAATGAATTCTCAGTCACAGGGTGTCTGAGTAAATAGAACGACAAGGAAGTCTTACCTCGAGGCTTCTGGCGATGCAGCCAGTCTCAAAATGTAAGCTGAAGGAGAGGCTGAATGCTTCCCGTCGAAACCCAAGTGAGCCCTATCAAGACGACGTTTGAATCGGTAAGACGTTGTCCGCTGATAACGACATTGTTTTCCTAAAACCGATTGCATCTGAGACAAAGCGTTGGATGTTCCACTTTGCACGTACCCTGAAGAACGTGGAGATGGCAGATGAAACGCGCTTAACCATGACGTCAAAGGTGAGCATCCTTCCGCCTTCGACGAGTGGAATCTGCCGATCATGGCCATCCCTGAGACGGACGTCGGTGATACCCAAGGGCTGGAGAGGGGGTTATATTTTTGGTTGTCGAAAAATATAATTATCTCATTACGCACCCGTATTTGTATCTTAACGGTAGTGGCTCTGTCAAAAAAGCACATCGAAGTGCTGTAATCGTAGTTCGACCTGAAGCGGCCAGCCTTCCCATCGCGCAAGAGAACTCCAGCTTCGTCTTGGCCGTTCACAGCGTTGCGGCCAATGAAGTAAAGCCGGGCAGAGCGAAGATTATTAACATCTTGTCTCCCTCTGCCCTGGTACGCGACGTAACGGGTTTGGCGTAACATGGGTTTAGTGGGGATGATATCCGGGAGTGGGAATAGTGCCATCAAATTGGGTGAGGGTGCAGGCGTTTGTGCAAGAAGAAGCGCGACTTCCTCTGGACTGAATGTTTGCATGAGGGAGGAGTAAAAGTATAGTGGGTCGCACTGTACGAGCACATTCATGAAGGGGCGTGCAATGTAAAAATCAGAACCAGCTCACCATTCTGACCATTGTAGGGAAATTTTTGAGGTTGGGAGGTGGAGCTACCACAGTGTGAAAACCCGACAGGGGAGAGGGAGGGGAGGGATGTACCACCGTCTCCTCTAACATTTTTATACACAATGAAGCGGCATAATTACAGCTAACGCGCAACTCGCTCTGCAAATTCAGCACTACAGATGTTAAGGGTGACAGAGACTGTATCATCTATGAACAGCAGTAGAGCCAGCTGTATGAGGTTGAAGATACATACCGTTCCGATTGGAAACCCCCGACATTAGCTAAACGCATCAGCATTGCACATTCTTAACGGAGCGTAACCAGAACCGAAAGGCAGATGGGACGGTCGATGGTGCAGCTCCGAGCAATAAGGCAAAGTCGCGAAGGACATGCGCATACTAGGAGTATGGTTCATGAAACATCGCGCTATATAGCATCGTGATACTTTCCGTGGACAGTGCATTTACAATGATCTCTAAGAGCTTGCACCGATATATCGAAATATGGGTTGTGTAGTGCTTCAGTACAGCACATCCTACATCTGCAGCGGGTCAGATTATGCGGCTGTGTCGAGATCTCACAGAATTAGTAGTACGCCGTCAGCTGCATAGAGGCATCAAACTCTAAGAGCTGTAGTCTTGTATGAAGGAGCTGTATTTCATGTCTTCCTGTCACTGTAAACACCTAAGAAGTTGGAAATATGACAGAACTGGAGGGTCAAAATAACCAAGGTTAAGTCCTACGAGTTCGTCCCGATGTCAGCAGTAATCCTGGCAGCTGTATGCGCCCAACAGAAAGATCAAATGACATGTATAACCCCATTTGAAGGTCTCTCCTAGCTGTATTATGCCCACGCACCTAGAGTAAGCCGTCGCCAGAAGTTTCTGTACGTCCTGGTATGGCTGAGGTGAATCGAGGACAACAGACTGCCGAAGGATACGGAGTTTAGCGCCGTTCACCTTCGCAAGACGACTGGTGGCGCCCTCTGCAGATACCGACCTGAATATTCTTTTCCTCAGCCCTGTACATGTCATGTTCTGTCGTTTCCTTCACCCGATTTCTTTTTTTTTTCGCCAAGAAACATTCCTTATTCTACTTCATCTCCTTTGATATCATCTCGATGCTCTCCGCCACTATAGTCCCAGGTTAGCTTCGACCCCGACGTGAGCAGGCTTGAGGACCATTCGATATTTATCAAAACAATGCGGGGAAGAGAGGGGTTTTCGTAAGGGATGTAGAAGAGGTGACCGTGAACAAGACTTCAATGTTAAGAATCGACGAACGACGGAGATATATCCTAGAGACAGGGAAAAATCCGAAACACCAGCACGCAATGCTTCGAGCACGGAAGGTCATGCAACCATGCGCAAGTAATGCTCCGATAATCAGCACAAAATTCGGGATAGTCAGTCAAAATACGCGTTTTATCAATATATGTATATCGCTTGAGTGAAAATGGCCATGATTGTACCTCTCCTATCGCTGGAATTTCATATTACCCTGTATTCACTGTGGAAGTGTTAAACCAGGGCACTCCGGCAGCCTGAACGCCTTGTCGATCCTTCTCAGAGCCAACTATAAATATTCATGAATATTCAGTCTCACCATCTACGACTGTAACAGAGGAACAGAAGAGAAGACATAAAAAGGAGAAAGAATAGAGCGGACGTAACAAAAGAGGAGGAGAAAAGGACGCTCACCTTCATCTCGTTCTCCGGAAGCGTGAACGTCATTCGAAAACGAGTAGGGATCGGATCTGCATACGTGTTCGTCGGACGCTAAAACGAAGTGAACGGGAGGGAGATGGACACCATGATGATGTCGGTGAGACGAAACAAAGGCAGCTCCAGGATAGAACGTACGATAAACACACCCTGCTCAAGCATCGCAGCTACCGCATTATCCAACCTCTCTTCATTCGACAGCAGCATCCCTAGGCCGGAGCCATCTGAACTGGGTCCATGTTTCGGCATGATCGAGTCGAAATCGACTAGGAAGAAGACGCCTGCGGAGGGCGGGACGAAGCTGAGGAAGAACATCACATCAACAACGAAAAACACAATCATGCAGACTAACTGGTCATGAAGAATTGGAAACATACTCGATCTTATGGAACACACACCACGCACCCACCAACTCAAACGCCACACTCAACCGCCTCCTATTCTCCTCCAAAAACCACCTCGCGAACCCTCCCAGCCCCGTCCCCAGCTCTTCACTCTCACCCTTTCCCTTTCCCTCTCCATTCCGATTCCCACTATCCTCACTCTCCAACTCTTCCTCAATCTCCCCACATAAAACCCCCGTCATCAACCCATCCGCCGCACTCGACACCGGCGTCGCCCTCAGCGCCGCATTCAACATCGCTACCAGCACCGGGTTCGCCTGTGAGACCAGCGCGCCGACTTTGATGCCTGAGGCGCCGAAGGTTTTCGTGGGGCCGGTGAGGACGTGCACTCTCGCTGTGTCGACGTGCATTCTCGAGGGGTCGCATTTGCCTGAACCATTGAGGTCGAGACTGAGGATGGAGGTGAAGGGCGTAGGGGAGGGAATGAATGAGCTGGGGAAGATTTGGTTCGCGAAGGCTTCGTCGACGAGGAGGTGTAGGTTGAACTGATTTCTCCGAGAAGACAGAAGGCATTAATACCGACGTGAGTATGTGCGCATCTTTGATGAGCGTTTGTAAGATTGCGCGAAGAATGGGGAGATGGGCACCTCTTCTGCGATCTCCGCATACGCCAACACCGTTTCCTCAGGATACGCTCTCCCCAGTGGATTATGCGGATTGCATAACAACAACACCTTTATCTTCGTCCCGTTCCCGTTCCCATTCCCTCCCCCATCAGAATTTTCTAGAGAGTCAATGATCGTCTGTCTGATGAAAGGAATACACTCGATAGAAAGCGGGTCGACAGAGGCCGGAATGTGTGCCAAGACGAGTTGAGCGCGCGAGGGGTAGATGATGTCGCGTTCATATTCGTCTATCCGTTAAATGATAAATGATAAATGATTCATCAGCTGCTCGTGTTCTCTACCTCAGGCTAGAGTGAGAGCGAGTTAAACGGACCGTAGAATGGCTGATTTATAATGCACGACACCATTGACAAGTCAGCAAGCAGCTTTGAAGACGTGGAGTTATGGATTCACCGTGGTGAGCAACACGCCGTCTCCCTCATCACACACCGTCCACACGAAATGCGCGAATATAGACCCTAGGCCGGGGCCGATGACGACCTGCTCGGAGGTCACGGGGGTCAGAGGATGGGCGTAGGTGTTTATGTAGAGGGGAAGGGCGGAGAGGAGGGAGGGGGTGTGGGATTTGAGGAGGGATGCGCCTGTGTCAATGAGAGATGTCAGCCATTCCGATTTTGTAGTGCGAGGTTGACGTGGAGTGGTAGGGCGATGATGTAATGCGGGAGAGAGAGAGAAAAAAAAGAAACGAGATACACTGACGATACTTCAAATGGTTCCTAGTCAAATCACAGTGCCCATTCATATACTGCCACCACGCGATCCATCAACAATTCAGCGTGAAATCAGCAACAAGGCAGAACAAAAAGAGAAGAAAACCAAGACCAACCTTCAACAACTCATCGCACATCAGCCCGTTCTCTGCCGTCGCGAGATTGATGACCCCGTCCGGGTTATGTATCGCGTCGTAGAATTTGCGTGTTGATGGAATCGTGCTGTATTTTATATTTCCATTTCCAGGCCGTTCGGAGCGTAGTTCGAAACATCAGGCATAAGTATGGGATTAGAGTCAGGAGCGATGCGAGCGAGAAGACATGAGGAATGAGAAGTAGGACTAGGACGAGGAGTAAGACGAGGACTCACTATCGCGTATATAGATCATTCTCGAGCCGGTTTTGCGCTCTTTGGGATAAAGACGGTGGAGGCATGTCAATCAAATGAATCTGGCCCAAGTTCAAGCTCAAGGTCAACAAGTAGAGGATCGGGGTTGAACGAGGAGAAGTCAGAGCTTGAAGCCCGTATCAATGTCGAAGCCGTAGCTCAGAGCGGGTTAGATGGAGACTGGAGACGGGGGTTCAACTGCCCTGCCAGTGAAGTGTGAAGATACGTTTGTGAAGCTTTGAAGCCCGAGGGAGCTCTTCGAGCTGTGATTGAGATATGTGTATATGGTGCAAGATAAGGCTGTCGGAAGGCTAATGGCCCAGATATCGATATATCATATGCAGAGCGCGGCGGCTAGGTGACGACTGCGAGCGAGCACTAGGACTGGCAGTAACACTGTACTGTAGCACTGTAGCGGTATCTCAGACTTCCCTTCCAGAGCTCGAAAGAGACGGTTCGGGAAGAGAGGATTGAGAGAGGAAGACGAGATAGCGAGATGACAATCGCTGCCAGTTGAGAGAACCTCCGCAGTCACAGGGCCACAACAACCGGCCCCCCGATAAGTAGGACAAAATTGCAGAGGTGCCAATACGCATGGCCATGGAAGCGATGAAAAGGAAAATCCAGGAAGTCAGAGCTGAGAAGAGAAGAAATTGAGAAGAAATAATATAATTACGCTTTTCACCAATCGTGAGAAGTGTCACTGTGGCACCGTGCGCCCCTCTCCGGCAGAATCCGGCCCGCTACACGCCACGCCACACTTCCAGCGCGAACGACACTCGTCCTCCTTCCACCACCACCACCTCCTACCACCTCCCACTACTTCCCACTCCCTCCTCGTCCTACCTCCACCTCTCCCCCAATACACCTCACGACTCTCTCCCAATAAGCACCCACAATGTCAATGAAAGCCTACCTCGCCGAGAAATACATGTCCGGCCCGAAAGCAGACGCCATCCTCGCCCGCGAACCGACCAAGAAGAAAAAGAAACGTAAAGCCGCTTTCGAATCGCCCTCCTCCTCTTCCACCTCCGCCTCCACGTCCACGCATAGTACGATACCAAAAGGATATGGAGCAAAGATAGTAGATGAGGATGAGGCGGGCTGGGCGAGTTTGAATGCGAAGGATGAGGATGAGGATATGAAGGATGCGGTCGTCGCGTCGGATCGGGGGTTCAAGAAGCGGAGGGTCGGAGGTGGTGCAGCCGAGGGAGGTAAAGGACCAGGAGGAGAAGGTGGAGAGGAAGATTCGGGCTGGGCGACGATTCGGGAACCTACGCCGCCATTGCCTGTGGATGAAGAGCCGATGGTCGTGGATACGAACGGCGGTACAGAAACGTCGAAGCCTGCTTATCGAGGAGGATTGTTATCTGCGAAGGAGCTCGCTGTGCGTATGGCAGAGGCTTCTGGCGATGCGGACGTCAAGATGTCGAAGGAGGAGGCGGAGCGAGCGCAGGAGACGGTGTATCGAGACATGTCGGGGCGGAAGATCGATGTGAAGGCGGAGAAGGCGGAGGCGGCGAGGAAGAAGCGGGAGAGGGAAGAGAGGGAGGCGAAGAAGATGGAGTGGGGGAAGGGGCTGGTGCAGCGTGGGGAGGAAGAGGAGCGGAAGAAGGAGCTGGAGAAGATTAAGGGGAAGGAGTTTACGAGACGGAGGGACGACGAGGAGATGAATGCGCGGTTGAAGGACGAGAACAGGTGGAACGATCCTATGGCTGCATTTTTGACCGTGCGTTTCTTGTTTTCTGTCTTTGAGTTGAGGGTGTTGACGATATGATATTATGTTATAGAAAAAGCGGTCGAAGGGACCACGGAAACCAGAGTACACAGGCCCTGCACCACCGCCGAATCGCTTCGGTATCAAGCCTGGATACAGATGGGACGGTGTCGGTGCGTGTTCCCCTTCTTGAACATACACTCTGACCAAGCTATAACATATACCATACCCTACAGATCGTGGCAACGGCTTCGAGAAGAAACTCTTCCAGCGCACAAACGAGCGTAAACGACGAGGCCAGGAGAGCTACAACTGGAGCGTGGACGACATGTGAAGGCCTCCATGCTATTTTATTTATCTTCTCAGGCGGACGATGCTCGTCACCGTTTGGTCATTACTGGGATGTATTTCTACTCTATCTGCTCTGGCAATCTACCCGCGCCTTTATTGCTCTCGTCGGAGGATTCGCCATCTACTTCCGCATACCAATAACTATCACCCCCAAGTCCTTTCTGTCTGACGTTGCGACCAGCAGGAACCTCCACACACGATATATGCGACATATCACCTTGTCCATCATCATGCATATACGTATACTCACACCCTTCGTATCTCCGTGTACCTGCTCCCACTAGCCCACAGCAAAAGCGCATACATCCTTCATATGTACAGCTCCCTACATGCACCCCAACCCACCCCACCCCACCCGGCCTCCCTCGTCGAACAAACCACCCATCTCTCCATCGCTCCATCACCGAACACGCGTATGTATCACCTCGACCTCGACTCCACAACTCAGTACTCAAGAACCCACCCTGACTCAAGACTTCAACACTTCAAGACTGAACAACCCGAAACCCGACCTGCCACTTCTCCCCCATCGGCACGAGCCGCGTCGTTCCCCAGGAAAGCTCGAGCGTTTCCCCATATGGCCATGGTTTGAGGTCTTTACCAGAGGTTTTCGTATCATTCTCGGTTCGGTGGCACAGAAGACGAAGAAGGTGGGAAAACGCACCACATCGGAGCGAGTACGCTGCTCCGTCGATTAGGAACGAGCGGACGTGGGGAGGGAAGGGCGAGTGGAGGTGTTGGAGGACGAGGTGGGAGAGGAGTTTCTGTTTTATTAGTTAGAGTTGAGATAGGAGATATGAGGGGGTGGCTGGTGGGGGTGGTATGAGAGGTGGATATGAGGAGAAGTGAATGAAGAAGGGGGATATATGCGCAATAGGTGGATATATGCGGTTTCACGCACCGAGATCTCGAGCTGAAAATTCGTATATGCCGCCCCTACGTCAATTTCTCTCCGACGCTGGTGCTCAGAGTCACTACCAACATACGTATAAGTATAAGTATCGTTCAGTTTCAGATTAGTCTTTCCGTCGACGACATGCCGGTGACGTACCAAGTATACACATAGACCGAAGTAAAATAACACTGTGACCACGATCCGCCCTCCTGTTCGAAAACTCTAGTTGAGTGCGCGCCGTGCTCGCCGTGCGAGTGCTTCGGGTTTGAATTGTCTGTCGACAGTGCTGTTGCGGAGGGAATAAAAACGAGCGCGGGGTCGTTGAGGGTGAAGAGGAGTGGTGGCGGAGGTGGGGCGGGCATTTATTTGTGTTTTATGTTGGATGATCAGATGGAATGTGCGATGGATTCAAACGTCTCTGGGGAGTGTGAACTCTGAGGCTTTCTCAGAGTCGGACTAGGAGTTTAGGGAGGAGGATGTGGCGACAACGAAGAGGATCCTAGTGGCGTATTAATATTATAGCGGAGTCCGAACCCCTGTGGCGTTCCGCCGTTCCTCCTCCTCGGGTCCCGCCACCGTGACGATACCCGGCCCTTGCGAGGCATTCGGTCCCATTCTGTCCTACCATCTTTGGACGCAGGATTAGGTTATGCCTGTCATGGAAACTGTCATGCGTAGAGTTTTCACACTCCCAGGCTCGTGCTGTTTCTCGGACCCTCAAGGCCTCAGGCAGGCTTCGAACTTGAGTCTTGACTCTGCATCGACTGGTCTCCAAGCACTTCGTCGTCGTTTGTTACAGAACGAAAACTTATCCAGGTTGCTGTCTTTGAGCTTTTGCGGTGAACTTGACTCTAAGGAACATTCTTCAAGCTCGGTTCGTAGAACCTTCGCGGTAGTTACTATAACTTGAATCTCGATGTCAGTGTTTTATAAACTGGCTTGTCTGCTGGGATTTGCCTGTCTTGTGAGGGTAGCTCTTATCTGGCGGAATGCGCTTAATACGCTCCGGTACGTCAAGTTCCCATTCGCCTCGTTCCCGGTCGATGCTTGCGAGACTGCTGTGGTTGAACCTTCTTGACGAGAGTTTTGTTCCCGAATTGCAGCCGCGTAACTTGACTTACTTGCATATACCTACTGTACATAGGAACGTCCCGGGGAAACAAATACAGTGGCTCGATCCTGTCCATCCCCTCGCGCTCGTCTTTGGATCGATCTGGCCTAATTCAAGGACGTTGGGATCATACTACTCCAAGTTCACGCGTACGTCCCCTGCCTGCCTGCCCTCCCCCTTCCGCTTCCTTCAATTCCTGTTGATGTCCATATATCTTTCACGTTTGATGCGTCGCAGCCTACGAACAATACGGAAGCACCTGTCTTTCCGCATTCGGCCCTCTTTCTGGGAGATTGTATTACTGGCTTGCGGACGCGGAGGCCATCAAGGTCGTCACTGGGGACAGACATACGTTCCAGAAGCCATCGGTGCGTCTTCATCCCTCTTCCTCCCTCTTCCTTTGAGTCCATAGATAAGCACCTGCTTCTTGCTACATGTCGGCTGTTTCGCAATTCTGAAGAATATGGCTGTGATGAGGAGCTGAATCCGAAATGAATCTACCCCTTTACGTAATGTTACCTTTGCTCGACGCGGTTGATAGTATGAGTTTGTGAACGTGTATGGAAAGAGCCTGTTGAGCGCCGAGGGGGCAGAATGGAAGAGACATCGGGCGGTGGCGATGCCTTCGTTTAATGAGGTATGTCATCTTCTACATAGATCTTCTGTGTTCCTTCTCCATTGAGTCCCATCTCAGAAGAGGATTCATCGTTCGACGTTGATACTAACGAAATATACATACAGGCAAACAATGCACTCGTATGGATCGAGACGATTCGTCTGATGCGGGAATGGTTCGGTGAGCTAGACGTTGTGACGAGGGAAGGAGATTACGTGCTGGATTGTGTACCCGCCCTAAGTCAAGTAAGGCTCATGAGCATATACCTCCTGCTTCGAGTGGAACGAAGGGATAATCCGCGTCTGAATTGATAGCTCACCCTCCTCGTCGTCTCCGCCGCCGGTTTCGGAATCCGCACCTCCTGGTCTTCAGTCCACCTCTCCGAGTCATCTACAGCATCACCCTCCGAGTCCTTTCTCACCAGTCCCAACCACACGCGAACACAGACAGAGATAGAGACACAGGCCGCCCTGCCATTCTCGAAATCATTAATCACAGTCATCAACACCCTCTCCATCAAAATCCTCACCCCGACCTGGCTCTACGCTCTCCCGTCATGGGGACCGTTAAAGCCCAGGATCCCATGGTTGTCAGATAAGTTGGACGAGACGAGGGAAGCGTATGGAGAGTTTAGGGGGTATATGTTGGATATTGTGGCTAGTGCGAGGGACGAGTATGTTTTGCGTGGTAAGTGTGCGGGCGTGGGTGGGGATGGAGATGGAGTTCCGGTGGGGAGGAGGTCTAATTTAAAGGGAGGCGATGCGGCGTTGTTGAGGAATTTGGTGAGGGCGAATATGGAGGAGGAGGCCGATGGGGATGTGGAGGGTCGTAGGGCTAAGGATGGGAGGGATGAAGGAGTGAAGAAAGGGTTGACGGAAGATGAGTTGTTGTCTAATGTTTTCGTGAGTCCTCACTCTTCCTGTTCGTGAATCGTAGTTGGCATTTTTCTGACTTCATGGATTGCAGACGTTTCTCCTGGCTGGACATGGTACGTACTGCACTCATGCGCCCTCTACGTTCATCATTTCGTCGGTTTTAATACCGAACCCCATGTATGGCACAGAAACGTCGGCGAATACGCTCAGCTTCGCTCTTGTCCTGATCGCACTCCATCCTGAAGTCCAACAAAAGATGTATGAGGAGAGTATGCGAATTTGGCCGGAAGGCTCAGATACGACGTCTGAGAACTTCACATCTGTATGTTTCTACCCCCTCCTCCTCTACACAGCACACGATTTATACTACTTCTATTCACAGACATTCAAAGATGACTTTCCGAAATTCGTGCGTCTTTGTTTGAATAAAATCATGACACTTTGCTCTTCATTCTAACGGACTCTTATTATAATTGTCTCCCCATATATCCCGCCATTATAGGAATACACCCTCGCCACATTCCGCGAAACCCTCCGTCTCTTCCCCGTCGAGACCCGCCTTCCAAAGGTCACAACCTCGGACACGAAACTCACAGGACGGAGATTCTCGAAGGCTGATCTCGTAAGTTTTACGCCTGATGCGATCTCCAAAGGTCTTAAAGTTTTCGAAAATGGAAGAAAGGAGGAGGGTGACAGTGTCAGTGGTGAACTTGAAGATGGTGGTACTAGTGATGGCCCGAGAATGGAGAAGTTCGAGATTGCGATCCCGAAGGGGAGTTCCATTCTCATCGATTGTTATGGGGTGCATAGGAACCGTACGTCCCCTCTTCCCTCTGAATCCCTTATGGACGACTCTGAATTTTTGGTACCCATCGTAGCGATGTATTGGGGAACGGATTGTAGAGACTTCAGGCCTGAGAGGTTTATAGATACTGAGACATATCGTTGGCCTCGGGATGCATGTGCGTATATATTCATGTATTATATCCTTATGCTCATCACCCTACGTTAACGCTCTTCTTCATAAATACCTCTTTATCAGTCCTAGGCTTCTCCGCTGGCGCTCGCGGCTGCATCGGTGCACGATTTGCGCTGACCGAAGGCATCTGCATCCTCGCTCTTTTTGTCCAACGGTTCGAAATAATCCCTCCGCCTGAGGTGGTTAGGATGGAAAAGGAGGGAAAGGGGTGGGAGGAGAGGTTTAAGTGGATGACAAGGTGGGCACCGGAGATTACGATTCGGCCTGTGAATGCGAGGGTTGGGGTGAGGAGGAGGGTGTAAGTGCTAGTAGACTGTTGAGGATTAATGGTTTCTTTCTTGGGATGTTTTTTTGCTGCTACGTGTGACAGAACAGTATAGTACAGTAAGATAGCTGCTGCCGAGTCACCAGGGCGTGATGTGACGCCTACCTATAATGTCGGAGAAGTCAGGTCATTCGTATGTCCATGGATAGAATTTGTACGTGCAGTCGTTGCCCAGGCACTTTCTCGTCGGGCCACATTGGATACATACTTACGCCACACCACACGAAGGACCGGAGCTTGCCGAATGGGCGGAGGGATTTTCGGATTGGGCTCTGAACTTCACCATCATTCCCTCCTTCCTTCCACAAACCTCGGGTTTCAATCTTTTTTTTGTCTGATCAATAGATGCACTCTACTGTGGCCTATCGTCAAATACTGTCAGGGTAACTCTGAGTGCAATATTCAATTATCAGCACGGTTGCCATGGCCTGCCGTCGTTCTTTGTTCTTCATGCGAAAACAACACCAACAGCCTCAGTCGATATGTCTGCGAGTGCTCGTGCCATCATAAGCGCTCAAATCAGCACAGCACTGGTGCGCATAAAATGCAGGAGAGCCTTTTGAGGTTCTTTACCATGGCATTGCCTCGATGCGTTAGCGATTGGTCGACGGCTTTACTCTCTATACACACTCTGATCACAGAGCTCCGAATCTTCGTGCGATCTAGAACGATCTCTCTGTTTGTATACTCTGTCCATGCCTGAGATCTCGACTTCACTTGATATCGTTCATGATCATGGTCGTGCGTACTCTTTCATATAAATCATCTTCGGATACTGATGGTAATCACCTCTCCAGATACTGAGAACGTCAACCTCCCACATCCAGTCTCTTCCTCAGACCTCGATGATCCATCAGGTACGTAGTATCATACGACCCTCAATCTCCATAATGACTGTGTTTCCCGTCACGTACGATGAGTAGACCTGCCCAGGACCACACCCCGATGGCGCACCATCAAATGGACGCCCTATCGTCTCTTCTTCCCCTTCAGTGCCATCCTATTCGGAGCCTCGAAGTTCGTGCTTGCAGTGGCGGGATATAATACTGGTTCCGGAGTGATTGAACTTTGTTTCGGGGTAGTTCTTGCTCTTGTGTACGTTCTTCCCTGTCAAATCGCTCCCTTACTATCTCGCCGTTTCCTCTCTACACACGATGTTGAATGTGTTTGGCCTGGCGGTATGTGTATGGATTGGGTTGTGTAGGTTCTGGGCGGGCGGACTTATGGAGCCCGCAGCACCGAGAGTTGGACTCTGGGGATGGTTCTTTCATAGGAACTACGGGAGGGTTGTTCGGAAGGTCGTTTGGTCCATTTCGGCCCTATGGATAGTGATCCTGGCACCATTTTGGATGATGGTGAAAATAGGTATGCATAGTCGTGGTCAGTTTTAGAGTGTGCTGACTGACAATGTACCCTCCAGCTTCAGCGATGATTTTCGCGTGCTCTAGGTCTCCGGTTTTCCACAGCGACAGATGGCATCAACTTGAAGAGCTCGAACACGGTCATTACCATCGAGAGCATGAAGAACTCCAATTTCGATCCCAAACGACGACGCACCACCCACGTGCTCATAACGACAGCCTTCAACAGCGGCATCCCGACCCTTCGCACTCAAGGGCGGAGCTAAGTCCACGGTGGCTCGACGTCGCGTATTCCACCACGATCTATTTTCCGTATAATCATAACGATAGCCTTCGTCAGCGACATCCCGATTCTTCGCACTCGAGGGCGGAGCCAGATCCACAGTGGCCTGAGGTCGCGTATGTCAGTGACCTCGAATTCCCGCTCATACCATCTGCAGCGCCCATCGTACGCCCTCAAGCGATGCCCATCTATTTTCCGGATGATATGGGGACGACGGACTTAGCACCAAGTCTGAAAGGGGGACAATGCAAGAGCGTTAGGTCTAAAAGAGCTCCCGGTGGGCGTAGGGTATTTTATTTAGGGAGACGAGTTGGAGCACAGCCGCACTAGGATGTTTTGGCTCGTGAGCCATGGTTCGCGAACTTGTCCGGTATCTCTCTTTATGGACTCGAAACTGCACGAGCACGTATGGAAACACTGCTCGGTCACTTTGGTCGTGCCGCTCCATCTTCGTCCATCCCACTCCGCGAGTCTGTTATCTCAACAGTCATGGGCCCTCGACTTCACCTGATATCAATCATAACGACGATTGTATGAACTCCCGACTTTCCAGATGTGTTCCTTCCCAAATACTACTGTCCTCCCCGAGCCGTCTATCCTCCAGATTAACCGAAGGTATTTAATCTTAAGGGAATGCAATGTCAGAGTAGTGTTGGAACTAAAATATTAGGAGGGATACTTACGACCGAGGCACCTGACGTGGGGGCTGAACACGACGCCACAAAATACGATTTAGATATCCTATCGACATCGAATAGAATGAATTTCTCCGAGTTTTGTCATTATTGCTTGGTTATGTATTTGCTACACCCTACCTACAGTACGGTCCATAGTGTTGAGACAAACATCTGCAACTCCTCTGCAGTGCTCGGGCCACTACGTCGCCACACCGGCCGGTACTCAGGCACTGCGGCCGAGGGCGGACCGGATCGTTTGTTTCTGGTCCTGGTCCCGACCGTTCCCCACTAGATGCACCGGACGCGACTTGTTCTCTACCACGACACTCTGCCCAATTAGATACTCTACCACGGCCTTTCCCAATCAATTCTCGTCTAGTATAAAGCACAATCGGAAGGTACTGGAGTACAAAGCAACGACTAGCCGAGTACGTATACAGAACCAGGTGCTTTCTCTTGAGTGTAATCCCCACGGTTGACTTACTTCAGCGTATTCGGTTTGAAACTCGTACAGGTGCCACCCTCTCCTGATTCCGTCTCATTTTACCAGCCTTCCTCGACTTCAGCTTCACAGAACATACAGATTTTGAAACTTTGAGAAACTGTAGGTGTAGAGATGGTCAGTCGAGCGCCTTCGTTCGACGACCTGGGGACATGGGAGGACCCGATATTCTATTCACGGACAGCCACTATTGTCCACGTAGACTTTGAGGATGAGGAACAGGTATCGCCAGCTCCGGGATACATGTGAGTCCTGTCTCTATCCTTCAGCCTGCTCTCTGTGTGGGATGTTCGTGGAGGGAGAGGTGCCGGAATGGCTGGGCTGGACTAGTGTGGCGATGGAGAGCGAACATCAAAGGGGTGGGGGTGTCTTCATGGATCCAGGCCTTGGGGCTAGAGATGTCTTCCCCAAGTTCTTCACTGTGGATAGAACTCCGGTGTTTCAAACGCGTACTCTCCTTATTCCGCATTGGACTTCCATTATCGAGTGACACTGCCGGACGAGGAGTACCTCAGCGTCTGTGGCGGCCCATGGGCGGCGCGCTGATACCACCTATACGCGATTTCAACCAAAACAACAATATCTGATCATCCGTTCCTTACGTGACAGTGACCCGCGGCCACCTCCATCCGACGTGGTGGACATCGACAGGAGTCTCGCCGAACTCGAGGCCCGGATACATACTCTGCGCATCCGGAAATCCCAAATCCTCGCTATCCATGCCCTAGTCGCCCGAATGCCGCCAGAGATACTCTCCCGAATATTTGAGCTCGGTGTGCACGACTCCATACACACTCTACCTTCCATATCCCTTGTCTCCCACCACTGGCGCAAAGTAGCGCTCGCCACGCCTTCTCTCTGGACCTACATCCGTCTTGACCACGATTGGGGCTACGGGCGACATACGGCCTTTCTACGCAAGATGCGAGTGTGTTTGGAGAGGGCACAGGCATGCAAGTTACTGGTGGATATCGACTGCAAGTATTTCGAAGCGCCGTCGGAGTTGACGCAGGTCATGGAGGTGTTGCAGCCGCATCTAGAAAGGTGTTTCTCGTTGAGGCTGAGTGTCCCGGACTGGGAGTGGGTGGAGATTATCAAGTCATACTGTTCGGGACTTGGACCTTCACTCGAGGAAATCCACGTTCGACTGGACCCTGCGGATTCAGAGGACCAGGCGCCTTTCGTATTCCTGTCGCAACCGTGTCCGCGGCTGTCGTCGATAACGCTCGAACACACACCACTCATCTTCATTCGAACGCCTCTCCCGACACTTCGGTACTTGCACCTAACGCGCGACACTCGATTACACTCGTCGACGAAAATAGGAATCTCGTTCAAAGAAATCCTCGCCCTTCTCTCCTCAACACCCTCGCTCACCTCCCTTCGCATCCAATCCGCCACATTCCTCCTCGACGGCTCCGAGTCCATCTTCCGCTCCGCCTCCAATCCACTCCTCCTCCCCTCGCTCAAAACCCTCTCCATACACTTCGTCGACTCTAACAACCTCGCACTCTTCTTCGAAGCCACCATGTTCCCCTCCCTCGCCAAGTTGTCGATACAGATGGACACACCCACGGACGATACGATCCACTGGTTGGCGCGGATGACAGCGGAGACGAGCGTGAAGAGGTTTCCGGAGTTGAAGCACTTGGATCTGAGGGCTTGTAATGTGGATGGGGCGGCGCTCGTACCGTTTGTTAGGGTGTTGCATAATCTGCCAACGTTGACGGCGTTGGGGATTTCGAGTCCTCCGGGTGGCGTGTTGGGGCCACGGATCTTTGACGTTCTATGCTCACCGGCATCTTCGAGTCCGGAGGACGGGAATTTCAACGCCGGTGCGGGTGGAAGTTCTGGCACGAGTTCGAGCTCGTATGCGGCGGAGAGCTGGGTGTTGCCGAGGTTGGAGGCGTTATGTTTGCAGAATTGTAGGGATGTGTCGGGGCACGAGATCCTTAGGGTCGTGTTGGCCAGGAATGGGGCTGCATTGAATCTTAGCGGTGGGAGGAGGGGAGATGCAGAAGGTGTGAGCTCGATCAAGTTCGTGAAGGTGTCGCAGTGTTATGGTTTGGATCCGGATGTGCATGAGTTGTTGGCGAGGGCGGTGGGGACGGTGAGGGTTATTTGTTGAGTCGGGAGGAGTCTTGTGCTTTGGAGATAAGATAGGACGTTGGTGTTGGGTTTGCCTGGATGGATGGACTTGGACCTGGAATCTTCTTGCATTCGATCTTCTTTTGTACTATACTTGCTTAACGTTAGGGTTTTTTTTCTCGGTCACAGTGGACCGTGATGCATTGATAAGTTAATCCTTACCGCGGGGTGAAAACCCTCGCAACCGACTATGACTCGCGGCAGGGCTGCCATTCGCGGTTGCTGCCCGAAGATGTTACACCAAAAAAAAAAAGAAAGAACCAGACGGGATCAAAGAGAAATATCATGAGGAGTGCATCTCTATCTCTGATCCTAATGCGGCGATCCCGTTGTTCTCTGCTGACCGGCCCGCCCAGTTGCATTTGACATCGACAAATTTCGTTGAGCTTCGAGTACTCGAGGAACGGATGAGCCGATGTATAAATGGATAGTTAACAATACATATGTACACGAAAGAGCGAACAACTGCACAATTCAGGACCAAGCAAGCATCGAAGCATCCGAACAACTGGACTCGAAAGCAACACAGAGGGTACATAGTATGTAAGTGCACGAACGACGACGAAGAGAGGGTCCTTGCGCAAGGTCAAGGGCCGAACATGTTGGCGATGAGGAAGAGGGAGACAGAGATGAAAAGAGATGAGCAGATGATGATATGAGGAGTGAGATGTCAATGTATATGGTTGGCTGCCGCCACAGCAAAAGCGTAAAAAACGGAAGGCGAATATTGAATGACAAAGTGAAATGAGAACACCCCGAGGAAATGCATTATGCACGCCTTCCGTCACGACGAAAGGCAAGTGTGGGGCTCCGTCCTGTGATCCTCTCAACCACCCGGGTCGGGTGGTGGAGGAATAGGTACGATACCCACTAAAACCCCGGACTCCCGGATCCAATCATCCGGAAGGTTCTCCTTACCAAGTAGTACGCTGCTCCAGGTGTTCAGAACAGTCTTGGGCTGCGTCGCTCGCCGTCCGTAACGCTTCTTGTCGCAGGTCAGGCGGTCAATGAGCAGGCGTCTGTTCATGTGGTATACCCACTTATTGCGGATTTCTCGCTCAGATGGGAATTTCGCCGGGTCGTCAAGATGTTCAATTCTCCGTGTACATCTCATTTTCCAGATGAGGTGCGCAGACTCAGAGATGAGGATCCGGTACAGTCTGTTTGTACCTGGTAGTCTCACCCCATCCGGGTTTCTGAAGTCACTCAGACCACATCCGAGTATTGTGCCGAAGCTTAGAGCCGGCCATGGGTGGCCTGTCATTTCCCATAGTTGTCTGGCTAGATTCCAGACAATCTCGCCCCCCGGTGCAGTGCACTCGAGTAGTATGTGCTCGAGAGATTCGGTTTCATTGTCGCACACTGGGCATCGGCCTCTCAGCTCATAGTTCGGGATTGTCTCCCAGTAGACCCCGCACTTATAGCCGCCATGGAATAGGCGCCACAGGAAGCTTCGGAAGGACTTCGAGAAGTCCTTATGGTGGCAGGTTTTCCACAGTTTACGGTCAGTCGGGAGATGACCTGTCAAAGTTTTCACGGCCCATCGCGCGATGTCCAGCATGGTTGTTGTCCGTATTCGCTCTCGGTAGGTCGCGGCTTTACTATCCCGTCTGGTTCTCATCCCACCGTGATATCCTCCCTTCCGGGGTCCATGAAAGCGACAAGCATGCCTTAAAGGGTCAGCAGTCAAGACGTTCCGCGGATATATAGGAATATATTGGTCAGAGGCTACGATCTTCGAAAAGAACAACTGGATGGGCTTGTTCGAGGTGTCCAGGTTGATGAACAGAATCGGTGCGAAGACGGAGTAGAACATACTGTACTTTTTCGCGCACAAGTTCACGCCACCGCCCCTCGGCCGTTGCCGAGATGACATAATCCATTCGTGTCCCGGTTCGCAAGCAGACCGGGACAAGGGACAATGTTCGTGAACATCGACGCTTTTGCAGGGAGACGACCTTTCGTAACCGTTCAACAGGCATTTACCTCTGAATTTGGGTGGAAGAGCTCACCCAGTAGCAAAATCTAACCCAAAGTGTGTCTCGGAGGCCTTCCTGGAGGTCAATTTAGGAGCCTAAAATATATTCATATTTTCGTCAAATTTGGGTCAAATTTTGGTTTGTCCTACTTACAAGTTCCGTGCACGTCAATGGGGTGGGACTGTCCCGCGGCACAAGTTCGTTCGCGGCCCCCATGGGACACGGGACACGAACTTGTGCGCGAAAAACTACAGTACTTGATCTTCAGAACATTGAAGAACGAGTAGCTAATTATGTGAGATATTCGCCCAGAATCGAGTCGTTTTTTTCTACAAACGATGTGCCGAAGTAGAATTCGGCCCCGTGAGATCTGTAGTAGAACAGACATTATAGCCGTCGCACGTCGGAAACCTCGAAGTCATTACATCAGTCGTCTGAGAGGTTCTGCAGGATCTCGACATCGAACAGGTCAAGCTTGGCGCCAGCGCCCAAAAAATATTAAAATACGCTTTTATAGGCCCCGAAATTGGGATGTTACCGTTACATGGTGCGCAGATCGCCACGCCGGAGGGCTCGCGTTACACGTTACCGGCGAAGCGTTCGAAATGGTACAGTACCCAAGAGTTTCGGCTTCAGACGGCGTTGTGGAACGTTATGGCCTTCGTTATCTGAGACCGTGAGATGCTTAGAAGTGTCAAAGCGGTGAGGGTAACTGAGGGTACTCTGTAGAGATATATTGGTGCATATATCTACTATGGATAGGAGTGTTGTTCCGTGCGGGACCGTTTTGCACTCTGATTACCTTACCGTAACCTTACTCTATGGATCTTGCTCTGCTCGACGCTCAGTAGGTCAAACGAGACTTCTGGTCTCGTTCGGTACGATGATCACACAAGAAACAGGCGGGGCAGCAAATATATTTGTGTATCATAAAATAAGCGAGAGTGGGCGAAAGCCCGCCGAAGGCGAGCCTTCCGAATCCCGGCACATTCCGACCTAAGATAATCCGTGTAAGCTGTGGAATATCTTCACAGATCAGTAGATTGTGCCAGGAAACAGAACGAAAGATGGATACCGTGGTTAGTATGCTGAATTTTTCGATATCAAGTGAATCAGTGTTCACACTATGCAAACTGTAGGGAGTGGTGGGTGGGTGCGAAAAAGGGAGAGTCTGAGGACTCTCCGGCTTCAGGCTTCAGGCTTCAGCGGCGAGCAAGAACGAGAGCAGGCGCGAAAAGAGTTGTCACGCCGCTCTCTGCTCTCGCTCTCGCGCATCCATAGACCACCCTCTGTCACGACGCTCGTTCCTCGCAACGTCACAGAGTCACACTTACCACGGTTTGGTGCCACATCGAGGATGACACATGCATGTGAATTTGCCACTGTGGCACCCTGTTACAGTTGTCCGACTCCGAACGGGACATTCTTGCCTTTCGTTGCGTGTATTTCCTACTACACCCTTCCGGACAAGTATAACTATCCTAGGTCCCTGTATACCTTGGCAACTAGACGCGTGGTTAATCCCTATATAATAGTATCTCCTGGTAGCCTACAACTCGTCGTGAACGTAGGATAATGTCTTCCGAACACTCTCTTCGTCAAAGGACCCTGGCTTCACCTGGTCCAGATACATCGTCTTCTACAACAGGGTCGGAAGACCCACTAGCAAACCTCAAGACCATCTTCGACCCCTCGACCTGTACTCGCAGAGGACTCTGCCCTGTTACGAAGCTGCGAAAGCAGGATGACGATATCACGGAGAGTCATTCGCTGTATTTCGAACAACACGGGAGAGGAGAGGAGAAGGTTGTACTTATCATGGGGTGCGTACGGCTTGTGATTCTCTGACTTTGTGGTGGCAGCTTGCTACCTGCTAGCCTGACCGGTGAGAGGCTGATTGTATACTGGGGGTGGTTCTGTTCGTGGTATGGCGTCGACAGGCTGAACAGTACCTCTTTCTCATGGGCACCTCAGGTGGAGTACTTCGGAAAGTCAGAGAAGTACTCCATACTTGTATTCGACAATCGAGGGGTCGGCAATAGTGGAACTCCAAGGGGACCTTACTCGTGAGTTCGCATCCATAGTCCTAGTCAACTGAAACCAATGCTCCGGTGGCGGGGCGTGTGTTACCTGTGGAACGTAAAGAACTAGCGGAATGGCCGAAGATGCTATCTGTTTACTGGACTACATTGGATGGACGAAGGAGAGGGACATACACGTTGTGGGGATATCATTGGGTGGAATGATTGCTCAAGGTGCGCTCCTTCCGACGACCTTGAGTATCCAAACACTGACTGGAACCTCTTCGTTCTCTATTGACAGAGCTGGCGACTCGTATACCAGAACGCATTATCTCGCTATTTCTTGCTGTCACGACACCTGGTGGCGGTTTATTATCGAATCTGCCTCCGGTATGTTCATGGTCCATGTTCACTTCAGCCCTGGCATCATCTTGGGATATTCATCTGGTTGGTTTCCCTCATATTGTAGTGGAAGGGCACCAAGACTCTCGCTAGGTACGTACGAGGTCCCTCACCCTCATATCTGCGGTGCGCCACCCAACGAGGCTGCCGCATCGGTTGTGCCTTCGTTCACTTCTGTCGTTCGCAATTCTGATGGATACGAACAAATATCTTATCCAAATTCTTTGCTGATTCTCATCTCTTCACCTGCTCTTTAGGCTTCTTCTTATCAGTAACCCCGAAGAAAAAATACCTCTCCTCCTCGACATGGTCTACCCACAATCCTGGCTCAACCTCCCTTCCACCACCAACCCTACCCCGTCTTCCTCCGATGATCCTACTTCTCCATCATACATACCCTCGTCGAGCCCTGCACAAACGAACCGCGAAATCCAGACCCCCCTCTACCTTCACCGCATGCTGCATACCCGCCCTCAAACCCCACTCGGCGCCCTTTCCCAAATGTTTGCCGGAATGACGCACTACGTGTCCCCAGAGCGGTTACGAAAGGATATAGCGGAGAAGGTGCCGAAGGTCTTGATTCTGACTGGGGACGAGGATAACCTTGTGCGGCCGGATAACAGTTTGAGGATTATGGCGGCTATGGGAGATCTGAAGGGCAAGAGCAGGAAGGAATTGGAGGGGGTGGTCAGGGATGGGAAGGTTAATGTGGAATTGGTGATTTGGGAGAAGACGGGACATGCGTTGCATATGCAGTGGGTGGAAAGGTTTAATGCGCTGATGGAGAGGTGTTGGGAGGAGGGGAGGAAGAATTTGGAAGAGCGAGCGGCAGCGTAAAGGTTGGCTAGTAGGCTTGTATGAGCGAGGGTGAGCTATGTCTTGTGGAATAGGAAGACTTTTGGTGCCGCGGGCCGTCTTTGTGTATGTATCCAGCACTTATTCGGCCTCGGTAAGTATGTTGCGCCGGTTCTTACGCCACCTTGTATAGCGTTTAGGTAGAAGTTGTTTTGTCGTGCAAATCATGGATATTCTGTTAAGTCGCCCGCAAGCCCTGATCCGCATTGAGCATCATTACTTACAAGGCTGCCTACCACGAGGACATGGCCACTTTTGCGAGCCTACCGCTACCGAGAGGTATACGAGTAGCAACATGACTGTTCATGTAAATGACATTCAGAGCAGAGTAATGAAGACAAGGGTAGATGCAGGATTACAGATTGTGGCAAATTCTATTGCAAAGCGCGATGATCATTGTCCTTCAGTCCTCGGAAACCACGACATCAACCTGCCCGAACTGGAGCCCGATTCCATTCGCCTGTCCCCATGGATTTGAATTATCCTGTGCAGCGGCATCACTCTGCGACTGCAAAGCCCTCTGTGCGAGCACGCCCCACTCGTGCCACCAACTCTCTGCGGCATCCCTCCCATCGTATCCCCAATTCTCAAAGAACCCCTGCCACTGTCTCCGGAGCTCCATATCCTCTGCCTCCGAGCTGTTATCCTCAGCTTCGTTCGAACCCCCACTAGCACTAGCACTCCCTCCTCGGACTTGTCCCACATTCTTGTCCACGTTGGCTTTCTTCTCTTCCGCCCATGTGTGATTCCGGGCATCCCGAGCTGGGCCCGGCGGTAACTGCAGTATTGTATGGTTGTCGTCTTCGAGTTCGTGTAGCCTCCTGGCGCGGGGTTGGCGAACGTCTTCGAAGGCGTAGAGGAAAGAGGATATCTGGCTTCGTTTGGTGATGTGGGAAAATAGCGCGCCGAGGAAGCTGGCTTCTTCGAGCATGATAGCTGCCGCAGTGAAAGCGCAAGTCTGATGGGCGACAATTCAGACTTGAAGATTCGCGGAAGTGTAGTGAGATGAGAACGTACGGGCATCGGATGTGCGGCCTCGCCAGTGATAAAGATAGTTTCTGACTCATCCAGCCATGATTCGGCGTGAGGAAGGATGTCCGTTTTTACGCGCTCGAAGAAGGGTATGTGCTCAATGACGATTTTTAGTCTAGAAGATCATCAGAAAGCGCCCTGCGTCATGATGGACTGCGACTGACCGTGGATCAATGTTGTCACCATACTTCAAGCAGCTAGTAGGGACCGTCGTTCCCCATCCCTGTGGCTCGTTGTCGTCAAGGTCCTCGATTTGCCAGAATTGGAACAACCAAAACTTGAAGTCACGCTGTCGGGAGAAAATTAGCGACTTGGGCTGTATGATAGACAAGTATCAGACGCACAATAGGAAATGCTGCACAAAGCATCGACACAGCCAAGGCGAAGGCGTCAGTTCACGCTCGTATGAAGCCCTGGGCGGACTCTTACCAATACCGTAGTAACCACTGCCCATCCATATGGGAATCTGAATCTCTAAAATATCTCGCAACAGTTCGTTGCTCTGCAACGTCTCGACGGGGAGGATACCATTATAGATGACCTTGCCACCCGGTGGTGCTCTGGGAATCTCCTCTATGACATCTCGGACCATACCTCGTTGTCCATCCGCGCCTACGACAAGATCACCTTGGTAGACTTCGCCAGTAGTAAGTGTAACAGTGGGTTTCGTGGGATCGAGCTCCGACTGTGATGAAGGGGTTTCTTCAGGCTCGTCCGAGATAGGAGGCTGGACTGTGGCCACAGTGGCGTTCGTTATTATCTCGACTCCTGATTTGAGAGCGAGGCGATGTAGAAGATCGCGAAGGTCGTTATACTGAAGCGGCAATGCTTAGCCAAACGTTTCGACATACGAAGGAGAAGGTCGAGAAACGCACGGATATTGTATAGAATTCACCGCCAAGTTCCTTCAAAACCTCGTCTGGCCATCCAAGATATCCCTCTCGCACACCCGTCACGACTGTCTTGTCGAGGTCGTGTTACGAGCAGGTCAGGGCTCTGAAAGACCAAGGGCATGCAACGACGATGACTCACGATCGACGAACTCGCATGACGGCACCTTGCACCCGAGCTTGGTGAACTCGTCCCAGACACCCCATTGTTCAAGGACTTTGCACCCGTTTGATGTTACTCGGAAGCCACTGGCGACAGAGTTGGTGTTGTACGAGGAGGCCTCGAAGACTCGTACGTGATGACCAGACGATGCGAGTGCGTGCGCTGTGGCCAGCCCTGACAGACCTGAAAATAGTGTGTCGATAGAAGGATGTCAGCCCATGCGCCGCTCCGACTCGGAGGACATGACGGTGAGAAAGGCTGACCTCCTCCAACGATTAGAAAGTCTAGTTTGAGTATGTCTTGCTGCTTGGCATGGTACATGGATCGTTATAGGATCGTCGGCGGAGGATATCGATGGTGGTAGTGAAGACAGTTGGGAAGTGTGGGAGCGATCGATACCATTGCCGCGCGTATAACTACTGGAGAAAAGGTCATGTTTTACATACGAAAGCACGTCCTGTAATACGAACAGGGAACTAGCGCTCCGCGGAGGAGAACGATGGTGCCACAAGGTCCTCAGAACGATTCGAACTTCTTGCCGTTGCAACAAATTTCTCTCCACGGTCGCCAGCCGAACTGACCGTCAAGACGTTACTTTTTTCCTCCGTGGAAGGCAAACCCAAGGAAGGCAGTGGAGGCGAAGACTGGCAGGCTCCGTAACTATCGGGACGCTTCTAGTACAGTCATGACCTACCTAGGCGGCAAACGCAACGTAACGGCGCAGCCTCCCTCTTCCGGCGAAAAGATACGCAAAATCAGCACCTTTGCGTTCCGAAAGGTTTCATCATGATGAAACGGCGAAGTCAGGGCACCAAGTGGGTTCAAGTTCGAATCGTTATAACCGCCCATAGCTGTATGCAGATATTTCGATGCCGAAAACGCGCTCACAGACAAAAGCAAAGCACATAGTCCCATGATGAATCACTATCAACTGATTGAGTTCTGAGGTTCACACGACTCTGAGAGCGAATCCTGACCTACGGACACTAGACTTTGTTCGAGAAGGAAGTGGCTTCGGCGAGGGGATCAAAAATGCGTGAATACCCAAAATGGCGACATAATGTTTACGGCATTGGCCGGCGGGGCCGAAAATGGCAGAATATGTCTGGAAAAAGGGCGAATCATGGTTACATACATGTCCTCCTCCATGGGAATCGAAGTGTTCTGTGCGAGTTTGGCCCCCAACGCCATCAAAGGAAGTTGCCTCGATATCCTTCTTTTCTGACCGTATGCACACAATCACGCAATCAGTACAACGCCTCCCACACTCCGAGACGCCGTCGAGCACTACTCATTGTCATCGGCAGTCGATCCCGTCGAGTTTTGCGCCCAGCCACCATTGTTATCCCCCCAATAAGCCGTGCCGTTACTCGCCATACACCACTCTCTCCTGACACAGGGCGGCCATATACCGTCGGGCTCGTCGCCGGCGTCCTGCAAAAGGAGGGCCACGACCCCGTGTGACGGCACCCCTTGTGCCGTGAAGTTGCGGAGAGCAGTACCGTTCAACGTATGCGTCCAAAGGTCCTGTTTGTTCGTTGGGGTGGGTTTTCGTCATCAAAAGTAGTTTAGACGAGACTGGGGGGAAAGACGTACCCGAACATGATACTGCCTGCCCGCTCTAATCCAGGGCGATTCGGTGAGGTTGAAAAACATGTCAGCTGGCTCGTCCAGTGTGTTCAGCTTCCCGGAGTGTAATATCCGATGTCAAAGGAAGGGCCGCATCCGAGGAATTGAAGTCAGCATCGGGAAGCATTGCCGCATATCAAGGAGAAAAGACGCTCAGAAGCTAGTTCGTGTAATACCCGAACATACCAGCATGATGACCGTTCCGTTCTGCGTTTTTCCACTCCAGTACTGAGCAGGGTGGGTCACATTACTCGTCCAGTCGGGCTACAAACAGAATTTATCGGAGCACCAGTAGAGGTCAGTCAGGATATCAAGGGTATGAACTGGGGAAGAAAGGCTGAACGGATGCACGCACATTGACGCCCCACCGGAACGGCACGATGCTCTTGCCCTCGACCGGATCCTGGTTGATCGCAATGATCTCCTTGTTCGACAAGATTGCAAAAGACTCGTCGGAGATGGTGGTCAGCTGTACATGACGATAGGGCCGGAATCAGAGACACTTTCTCCGCAGAACGGAAAGGTTCTAGGCACTTACATCACAAGAAATCAACAACGGGCTCTTCATAAGCGCCCAGGCCGTGAAATGCGATTTGGCCTCTTCGTACGAGAGGTCGCCATTGCCACTGTGCGGACGTCCACGCATTGTTACTTTCCGCTTCAAGCGACCTTACTCGCGGACTCGGACTTACACTTCGAGCTGTATAGAAGTGGGGGAAGTCATCAGTCAGTTGGCCGAACACTTGGCAGGAGAGAAGATGATTGGATGGACGTACGATGTCCATATCGTTGTGTCCATAGAAGTTGTTCGCCCAAGCAATAAACGAATTACTGCATACATCGAAAAACACATAAGTGGGCTACCAGCTTTACCACGGTGTCTTGGAAGGCGCATTCGTATTATACATACGCATTGAGAATACTTGTCACCGACTTCCAATTGGCTTCGATGTCACCCGTCGTCTGTATACCCACATCAGCAAATAAGCGGCATCAACCACAGTGTAAGTAATGTTTGATCGCCGTGAAGACATTGATAAGGCGTGAGACGAACATACCCTCCAACTCTGAGAAATCTCGCGAGCCCAAAGCCATGGCTGACCCTATAGTTACCGCACGGGCATGGGCCAATCCATCAGCATCTTTACTTTTATTATGGAGGGACACATGGGCTTTGCAGGTCGAAGGAGGAAGGAACCTACCCAGCCCCATTGACATAAGGAATACACGAGCGGAGTGCGTTGCAACTTCGTCGAAACCTTGTTGATAGCTTCGGCCATACGGTGGAATTCTGTTGTACCATGGAATCATGAACGTAAGGTCAGAACGGAAGAAAACTAAAGGGTAGAGGTGACTATAAATACGTACTTCCTACCACCCCTTCTTTAACGATTGTATCGAAGGGAACTGAGGAGATACGAAGATCAGGTCCAGCGGGGCGCCTGAGAAAAAAGGGTGCAATATAATACATACTGGCGCAGTTATCGAACCTGTGAGACACTTCGTTAGTAAATGGATGGCAAGGGTCTGAGAGAAAAAGAGAACCCACTTGAGGAGGTCAAAGCCCCATTCCATGAATGTTTCCGCGTCCCTGTGGTCACACCACGTTGAGCTCCCTGCACGTATATGATTTCATGAAGGAGACACACTGCTCTTCATGTTGGAATGAGCCGGGGTACAGCTGGCAGGTGAACCAGCCAGAATCGCTGTACTACATGAGGGTGAGCCAGACGCCAGAGGGCACGCAGTATTGTAAACAGGGGCATTGTTTCCCTGTAAGCGGCGATCTTCATGTTGTAAGAAGTAAAAGGAGGAACATACAATTCCCGCTTTCCTTTTAAAAAGTGTGAGATGGTGAAAATTACGACGAAGAGCGACATTACTGGGAGGTGATGAACGAATGACTTACATGCCCATTTCATGGATCTTATCTGTCAACGACTTCATGCCACTCGGGAACGTCTTCTTGTCTATATCAACACCACAAGTCATCCACCATCCATCACCGGTCATCAATCCGGTCAGCACATCACTCAAGTTACTACGCCACCGCCACGCAGCCGTCGACTGAAAACAACGATAGGAAGGAAGACGCACTGGCAAGCTGGAACCCATCCGCACTCCTATTCTTCTCCGCCCAACAGTCGTCCACGTTCATGTAGTTGTACCCTAGGTCTACGAAACCGAGTTCGACCATACGTTTGGCATTGGTGAGGACTATGTCTTCGTCGATGTCGCACTGAAGAACAAGGGTATATGCGAGACCAGCGGCATTATTAGCCATTATGTCACACACTCTTAGGATAAACGCGCAATGCAGAGTACAGAACTTACGTAGTACGCGTTCCACGCTGTATATAAGTGAAGGCACGCGCGGATATAAGTAGTCGAGTGCAACTCAAGTTGTTGAAACAGGACAGGTATTTGTAACACGCACTGTTGTATCCCATGAAGGGCAGTCTGGCTACACCACTTCCTAACTTGTTAGTGCCCTGTACATCCTCATCTTCGCTGATGCTACCAGGCGCCCCATCTCTTCCGTGCTGGGTGGAGTACAGGGAGATGCAAGTCAAGGACATGATGACAATCGCAGTGAACCCAAGAGCTTTCTTGAGTCCGTTCAGGTTCAACTCTGCGTCGTCGTCAAGAGTTGAAAGGTATTCTGTGAGTGTTACACGGCTTGCATACAAATGAAACTGAGTTCACCATGACCGCGTGCGCGTCCGTAGGGCAGCTTGGACGCGTAAGGCCTCCTCTGAGCCTTACCACGTTCGAAGCCGTCGCCGACATCCTTCGAGTCTCGCAGCAAAGAGTTCTTCTCTTCAGAGTCGTTACTTCGTGTCATTCCGTGCGTTAATGGCAACCTTGGTCAGTTGTCAGGTGTAGGTCCAAATTGAACGGACGACGTTCGAGTAAAGAGTACGCCAGCGCCAGTGCGAAAAAGTTCAAAAAACAGAGCTATCGTCAGCGGCAATGTCGAGGTTGAGTTCGTCTCAGTCGATGTTGTCGAGTGCAACGGGGAGATGAAGGCGGGAGCGCCTTGCTAGGGCTGGTCATAACGTCAGTTGATCCGAGCCCAAATAGGGGCGTTGGAGCGCGAAGTACGTGTATGAGGGTGGCGCGCCACACATGTTTCGGGGTATGTTCTTCGTCCCCGTGGACGAATGCTCACGTTCAAGCTGTGACACTGACAGTCCATTTGTCGGGGCACACGGGGAAGGTACATGGATCAAATTATTAGTATTTACCATTCACAAATAAAAATACACTGAAGGGTATGATAAAGTAAACAATCCACAGTCCACAAGTCCAAAACCCCAGTCAACAGAACACATTCCTCTGTCGTCGAACTCCTCATTTCTAAGCACAAGGATTAGGCACATCCCCGCTCACTCTCCTGCTTTTATCTCTCTGTGAAGAACTGCCACTCCGCTCACGTTCGCTCCTGGCGACCCACCAAACCAATAGTACCACAGCCCCAAGTCCAACCCTCGCCCTCGTACTTCCATTCCACCAGCCCTCATTATAAGAACCGTCCGATATCCAACCTACGGATAGTGGATCCTCGACTTGGGTCATCGGTCTGAAGCCATTATGTGAGTCAAGGGAGGCCGGTGATAATGACGAAGGTGTATCGTTGTTGGCAGGATCAGGTATCGCGGCCACCAGGATCCCAAGCTCCATTGAGAGGATTTCTTCTGGCATTGCTGCCTCTGCCTGCAACGCCTCTTCTACCTCTGCTGGTTTACCCGAGTCCGAGCCGAACGGTGATGGCGAAGACTCCGCTGTAGAAGGGAGAAGGACCTCGGCGTGCGCGACTCCGCCGAAGAAATCCGTGATGAGCGTTTTAGAGAGCGGTCGGTGGAAGAGGTCGGAGCGAACTCCGGGGTTGGAGCGAATCTTGATGGGGTCGTAGGTGTCGAACTGTACACGTTTGCCGAACCGAGGTAGGAGTTAATAATGCTTTGTTGGAGGTGGAAGGGAAAAGGTCGTGGATGTGGATGTGGGGGGCGGAGAAAGGGAGATGCTACGCACGAGGTCCTGCATACTAGCCGAGGACGTTTTATTGATGTTCTCCATGAACGATAGTACAAAATGGGTGAAGCTATCAATTACCGCCACACCAATATCATTATCATTTTCGTACTACAGTGTTACAGGATTCCGGAAAAGATCAGTATCGGTATACCAAGTGAGGTCAGAGATTGGCAGACGGGTTGGGTGGTGAAGTCGAACATACTGAATACGAATTCTGATCCATCTCTGACGATCCAGTCGCCAGGATATTCGGTGAGTAAAACTTGGAGTACATAGTGTTCGCCTGGCAAGTATCAATCATGAAGAAGATCTCGTTGTACCTACACCAACACAGAACAAACAATCACAGAATGAGCATAAACCACGGTCTACTTGCGAGTACACCAGACGGGTAAAGCGGGCGACTGAGAGCGCTGGGAGGAGGACGTACCTCTTCTTACTCCACATCTGCTCAAACGCATCTGCGATATCGAATGCACTGATCTCTTCGTTGTCCTGGAACTTGAGGAATTCGTTCCCTCCGTGACCGGTCATGTAAACGAAGATGTTCGAACGGTCGTCTGTGAGAAGGCGTTTGGAGCGGGGAACGGATGGAGGTTGACGTCCTATCCAATGATGTCGAAAAAGAAAAGGAATAGCTCGTCAGTGATCAGACCTATGAGAGCAGAGACATGGTGCAGCGGGATAAGGAGAGGGAGTAATGAGTGGCACGAGTATGGCGTAGTGTGGCCCGGGTGACAATACTTGTCGAGTCCCCAGACAACCCGACTATAGTGGTCAACCTACGTCTGGGTTCACTTTCACAGCCACCTACGTCCCTTGTTCCTCCCCGTATGACCAATGACGAACTTATAACAAACCGAACTTCGACTCACCTGTCAGAACCCTCAAGAAATTCTCCACCGTGACCTCATACCCCCTATAATCCACCTCAATATTCTCCCCATACAAATCCAAATGCCTCCCTTGATTCGCGAATACACAACCTGGGTATCGATTCCGTGCGTTACAGGCGACGTCGTCCGCAAGCATGAGAATGATCTGGCTGTCTGGGATGCCGAGACGTTTGACTGTGCGATACCTGAGGACATACGCATCCGAATGATTAGAAATCGGTGTTCAAGAGAGAGAAGTGTGGAGGTAAAGAGCCAAGAGACCTACATTCCGAGCGCGTTCGCCATGTGCTGGAACACCGCAATCCGCGAACACCACGAACAACAAATCCAAAATATGTTGGTATCATAATCATACCACACCCACAGACTTGGGGATTGGCAACTCAAGGACTGAACGTACCCGATAATTGAACCAATACCTCGACGCACAGACCAACACTGCCCAGTTATTCGTATGCACTGACTCAGACTCCGCCAGCGAATCCGACGTCAACGCATTTCGGTCGAAGAAGTCGCGGACTGAGGCTTCTGTCTCTGGCGATGGTTCATTTGAAGTGGAGGGAGACGTCGATGATACTGGTGCGATGCTGAAGTAAATGTAAAGGATCGAGAGAAGGAGAGTGAGCGGCAGGGAGGCGAGTCTCATGGCGCGACTCTTTCAATGTTGAAGGAAATCCGAAAGGATATATGTTCGCCAAATGCTGTAGTATTGAGGATATATAACTCAAGATCCAAACAAGCGAAGCTCAGGGAAGGGTAAGGGCCAAGGATGGTGGAGGACGGTGGAGGATGAGGGGCGCTGTAGACTGCTGTGGAAGTGAATCGTCAGGAACACTCAACGCCACAATCCTGGGACCCTATAAATGTGGCGTAGGTTGGCTGTGTTCGAAAACCCATTCTTAGCTTTATTATATTCAAAGACAAGAATTTCATAGTGCGAAGCCTTTCTAGTTCATGCGGAACATCATGTACAATCACTACTATAGTACAGCTTCGAAGGGAATACTGACTCTGGCTCCATCGTAGAGTCACCAGCGCCCACTTCAAGCCCACTTCTCTACAATAAGTAGCTCAGATGTCTTCAGGCAAGTTGGGCAGAGGGAAGTCAACTTCCATATGAATGCGCTGGAAAGATGGGACGAACGATGGATATCGTAAGCAAAAGAACAAATGACTGTGGGCGAAAAGAGCCCGGTGTGATCCAACCCACATAGTTGCGCCAATGAATTTTCTTCCCAACTTCAGTGATCTCCTCAATCTCCTCTCCCGTCAAGGTTGGGACCTTCCCACTGTAGAGTTCTGCGAGACTCTTGATGTTCTTGGGGTTCCCGGAAGCAGAGACTGCCACAGCTCCCGTGCCTACCGTCCAAAGCAGCAGCACCTCCGCCTCGCCGATGGGCTTGCCGTACTCTGCAGAGATGCGCGCTGCGATACGAGAAATAATCGGCCTGAGGGGGCCGCCGCGCGAGGGATGGCGGAGGATGGGACTCAAAGGGCCATAGGCTACCGTACGGATCCCGTGTGTGGCATGAATATCGAGAACGGGTTGGAGGTGGTTCAGAACGAAGGGGTGGTATTCCAGTTCTATCGGGAGGTAGCTTGGGTCAGTACTAGGCGGAATATTTCAAACAAAGGGCAGACAGTGGTTGTTGATTAGAGCATACGCACGGTTGACTACTGGTTTATACTTACAAACCTTGAGGATGGCTTCGAGGTCTTGAGGCCGGAAATTAGAGACACCCAGAGAGGCTGTAAGTTCACCCTTGTCCTTCATATCCTCCAAGATCTGCCAGCTATCGAAGCCCACACCACTGAGCATACTAACCAAATGTCATTTCAAGGAGAAGACCTACAATTCGACCAGCTTTCCCGGTTCTGGAACGAAGGGGTCGTGCAAGAGGAGGACATTGGGTTGAAAACCCAGACGTGCGATGGTCTCCTGGACGGAAGAGCGGACCTCGGAGAGCGGAAGGGGCTTTTCATCGGGACTGGCAATCATCATCATGCTGCCAACCTTTGACACTTCATGGTCGCGTTACAGATCATGCTGTCTCCAAAAAAAAAGTAAGCCATCACGCACATTTGGTACAAACATAAACGTCGGCTTTGGATACCCCTGCGTTCGTGATGGCCTGCCCAGTCTGCTTCTCGTTCTTGTACATCTGTTAAGTACTCATTAGAGCCGTTTCCCTCATTGCAGTTGTGTAGAAAGTGGAAGACTTACTTGAGCGGTATCAATGTGACGCAAGCCAGCCCTGAGCGCAATCTCTCCGGAGACGATAGCGGTCTCTGCCGCATCGCCGCTTCCATTGCCCCAAGCAATAGTCGGTATTTCTGTGCCATCCAGAAGGGTGAAGCGCTGAGGAAAAGACATCGTCTTTGAAATATGTGTGACTGGGGTAGAGACGATAGGGATTCACGCAGCTAAACAAAAGGAATACCTTTGCGTAGTGGTTTATAAAAGTGAACGAGCACTTCCCATCGCAGTCAAAGTGGGCACACTTGGCTGACATTAGATCCAGCAGCTTCGGCGGAAAACGGGTGGTACGGTCACAATAATGTATCAGCAAAGCGGCTTCGTTGATTACGAGGGTAGGAGTCACGACACAAGCGGCGTCCAGCATTCATGGTGAAAGGACGGTGCCCATCCGTCTTTCCGCAGGGTATCCACAAGGACGTTACCTAGTTAGAAACGCAAGAGCGAGCGTCCGAGAACCAAGGGAAGTAGCACCAGGCCTTGGGTCTTGGTCCGTAAAAATCATAGGCTATGACCCTTAGCGGAACTCTGTTACACCAATCACAGAAAAGTACGCAATTCGAGGGTTTTGCTGTGAACATTTCTCACTTCAGGAAGACATGAGTGTTCCATCTGAACAACCTTGTCGTCAACGAAGTACGTCATGGAGAGCGGTGAGAGAATAAGACAAACAAACTGAGCGACAAGGCGTTACTGTAATGGAAGGTGACGGAAAGAAAGAAGAAAGAGAACCCAAGAACGGAACTCGGGTGCTCCGGCGCTCTGACGAAGACGAAGAGAATGCTCAACCAAGCAACTTAGTAAGTACGCACGGATGTGATAAGTAACGTCATGATGATCTTCCGTGCACTAAAAGACCAGGACCTTCTAGGATCTCGAGAGCTGATGCATCATGAGAAACACCCATTCAACACAAAAGCATCCCCGGGACTCACTCCGGGATAGAGTTCGAGGTCCAACATTGGTGGAAAGCATCAGGAAAAAGACGTGCAAATAGATGATTGGATGGCCAATCACATCGTTGCTGCATGAGGGCACTCACCGAACCGCATCCAGTGACCCCCTCCCAACCTTCAAGCTGGTTATCTTTGACGAGAATGTGTAGGCTCGAGACAAGGAGATAGAGCGAGCACGCAACGGGCACACGGTGGCTGGTCGGTGTCATGATTTTTAAGAGACTCTACTCGATTGTACTTGGAAGGGAGATGAGTCAGCTATTAACTATTGTGTATTAGAAACGAAGACATTGTGTATCGGGGATAGAGGCTGATAGAGGGTGCCAGAGGTAGGGGCAGTGGTGTGGCGTGACGTGGCCCAGACTAAACCGCCCGGTGCCAAACCCCAAGCAAGAAATGATTTAAACAGAACGCTCATACGAGCCACAATCAACAGAATAGACCGTATCTGCAACCAAGAATATGAGAGATTCCTTAACAGAATAATCACTCACTTTTTTATCAGAAGACTCGAAAATAACCGAAGCTGGACGTTCAAAAGTCGTAGGAAGCCGGAAACGCACTGTCTGCGCGTTGTGATTGGCTCGGACGACCTCCGATCGCCATTTGAGACCTTCGCTCCACGTTTGTTTTATGGCTCCAAACTTCCAAATTTTCAGGAGAAAGACTGGTATTCTCAACTCCCCGTTCATATTTTTGGCTGCAGATACGGTCTAATCCGCTAAATAATATATCCAGTCCTGCCTCCATATAACACCCTCCCCACATTATCGATGCACACATAATATTGAAACCTCGACGCACCAGTCAAACGATGCATTCTCCATCGCAATTGTACGCCCCCTTTAATCCTCACAGATGTCTATGAAGATCTGAATGCTGGTCTTGGTTGGCGCATACACAGCTTGAATACCGATTCCGGGTGGTGAATTCGGTTTCTAGCCTGAGATATAGAGACTTTGACGGTGGGATACCTAAGTACATCTTTATTTCAGTCATTAATAACGGTAGTGAAAAGAGCGTATAAAGGGGAAGAGATACAGAGCATACATGCTAATCCCATTCGCCGTATGCCGCGTCACCAATTGTACCGTCGCCCAGTGTCATGGAGGCATGCACCAAATGTCCGAGCAAGCACACTTACAATTGACTGTATTCGATGAATTGACCGATTTCTCGACACACCGACTGATATCAGCCAGTTGTTGATATGCACCGATCCAGCTACGCCAACGCATCCGGCAAATCGTTTCGATCGAAATCACCAGTCAAGAGTTCGTGCTCTGGAGAAAATCAATTGAGGAAGAGAAAGGAGTTGAGGACAATGTCGCGAGGTTGAAGAAAGCGTAGAGGATCGAGACAAGCATGATGGACGGGAAGGAGCTCATGGTTAGTGACCTTAGCATAGAAATTTGGGCAAATTCGTGGAGAGACCTGAAACTACGTGGTGGGCAACGGCGGCGAGTAGTAATAGTTGGTGAGGAACGCTGTAGGTGTTGAAGCTGAAGTCCAGTCGAAGCCTCTGACCGGCGTACAAAGCTGTCGCACGCCACCTTACCTATCTCGGAGTTGGCTACGCCACATTTGATATGGTGAGGGTGTTTTTATGCGGGAGAGCAGAAGTTCGGCCATCTCTTTTCTGGCATGAATGCGAGCTACGGAAGGAGGGAAGGAAGGAAGTATATGAGGACCGCGTATAATAACCACATGCTTCATATTCGAATATCCATCCTAACATGCGCCAACGAAATTTACACCGAGTCTATCAGTCTTGAGTCTCAAGGTTCGCGCTGCTATAACACTTTAACCTAATGACCGAATAAATACAATAATGGGAAAATATGAGAGGGTAGCAAATAGGGTAGAATATCACTGTAAGTATTATCTCCAATAGGGAGCGTATACGGAACCGTGTAGTGTAAAGTCCTACAAGAAGAATAGGCATGAAAACGATTATAGAAAGAATGTTCAGTACGAAACGTCCGTCGAGTTATAGGTTCGCATCCCAAAACTCTTAAGAAGAGTAAGAAGCAGAGGTAATAGGAATAACAGTGGCAGAGGATGTCGCGGTGACAGTGAAGAAAGGTGTGCCAGAATACACAGATACAGAACTCGGTAAAAGAGTGACGGTGGGAGTCCCAGCGAGCTCCGTGAAGGGTGCGATGGACTTGAGCGCTGGAGCACCGGCATTGCCGAACGTATTGTTCCATATAGGGCAGAGATTCTGCCATGCATCTGGGAAGAATAAAATATTTGGATGTCAGCGAGGCAAAGTTGAAGGAGAACATACTAGCCTTACCTGAAGTGGGGTCATCGGCTGGTACATCGGGAACGTCCTCGGCCATCACGGCTGCAAAGCCAGCTGCGGGAAGGAGCGGAGAGCATGAGTGAGTTTCATATGCAACTGATGGTCGAAGAGTTGTAACGGACCTGTGAGATGCCAGTCGATGTGGCAATGGATGAACCAAGGCCCAGTGTTATCGGCCTGGAAGCGAATGACCGTGATGTCGGAGGCGTTTGATCCAATATTCACAACATCACGTCTAACAGGATTATCGTAGTTGTACTCCGAATGATTAGCACTCTTGACGACAGAGAAAGAATGCTGAACAGATCTTGGTCAGTCTTTGGCCTCTTCATAAAAAAGGTAAAACTGACACCATGAAGATGAACGGGGTGCTGGGAGACAAAAGTGCTTAGCCACGCATATGCAAGAAAGCCTCGAAGAGTACGTACGTTTGTCCCAGCTCCTCCCACGCCAGGCAATATAATCTCTATGGTCTCGTTGGCGTTGACTGGGTAGATACTTCCGTGGGGCAAGAGGTCCTGTGCGCGTTTGGTGCCATTGAGGATCTGAAGAAGGACCGGTACGGTGGGGGCTACCCACGAGGTGCCGTTGACAGTGAAATTGGCGGGAACGCCGGTGTTGACGTTTCCATTCTGATAGAGTCATGAGTATAATGTCAACGAGACAGAAGCTGGCGAGGAGATGCTCACGAAGAGAACACTTAGGTCGTACTGGCGATCAACATTGCCCAGCCCCGGGCCTCCGGGTGCTTGAGGATTGTCTATGGGCTGCAAATGTTGTTGGTCAAGGCCCCTACAGACAAGCTTACCAAAGTCACATACATGCAAGTTCGTCTCATTTAGTTGCCTGAGAGATATGGCGCCTTCAGTTACTGGGTCCTGGATTGGGGCCCCAGAATAACGAAGAATGGCGGAGTTAACACCGTTTGCAAACGTCCCATTGGTGACACCAATATCAGGATCAGCCTTGATCCCTAGAGAATACGATGTGTCAAGAGATGCAATAGAAGACTGTGTTCAAGAACGTACAGTAGTTGTCTACGTTCTGGCTCGCATTGAGCTGTAGACGTCGGTAGCAAGCACCGTCATATTGCATCCCGTGAATGTGTCAGCAGCGAAACACGTACGACGAAAGAGTACCGCTGAGCTGTTATTCAGACAGAATCAGCGGATTGAAAGCGCAACGGCCAATGCCATGTGCCTACCTGCGTAAATCGGGATCGAGTCAACTAGCACGGGCTCGACGTTGTTCCCATCCGCTTCAATGATGGTGAACTGATGTCCGTCGATGGTGAAGTTGAAGGCAGCGTCACACGAAATCGACACTAGGCGGAACCGGTACCTATATTGTCCGGACAAACGCTATGGGTAATGGCAATATTGAATAATGAACACACCAACCGTTTGCCCTGGGTGACACTGACAACTGCAAGATTCAAAGAACTATCTTCTAGCTGGCGACCAACTCCGTTGATCAAAGTAGTACTCGGTTTGCTGCAATCTGGATGAGGGATCGATGCCAAAGAAGAGAAGCAGATAACTCACGGAATGTTGGGCGCGTCCTTGGACAGATAGTGATACCTGGTTTGGGATCGACGCCTTCGATTAACTCTCTCGACGGGAAGCAGAGAGTGGAGGCAAACTGACCAGTCGGCAAGAGTAATTATGGTATTTTCTACAAGACTTGTCGTGAGTTATCGTACCGTAGACGTATTCACTGGAATCCTTACCATCATCGACATCGTAGAGGTCAGCATAAGGATCTTCGGGATCGTATATCACCATCGGGCCCCTGAGGCCATCACAGTACTGGTTCGAGAAGTGCGAGTGATACCAAAAGGTACCAGCCTACGGAACAACAGAAAAAGAAGGTCGTAAGCCAGTATGATCACTTATCAAGATGACTAGTCGGTACCTGGTCACCCACCGTGAAGTTATAAAGAAATGAGTTGCCTGGGACAATCGGCTGGGAATGAACGATGGTCAGATCGTGCAAACTAGATATAGAGCTATATGAGTAAGAGAACCTACACACTGGGTCACGAACGCGACGCCATCATATGGATTAGTTCTGTACTGCCTGATTCCGTGCCAGTGCTACGAGCAATGGGCGAGACGCCATGAGGGAAAGGTCACATGAAAAAGAGAACGGGAGCCGCGTACGATGGAGGTTTGATTATCGAGACCCTCATAATCCCCTAATATGTCCCTGACATTGATTTGGAAGTTGTCGCCCTAACACGAACCAGTTACGGAAGGTCAGTTGGCATAGATAAAGAGCAAGTATGTTCGCATACTTTGTTGCCTGATATGAGAGGTCCAGGGTGTGTTCCGTTGGCGACGACAGCCCTACGATTGCAAGTGGTCAGGACAATGGTCTGGCCTAGGTAAAGCATCACTCACTGTCTCCGCGGCCTGTGACCGTCGGGAGAGAGCTGAACATTGGAAATATCCAGCTGGACACGTTGAACGGTGACAGCAGAGGACTGCGTGGCAAGGAAGCAGAAGGTAAAGAAAAGACAAGCGAGGAGCTGCATGCTCAGTGCAGACCAGGGATAGAAGAGTGAGAGGACTATGCCTTAACCGAAACTGATACTGAACAACGTCGTAGAGGAAAGGACTTCATATACCTACTCTTTCACCCACAGCATCCAGGATGCCATACCTATCCCTTGGTATCCTAGAATTAAGTGACGTCGAATGAATGTATACTGAAAAGGCTATGGTTAGTGTGTGGCAACACTGCCTGGAGGAACTCTAGAGTGAATACTCTCGGAGGAACAAAGACACATTGTCAAATATCTCGCAGGTTTCGGATATCAGGTCCTGCCACATTTACGGCGAGTAAGCACATCAGTGACGCGAATTGCTATTTTGGTAAGCAAGGCCGAGAAATGATGGTGGTAGCGGTGAGTTGGATTAAAGCATTGAGATATCAGGAAGAATGGAAACTTTAGTTGAATTCAAAGCCACAGCCAGTGAAGGACCGCGTTTCATTCCAACGAACCCCCTTGGGCCACTATCATTGCCACTCGACCCAAAATAAGGCATTGGTATACCGGACTCCTTATAGGTAGTCGACGATAGGGTTCTATACCCTGCTATACCCCGTGAGGGCTGGTAGTAGCAGAATGCACAATAACGCTCGTGCACTTCGATGATGATCATTGGCTGATTAGCCTATTTGCGAGCGCTCCTGTTTGGGAGTACTAACAGTGAGCCCCGCAACGAAGTTAAGCGACCTTGATCAAGGAAAGAGATGGTCTCGAGCTGGGGAGACATACTACCACGAGTAACGTTTCGGAACGGCATGGAACATGGAGCCCAAGAATATCACAGCAGGATATCCCGGCATCATCGCGATTCACCTATGAGAAACGCTGAAGACCGGTCGCATCAATAACCAGAGTTGTATCATTGTGATCAATGGCCACCGTGAGGATAAGTAGAATGGCGCGCGTATTGGCATAGTCTTTGGGGCGTGAGGGATATCCATTTTTTCGGAAGGAATCCGAAATTCAAGTGGGAAGATTCCATCCTGAGAGAAATCCTTAGTCCTCACACCCGGGGGCTTACATATCAGCTGAAACCAAGGACATACCTGCGGAATACTTCAATATGGCCTATGCGTTGAGTTAGAGGAAACACGCGTTTGTGCCTACATATGCATGAAGTCTGCGTGATCAAGTTGCTATAAACGACGGTTTTTTCGTCTGTCCACGCATCGGGTCCAATATAAGCCCTAACCTTAGTTTCGTGTCCAGACCTACGCCACACGCCACACGCCACCTTTGAGCGCCCCCAATTCTCTGTGAATCACTGAACTCTCGAGGGCACAAGTAAAGTCATCTGCTATATTACGACGATATAACACGACATCTTGTCTAACAACAGGAACTTATTCAATCATAAGCTTGGGCTTGTCACTGACACGCCCGTTTTCAATCCGTACCGGCAGCATTGAAGCTGACTTGAAGCTGACAATTAGCGAGCTAGCACAACGATCCTGGAACACAAATATGTAGGGATAGTTCCTCTAGTCCTTTTCATGGCTGGCCACACTTCCATTAACGCCTAATCATAGGTTAAGCTTACCCTTGATGATATCCGCACCTGAACTCGCACGGTAAGTAATATGCAAAAAGTGTAAGAGTGCGCTGACTTACCCAGCTCTCCAATAGCATAGGCGGTGGCTAGTGGAGACAAATCAGGGTCGTATTGGTCAGTGAACAGAAAGTTTAGCACGCGTAACGTCGGGGTCTTACCTTGCATATGAGCACCGATGTGAAGTGGAACGATGGATATATCGACGACACGCAGATTCGTAGTCCCGTACACCTATCGCGATCGAACGTCCGTTGTGTTCAAGATCATGAGATCATGAGAAAAAAAAATCACTTGGGAGAAGACTGAGAAGTGCAAACCTTTAGTTTGGTATCTACGACGCCAGCATCCTCACGAGGCAACATCGAACAAGAGCCGACGGTATCTGGCGGTGCAGAAAATCTTAGCAGAACGAGGATAGCGAACACAATTTTACCGAACGTACGGTAGGTCGTGAAGAAGTTCTGCTTGTACCATTCTAAGACAAAAGGATGGTCAAGACACTTCTGAATAGCAAAGTGCGAAACATCGCTACCTGCGAGTTCCTGGTCTGTCTGCTTCTCAGGGCCAGGCTGAGTCTCGTCGGCTGTAGTACGTTCTCGGTCAGTGATGAGTGGTCTCTAAGTGTAACAGGCAGTGTCACGCACTCAATATACTTTTGAACGGCTCTTCCTCGACAAGGCGACGACAGAACTTGACTATCTCGACGGCGTTTTGAGTATCTAAGCCATAAATAAATGTTGTTAGGTGGACGATGCGACGTAAGAAATAGTCGGCGTACCGTAATCGTGCTCGAAGTAATGGGGGTCGATGGCGGGGTGTTCCAATGGGTCACTCGAGTTGATGTGCTATGTATTGTCGCGGTCGTCAGCCATAAACATACAATTGTGAGGCGTCTTTCGACCACTTACGATCGTACCACGAGAGAAGGGGTGGTTGATGCACACGGTCAAGCTGACGTGTTTCGCATCTGGAGTAGCTAGAACCGCGATCGTTGACGATGATGATCAATCCAGGTTAACTAGACAACACGACATGATGACTAGAATGACTTACGAGAGCCACAACTGAAGAACCCCTGCGCACAAATGAGCTCGCAGCTGGGCTCCTTATGCTGAATATGTTGGAGTTGGACTTCATATTGCTTCTTGAGAGCCGCGGAAAGCTTTCCGGACTGGAAGTCGTTCTGCATGGAATCTTTGAGTTGTTTTTGGATGGTCTCCGCGTCCGGGGAGATGGCAGCCAAGGGGACGAAGGTCATGCATGAAATAGAGGTCCCGAATACACCCTTGCCCTCTTTCCTGTAGAGATATTATCAATACCTGTATTGAAGCGAATCGAGCGGAGAAGGTAAGGACTCACAGTAGCTCCAAATTCTTTGCTAGCTCTTCCGGTTTCGATAAGCAGTCAAAGGTCAGATAGTTGTCCTCAACATCTTTGCGGATCTCTAACGGAAAGCGCGTGTGCTTAGTTCTAGGTATGTATAATAGACTGAAAAGAGATCGACGAACTGTGTAGTAGACCCAAGTATGTATGCTCTTGGATGTTGGATCCCACCCCTGGTAAGTCTATGGCAACGTCGACCCCTGCGGTGCGAAGGACGCTGGGGTCGCCTATGCCCGAAAGCTCAAGGATCTGCAAGCCGAGGGTTGAGAACAATTAGTAAGAAAGGTACGACGGCCGTAAATTACCTGAGGGTTTCCGATTGTCCTGGGAAGCGGTAAATTCAATAGTGAACCTCATCGAGTCAAGAACGTATAACGTACCCAGAAGAAAGGATGACCTCTTTGTTGGCTTTGACCTCATGAAGCTTGCCATCGTGCAGGAATGAGATGCCGGTGGCAGTCATCTCACCATTGCCGCTTTTGCTCAGGTTAACTTTAGCTACATGAGTATCTGTCATAACAATAAAATTCTTGCGTGAAGCATTTGGCTGATAATATGCCTACAGCCAAAGGGCGGTGTCAGCTCAAGCATCAATGCCATGAGATGGGACTCCCACATTTGCAGCGTATGTTCTCTGAATGGTGACCGGGTCGATAGTGACGGGGGTGAGCCAGCTACCTTTGGTCTGTAAGGAGCTTAGCGTAGAGCAGAGCGAGGTTTACATAGAAACGTACGTTCCCGGAGAACTGCATGCAGGCAAGAATATATAGTTATTTTCTCGGAATATTGCTTGTTCAGACGTACCGGCTCTTTTACACGATTGATCCCGAGCTTCTCCTGAGCCTAACGAAGCAGATGTTTAGCATGGGCACCGCGCCAGTACCTACATCGACATAAAGTGGTGTATGAACCTCAAAAAAAGGCTTCTCCAGGTTGCAATTGACAAGGGGGTATGATACTTTGAGCGGTCCTGGAGAGATAGCGAGCGTGATGTATGAGAGAACATCACAAAAGGGGGTCGACGGGGTATCTGTACCGTTAGAACCATGCTCTTTCAAATCAGGACTGATTAATTCAGTGTCTTGCTTCGGAGGAATGAACTGTTCGTGTTTGATGAAGTACTTCTTCAGGAGGTCCCAGTTCCACCCCTTATTTCCGAGCTTCTCCCAAGCTTCGAAATGGAAGTCAGGGCGAGTGTTACCATTCGGAACTTATAGCTAGATGATCAGCACGTACCGTTGATATCAGACATTGCAGGGCGATGATACTCGAAGAAGTTGATAGCAGAGCTTCCGCCGAGCATTTTGCCACTGTGGTAAAGATTAGTGGTAATCAAGCGCAGGACAGAGTCAAGTATAGGTACAAACCGGTTCCAAACGACAGATCTGCCTCCACAGGATGGTTGGGGAACCTGCATGTATACAATAAGACCATTTGTGGAGAAAGATGAGGCTGAACGACGGACTGTCTTATAACTCCAGTCATACTTGGGATTGCCAAAGTGGCTCCCAAATCCAGCAGGCGTGACTGCAAAGGATGTTCCCAGTTAGTGGCGAATGGGACTGCCCAGGAGCGAACAGCGTACGGATGGCCGGATCGTCGAGGTTTCCTGGGCCAGCTTCGAGGACGAGAACAGAGACAGAACTGTCCTCCGTCAAGCGAGCAGCTACAACGAGTCCCGCAGTCTAGTGGAATGTCATTAAACGGCCAGTATTCAGAGTCGTGCAGGTCGATACGCACCCCACCACCTATACATATCAGGTTGAGTTCTCATGGAATCTGATTGATGTAGAGCAAGACATACCAGCAATGATGTAGTCAAAGGATTTTCCAGAGACTTCTTCAATAGTAGCCAACATTGAGATTCAGACCAAAGTGTATGGTCCAGGAAAGGGGTGGGTTACGAGTCGCGCAAAATACAATGTGGCTCATGTTGTATAAAAGATACTCTCGAAGGCGCTTAGGAGCTACGGTGAGGTCACGACGAGCGCTCGAGATCTTGAAGAGTTGTGTCAGATATGATGGTGGAAGAAAGGATGTCCCTTGTTCAAGGAGGTGATGAGAAGATTAGCAGGAATTCGCGCCTTCGGATTAGCTTGGAAACGGGCTATCTACTTGAGATCGTATTGTGCCCTGGATAAGTTCCTTTCTTCCAAGGTCTCCACTATTCCCTTTCGAGAAGCCCCTTCCTCCGAGCGCAGTTCGTCGCATTACAGGAAGCCTAGGGTGCAGGACCCTCATGAGGCTTATGGAGCGTTAATCACTCCAAAATAGACTGTGTGGTCCAGCGCGATGACCTTCGTCTCTCACGAACATGCCGCGTCTAGAAGCACAATGCTATCAGTAGGTAGACATGGTCTCCAAGGAGTAGAGCAGCCTGTATTTCGACCGATAAGCAGGGGATCAGACGGGCTGGCCTTGTGGCGGCTGGCAAGCTGAAAGAGTGGCCCCGGCGGGAGAAAGCGGGGTTGCTTAGTCATCTAAGTATTCCAGTCGCCGGCATCAATTTTTTCTCTCCCTTGAGAACCGCATTCTTGAAACATGGTCTACTCGGGCTTTCACAGGATCGCACTAGACAGGCAACACTTTCGTTCGCCATGCATAGACAAGCCGTGCCCAGCCCTTGTCAAGCCAATGGACGTGTCACGGTAGCCTTCAATGTTGACTTAGAATGATCACCGGCATAGCTCTGACAGCCAACGACCTCCTTCCAATACATGCCTCAGAAAACCCTCCTGTATGGTCATTTTATTCTGTCTAAGAACGCTTTCTCTAGGTCCCACTAGATATCACTTTGCGAGCGTGGTGAAAAGGTAGCGAGTCCTGCAAGACTCGAAAGATGCTATCAGCTGTGCTTGGCTTGAGGCGCTACGCCTCCATGGTCCACGATCATTAGGCCTGCAACTCCTCCCGGTCAAGTCGGACTTTCTTTGACCCCATCTTTCAATCTTATAACACTACTCGCATGCGTTACGAATGATATTCCACGGCTGGCCTATTCGTAGCTTCATAGCGTTGATATCGAGCTTTGGATTCGCCAGGAGCATCTTCTGTTCTCGAACAACGCCCTCAATGCAGTAGAAGGCACATCTTCTCACTGCGATGCTCCATGGACCAATCCACACGCCGAGGCATTAGCTCATTTCCAGTCTACGGCTGATAGAAGATATTAGCGAGCATATCGGTGTGCGCGTGCTTTATATCCCTTGGGCGAACGAATCCTAGGCGCTTCACACTGCCTGTTCCTACCCAGCGATGTTGCCAACCGCTAGCCCATTGTGCGATTTCCCTATCCTCCCGATTCCCACTCCTCACGGCCACAATAGTCGTACTTTCCACCCACCTCCGCTCGATGGAAGTCTCAGTATATCCGAGATCTTCGAATTCCATGCTGAACATAGCCCGGAACACCCAGTCTTCATCTACGCCGATGGCCCGGACGATGCTCGAACGATCTTGTACCCTGAAGCATGGCGTCTTGTCAAACGGGCATCCAAGATAATTCACAGTCACACTTCGCGATTCGATGAGCAGTATAGCCTTCAAGATCGTGGAGGCCCTCAGAATCCCCCTACCGTAGGCATTCTTGCAAATGCTGGTGAGTGACATCTCGATACTCCATTCAAAGCGCTCTGAGTGTAATCGTCCTTGACTACAGACACCATCAGCTTCTTCTCGACTATCGTCGGAACCATGCGCCTCGGTCTTCTTGCATTCCCACTATCAATCCGCAACTCACCAATCTCAATCGCGCATCTGATTAAGAAGACCCACGTCCTCCAGCTGTTCGTGTCGCCTGATCCGGCCATGCAGAGTTTGTGTGCCGAAGCTCTTGATATCTTGAAGGATGACGGTATACAGGTCGAGGTCCTGCCGATGATACTGTTTGATGACATTCGAGATGACGCGCCGCGCGCGTCCGAGTTGGACCAGGTCGAGTTGCCGCTGCCGAAAATCAACTTAGATACGAGCAGCATTATTTTTCACTCCTCCGGTACGTTTGAAGGAAAGCATTGTCCTATCCAGAGCAGAGGTTGAGCGGAAGTCAATATGTAGGCAGCACCTCGTTCCCGAAACCTATCTATATTACCCACAGAAGACTTCTTCAATGGAGCTTGGTACCACGTATGTTCTAACGGTTATTGGGTCTTACCTGAATAATTTGCTCACTCTACCTGATACCTTGTAGTCTTCGGAGAAGTAGACCTGTGCGGTGTTGTACTCGCAGCTCCTACATTGGGCCTTTTCCGTCAGTTCATTCGCTCCGAATGTATATAGCAATCGTCACTGACACTACTTCAGATGTCATGGGCATCGTGTTCGTCATATGGACGGTGCGTAGGCCTGCCGCATAGTATCCACTCGCCACGACTAACGCACTGGTGCAGAGCGTCCCCGGCATGACACTCGGAGTGTTCAAACCTGCATCACCTCCCGTTATCCCATTGCCCGAAACAGCCTTGAACAACATCATGCAGATCAAGAGCACCTACATACTGACAGTCCCTTCGTTTATTGAGGTGAGTAGCCTTCAAATCTGTTCCCGCGCCCCAATTCTCATGGTACTCATCTCTCGCCCACTAGGCATGGGCTCGCGATTCTACTATGCTGTCGCAGCTCAAATCGATGGTCGGATCGTTGCGTGGTATAGTAAGTTATAATCTTCGCCGGTTCTCTGTTCCTTCGTGCTACTGACGAACCATCACCCAAGGCATACTCCGGAGCGCCTCTGACAAAGTCCCTAGGAGACGACCTCGTTCGGTCCGGCGTGAATTTATGCCCCCTCTTTGGCCTGTGAGTTACTTACGCGGCCTTCTTTGCACTCGCTGATACGATAACGTCTGAACTGTTCACAGTACGGAGACCTGGTGTGTAGCCTTATGCTTGCCGTCGAAACAGAAGGATCTCGAAACGTGGGAGTGGTTCGAACCATCCCCACTTGCGGAGCTAGAGTTCATTCCTCAGGAGGGAAGTGAGGACCTATTCGAGATATGCGTCGTCGTCAGTTCTTTTCTCTCCTTTTTTGTTCTGGCGATACCTAACTATTGATAACGTGTAGGAAACACCGTATTCTGGCCCGGCTCTGACAAACGCGACGTCGCGCGACGGAAGACCAATGTATAGGACTTCAGACCTCTGTCAGATGCATCCGACGTATCCGAACAAGTGGAGAGTACACGGAAGGTCGGACGATCAGATCATGCTGTCCACTGGAGAGAAGGTCAGATCTTCGCGCGTTTTATTTTCGTATAAGTGCATAATCACCCATATATTTTCCTTCGTGGATAGACAAATCCAGGACCCCTAGGTCGGTCTCTCTTTGCTACCGTTATTTTTGCGGCGACTTATGTGATTTTCCGAATTGCAGAGACAATCTTGATCCAAGATCCTCATGTCAAGGCGGCTGTCATGTTCGGACGAGGTCAGTTCCAGAATGGAATTCTTGTGGACCCGAAACCGGAGTATGCATTCGATCCAGTGGATGAGGCGAAACTCGTTGAGTTTCGCAGCTTGATCTGGTGAGTTGATATATATATTTCCGTCCTTGTCTTTACTTCATTTCATACTCACACTCGGTGGCAGGCCCTCCATCGAGAAAATGAACGCGTTTGCACCGGCCCACTCCCGACTGTTCAAAGAGGTGAGTCCGCCAATTCCCTTCGGAGAGTCTCTCGATGCATACCAATATATATGGCGACTTCTCTTTGTGCCCCCAGATGATCATCGTCGCAAGCCCGTCGAAGCCCTTCGAATACACGTCTAAAGGAACACCCCGAAGGCATTTCATGACTGCGAGGTACGACCAGGAGATTCAAGCGTTGTACGATACCGTCCGCGAGTCGGCTCAGATCGACATTCCTGTCCCCGAAGTTTGGACAGAGGAGTCTGTGCTTCAATTCGTTGGGGAAACTGTCAGGAAGGTCATGAAAAGAGACGTTCCCGCGGACGCCGATATCTTCCAGCAAGGTTGCGATAGGTTTGTGTCGTTTGTACTTAAACGCGCTTTGAAGACCTTGTTTGGCTGATCACCGTTATTATCGCCATAGCTTGCAGGCGACATACATCCGCAACGTTATTGTCCAAGCACTTCGCCAACCGCTCAGCACCTCCAGTCTCCGTCTCCCCAGTAACTTCATATATTCGAACCCGACAATTAATGCTCTATCCTCGTTCATTAGTTCCTTATTCTCGCCTGACGATGTTACGATCGGACTCACCTCCGAGAGCGACGTTGCTGAGATGGAAGCCATGGTCGAGAAGTATAGTGTCGACTTCCCCGTACATCGAGGCGGCGAAAGCGACGGAGCGAACAGCGTCGACGAAGTCGTATTACTCACTGGTACCACTGGCCGGCTTGGATCTCATCTCCTGGCCCAATTGTTGGCAAAACCGTCGGTCACCAAGGTATATGCCCTGAATCGTGCTGCAAAGGGGAGCATTGCAGGGAGACAACACGATGCATTCGTGAATTGGGGCCTCGATGAAGTCCTACTTTCTGGCGGGAAGCTCGTCTTGGCCAAAGCTGACTTCAGTAAATCTGATCTCGGAATTGGAGAAGACTTGTACAACGAGGTCCGTTTTATTCTCTGTCGCAAATATTCAAATATTCTCAAAGTCGACTACCCACAGGTTCGTGACTCGGTTACAAGCATCATACACAATGGTAATTATTCCCTTTATCCCTTTATCTTGTCGCATTTTGGCTGACACCTTATCATCTGCAGCGTGGCGTGTCGACTTCAATGTTGCACTATCGTCGTTTGAACCTCTTGTCGCCGGAGTACGACGCTTGATCAACCTCTCCCTCTCATCTCCTCGCCCGTCAGCCCCTCCCATCCTCTTCAGCAGCTCCATCTCCGTCATCATCAGTGCGCATTTTTCTTTCGCACACTTCACGTCTCCAACTGATGGTCGTCCACGTCATTGTGACTCTAGATTCCCCTGCGTCTCCGATCCTTGAGCTCCCGATAACGGATCCGAAAATCGCAGCCGGTCGTGGGTATAGTGCAAGCAAATGGGTTGCGGAGACCATGCTGCTCAGGGCCATGAGTGAACGAGGCCTTCGCACGAATATAGTACGCGTCGGACAGTTGTCCGGAGACCTTGCGAAGGGCGGATGGAACGAGAAGGAGTGGGTTCCCGTCTTACTGAAAGGGTCCCAGGCTTTGGGAGCTGTCCCGCAAAGAGTAGAGGTATGTTCCAATGTCCATGCCAATGTCTCTCTTTCACTCGTACTTATATGCATATCGTTTGAAAAGGAACTGTCCTGGGTCCCTGTCGACGCCGCAGCTTCGACTCTCCTCGAAATGCTTGGAAGTACAGAACCTGTCCTCCACCTCGTTCATCCTCATCCAGTTCCGTGGACCGTCATCTCCTCTACTTTCTCCACACTACTCAACATCCCCATCGTTCCTTACGACCAATGGCTCCCTATGCTCAAGGACGCAGCCCGTGACACTCAAAGTGACAGCGATGCTGTCAAGCATAATCCTGCGCTTCTGTTATTGGAGTTCTTTGAAAAAGATTTGCCGGCGGAGACTGGACTAGTGATTGATACGGGTAAAGCTGTGGTAGTGAGCGAGACATTGAGAGATGCGAGGAAGATGGGGGGTGGCGATGTAGAGATGTGGATAGGGTACTGGGCAGAGAAGGGTTTTTTGTCAGGCGGTGTGTAGAAACCAAGTCTTTAGGGGATGAGTCAAACGTATGATATTGGTGTATTACCTGTATGTACTGTTATGATACCAATGGTCTCGTAGATCTCCAAAGGACCAGGTCCTCCGGCTGTTGACGAGAAATTGATCCTCGTTTTCCATTCAACCTCCCTGGAAGTAGGTAGCAGTGGCGCCTATTTTTTTTGTGACCAGTTATCCAACCCATAAACCCAAACAACATCATCAGCCCTTCACGGACAATACTGTCACAGAGTCACTTTTCAAAAGCACGGAGTGGGTAAAATATATGAAGCACTACGTCGTGGCACTTTCACGGTATTTTGCCTCCAGCTAAGGCCGTACAATATCATCTCCTCGAGTCAATTGCCCCGAGTACTCGTCACAAACGGCATGGGCTCATTCGATTCCTTGTGTTCTAATGGGGAATCTTATGTCTAGAAAGTAACCATGAGTCCGTTTTGATAGTCCTCGATTACCAAGCTTGAGTGACTTACAACCGGGAAGGTGCCCTGCCTTTCAACACCTGCTGCCCGTTCCCTCTGCACTGTGCACAGCTGCTTGGTTGCGCACTATCTCTTCCTGAACATCGTTCAGTACTTCACTGCCTAACACCTCCGGAAAGTCATCCAAATCACGTTCCCACTGGCTGTGATCGAGAGGAGCTCCGATGTTACCCAACCATCTACTTCCTTCGAATTGAATGTGGGGCAAGGCGGTCGTGCTCAATTCTGTTTCCGTATCTCTAGACTTGCGGTCGAAGTTGCGTAGGTTGAGGACGACGCGGTTCACAAGCAAGCTCGGTAATCTATAAAAACACGAAGTGACTATAAGCAAAGTATCAACAATAAAAATAAGAATCAAAGACCGACACCACGAAGTATGGCGTTATGGTGATCACGAACGACGCAGAGCCTATCTGGTCACGAGATAAAAGGAAGCTGCAGACTTTCAGGAGATGAGGATAATTTGGAACTCACTTCAGGATTGATGAACGATGCCTTGATAAACAACGTGGTCAAAGATGGAGCTACTTTGTTGAACAAGAAAAGTTGCAACGAACCACAGCCATTCCAGCCTGCATACCCGCGAGTACGAAGACGGCACTATCCATCGGTGCGGATCCTCAGGCATGATACAAGGTATATCTTGTAAAATACGCACGTATAGTAATACATTCCTGTGATCCAGTATAGGTACTTAGTTGATATGTCATTGATGCTAGTGGGCGAATAATACTAGTGGGCGAATAATACTGACCATCACGTAGAAGGACCTGAGAGAGGCTCCGTTCATTGCCTGTGAGTCTCCGCATTCCAGTTGTGTAATTGGCGGTTTTCTTCACCGTGAGTACGATCACGTAGGTATCGAATGCGATTTGCGATAGTGAAATTGCCAACTGAGCTATTGGTGAGTTAGTCAATCTCGACATCGACCGAATTTATCAGGCGTACAGCTGGTGTAGAGGTGACCCGGTTTCAGTCATCTGAAGGTAATGTGACGATGCGGAACTCACGTACCGTGTTTGAAAAGTTGGATTGAGATACTCAAAATTGCATGCACGCAGGGTCCTCATCACTGAGTCTGCTGAAGGATTGTATTTCCGAAGGGAATACTGCTGGAAAACAATACGGAGATGTGGGTACCAGAGTATGCCACGTTGGTGCTAGGTCCCAGAGCCTACCCATATGTCGAGAAACAACCTCGGAAACATCAATATACCGGCGCCAATGGCTACACTCTTGCTCTGCCCGTGTATAGCATACACTCTGACAGTGAACAAAACTGCATGATTTGCGGGATAGAGAGCATGAGTACAAGAGTCTAGGGACCTGCTAGCAATACAAGTTACCCACGATTCGTCGCTGTAATCGAAAATGTCTGGAAAATACCGTCGGCAACGTTCAAGGCAGGGCACCTGCGCATGCGCGGTCGAAAATGGTCAGTAGTGCCAACGACCGCGATATATGATGGAGTACATACGACAAGCCCAGAGAAGAATCATACCCCGGGGACGCTACCATGATACCAGTGACCAACGAGATGAAGAGTGAATATCGGTTGAGCAGAAACAGAAGCGTGGGCGCGGTCAGGCGACTTGACCAGATAGCTCTGACCTCCATGGGAAAGGTCTGCAGAAAATCTAATACAAATAATGCTTCAATCCAGTCAGAACATTGTGATGTTGAGTGGTGACCGTGGACTATCGACTTACCACAGCCGGATACCATAGTAAAACTGGTAATCAAGCTAGATTGTTAACAGTCTTGAGTAAACCATCGCGTGCATGACAAGCAAAATGTCCTCACCTAAGTTGTTGAGACCGATAAGACTCCGGCATGATGGCAAGCGGAGGAGGGAACTACGGAGTGAACAACAATTCCAGCGACCTTCTCTTAAGTAGTAGAGCTATATCGGGCATGTTCTCGAGATATCGGGCTCATGACCGCGCTTTGGAAGACGATGTTCATCAGTGACAGTATCCCCGTATACGCTGTTGGGGGTTATCAGAAGGTTGCATATCAAACATAACTGCATAAGGTGCTTCAGAGCTGCAAACATCGCGTTTCATTACCCAAAGCGGGAAAAGAGGTGATATGTCAGAATATTGAACATGGAAAGCCGCGCTTTTACACAGCATATGACGATTGTAGTCGAATGCTTTTTACTTCGGAGCACCAATCACGGCATTCGACGTAGAAGATATCGGTGAAACATGCTTTGAAGTGGAATAGATAAAGCTACACGCCACCATAGCGGGAGAAGGTCCACCTTGGTAAACTCCTTGTAAACCCTTGATGCAGCGGCATGGAAAATTTATTGCGACTCACAGCACATCGGAGCCTCTTCAAGTCCGGGACGGTTTTGAAGTTAAAGTTGGTCTCAAGCTAGTGGTGAGAGCACCGACGACCATAGAGATCCGGCATTGGAGAATAGGACCGCTCGGCCTGGTAAAGCCGTGCAGAGCGGGATGGTCAAGGATATTGCTGCCGATGTGAACATGTTTGGACAGCTTCAGGCTATCGTACCCCATTTGCTACATACTCCAGGAATGGTATATATCCTAGGAGCCTCGGGCAGACATCTGACGCTTCTCCATGAATTGCAGTCGCTACAGGACCACTTCACTGAAATATACCGGATCTTGGTGTGAATTGTCCGGAATGACCTGGAGCACTGTGCTCGAGAAAGAACGAGGAAGGAAGTTGGCTTTCTGGATGAGAAATTGCCCTACTGATATAAGAGAAAGCGCCGGACGAAGTATGGAGAGCCATATCGTGGCTTTGTAGCCCAGTCAGTCCAAATGACTACACAATTTCCGCAGGGACTACCCGGATGCTTTTTGGCGTCCGTAAGTGTGCATAATAGCTAGAGAACGTCGAATTATCGTTAGTGTAGGGAACGGAGCCCATACATATCACTCACCACCAGTATCAACCAATTCTATGCGCTTCCTACTACTGCTTGGTCTACCTCATGTAGAGTGTCCTCATTCCCAAGTCCCTCTTCTTCTGGAACAACATCTAGACCCAAGTCCCAGTCGGTGTAGTCAAGGGGCGCTCCCATGTTTCCCACCCACCGGTTAGACGTGAATGCTAAAATCGAGTCCAACACCGTAGTACCGGAACGCGATTCGGCGCCGTCACATTCAGCGTCGAAGTTACGTAGGTTGAGGACGAGGCGGTTCACAAGTATCATTGGAAGTCTAAGGTTGGTCACTTATTAGAACGGGATTCACCCACCACAAGGAAGATGAGAAACCGACACGACGAAGTACGGTGTTATAGTGACCACAAATGATGCGGATCCTATCTGTTGACGGTCAATACATCAGGATCCTATGCCGACATCTTGGAGAGACTTACTTCGGGGTTAATGAAGGAGGCCTGCATGCCCAGTTTTGTCAGAACGATGGACACTGGACGATAGGCGATAGGCGAGAACTCACTACGACCATACCAGCCTGTACACCTGCGAGGACAAAGGCGGCACTAGAAGCCGAGTCAGATTCGTCATTACAGTATATGATGAGATTCAAGAGACGCACACAAAGTAGAGTAAACCTGAATGTAGAAGAGAAAATTAGCACGTCTGCGCAGTTGATGTCATTGAGTGATGGGGACCCACCGTCACGCAAAAGGAGCTGAGAGATGCTCTTTTGGCTGAGTCGTCGCATTCCCATCGCATGGTCTGCGGTTTTTCTGACCGTAAGAACGATCATATAGGTATCGAAGGCCATTTGTGACACCGAAATTGCCAACTGAGCTATAGAAGAAGTCAGCAGAACAGCGCACTCTCGATGCTTCTTAAACTTACATCTAACGGGACAAGCCTCTCGCCTTAATTAAGCTTTGAGATGCGAGTAAGGGCCACATACCGTGATTGAAAAGCGGGACTGCGATATCCAAAATTACACGCTCGTAAAATCTTCTGGCCATCTACTGGTGGTACATATTCTGTCATAGAATATTGCTAAGAAAAGCAAAGGAAAATGTGAGCGTACAGTACGATACACTCAGATTCAGCTAAGCCCCAGACGCACCCATATATCAAGGAATAGTCTCGGAAACATCAAGAGACCGGCAATTGCGAGCACACTCCTGCTTTGAGCGTATATGGCGTACACTCTGAGAGTAAACAATACTGCATGATTGGAATGGCATACTCGATCAGAACAGAAGCCTTCCCGCCAGCCACAGAACACTAAACAAGGGACTGACTGTTCGTTGCAGTGATAGAGAAGGTCTGGAAGACACCTTCGGCAACGTTCAACGCAGAGCATCTAGATGACCAACCACTGTCAGCTGTGATGAGCGTCACCGTCATATAAACACATACGATATATGAACATGAGGGTTGGAACTTGGCGTCGCTATGACTAGACTAGTGGCTAACGAGCCGAAGAGGCCGTATCGATTCAAGAGAAAGAGAAGCGAGCTGAAGCTCAAGGGTTTGAACCAAATGGCCCTGACTTCCTTGGGGAAGGTTTGAATAAAGTCTAACGCAAATAACGCTGTATTCCGGTCAGAGAAAACAGTAAGAGTACGAGAAGATTTATGACTCACTACAGCCGGAAACCCTCGCGTAGCTAGTCACCAGGCTAGTCCGAAGCAGACATTGAGGAACGGAGTGATGGCACGTCGGCGAGAAAGTGAAGTAACACTCACTTGAGTACTTGGGCACGAACGGAGAGTGACATGATTGAATCTGGGGAGGGTGACCGAAGCAACTTCCTTCTTTTAAGTCTACACGGATACATTTATATGCGGAGCTTGTACACTCCAAATCTTGTTCGTTGCACACCTGGCTGATAAGATTGGAGCAAGAAGGTACACACGGGAATAGACAATCCAGCAGTATGTGCGGGAAGTCTAGTGGACCTAGATCATCCGCATCATGATAATGCTATGGAAGCGACTTCTCTCCTAGTTGTCCTTCCCAGCATGTCCTGTCTGGATCGTATTGCGAGCTTCATGCACCGTAAGGTTCTCGGCGAGGAGCACATGCCCCGCACAGGGAGCGCAGGAAGAGCACAACTGAGAATAACACTGCGGGAGAAGCGACGATATAAGCTTTGAGAACTCCAATTGGACAGGGTGAAAGACAAGACAGATTCTTGTAGCGCGAATGATAAGAACTAGGCGAGAACACTAATACTGCATACAGGTGAGGACTTCTTACACTGGTATGGAGAATAGTCTATTTATCATCGTTAAGAGCGAAAATTGTTCGTTCAAGGTCATCCCAAGTAAAGGCAGTGAAAACTCTGCACTGGGTAAAGTCAGAATACCTCGGCAATAGCCCACATGAGTGCAGAACGGATTTTGTGCTGTGCTGGGATCATGATGTGCGAGCCCATGGCGCTATAAGCCCAGCAATGAACGTGCCTGTCGTTCAATTGAACTTCCCTTCAGATACACGGAGTTTATGGGGAAAGGGAGTGTCCAGGAAGCGATGAAATGCATGGAATTTAGAACGACTAAGGGAGAAGAAGGACGATGCTATAATGGGATAATTGCCCAGAACTTCCGGGGCAATGTGACGTACCCGTGGTTACTCGAAATGAGCAACGGCTTCGCAGATCGCCTGCGATTTTCAGGCCTTAGACTGAACGCAGTGCGAGTGAATGTCGGATGAGTGGATTAGGAGAGGAAGAAAGAGATGGAGGCTGCAAGGCTCCGGCTTCCATGTTTCGGACTTCCAAGTTCATTCGGCGCTTGCCGTGCTCACTCGGGTGGCGCGGGTGGGTCCCCGACCGCGCCACAGTGTAAATGTCAATGTTCAGAATTTGTTCTTCGCATCCTAGTTTCCCGCATGACATGCAGGATGATAACCCGGGTATAGGTGACTTATCTCGGACCGCGTTAATATTTTCAGGCTTGGATGGTCCAAGGATCGCCAGATGTAGGAGCCCATCCATATAAGTACTTGACTTTGGGCAGCTGATTCTAACTAAAGTACACGAATAATACAAGAAACAAGAAGGTAGAGGATACATACAACAGCAAGAGCGGAGTTCAGATCTCTATAGTACGTGGGATGAAGGAAGTACTCCGCTTGGCGGACAAGCCACTCTACAGGGACAGCAGCCAAGGCCAAGAATCCGAAGCAAAGTTCACAAAGCATACGATAACGCTCAGCATCACCAAATAGAAAGTCTTCCCTAACCTCTCATCCTTCCCTCGCCCACTTCCATTGCTATTACTGCCATTAGTGGCCTGCAGCTCACCCCAAGGTGGTGTCGGAAAAGCTAAAATCGTCTCCTGGCTCCCCGTCAACTGAATCGTCTTGCCCCTCAACACCTCTCCCGTCGCATCTACCCCTACCCACAAATTATAGGTCCCCGGATACAAGATCCAATTTCCATTCTCATCCACACGCGATATCGAGCCCAACGTGACGTTCAACTCTGCTGTGGCCGTCCCGCCTGGCGTGATATGTGGCACCCTCGTATATCCAACGAGTTCCTGCAGGGGCGCAGGAGAAGGCCCAGAGGTAGAGTTGGCGAAGAGGAGTGCTACGTAGTCCGATGTGTAGTTGCTTCCGGTGTTGGTGACCAGGAGTGAGAACGTATCTAGAATCTCAGTATCCGCAAATCCGCCCGACTTATTGGCGGAAGAGACGATGTCCTGTATGTTATATGTCGTGGAAGAGCTGTCGGACCAAGCGAGGCGAAATGTGGTATAATGTATGCCGTACCCGAATGGATATATTGGGGCGCCTGTGTACCATTTGTATGTCCGTCCTGGAGAACCAGACGAGTTGGGGCGGATAGCCATGTCGGTCATGTCGATCTCGGAAACGTAAGAAGAGGGGTATTGTGTTACGGGCAGACGCCCTGAGGGGGATTGTTTTCCGGATATTATATCGACCAGAGCGGTCCCACCGCTTTGACCTGGGTATCCGGCCCATAGCAAGGCGTTGACCTTTATTAGGGGGACAAGATATCGTTTAGAGAATGTGTCTGACACGTAACAATGAAAGAGAGAACTTACAGTTGCATTAGCCTTGAGTGTGGAGTCATCGCACTGACCGCCACCCATCCTCACGACTACCAACGGTTTTCCGAGCTCGCCCAACTGGCCAATCAAATCGAGCTGACTCCCAGGCCACTCGATGCTCGTCCTATCCTGTCCCTCTGCCTCGATCGAGTTGTCGATCCCGCCCACAAACACTACCACATCGGCACCCTGAGCAGCTTCTAGTGCCTCCGAATACCCGCTGTTGTCGCTATTCGAGATACCCGTACCGAACGCGAATGTGACGTTATAACCTGCGGTCTCGAAGGCCTGCTGGGGACTAATAACGAAGGGAGCGATTCCGGCGTAGTTGCCTTGCAATGAAAGCGTGGCGTTGGCCATAGGACCAATGAGTGCGATGTTCTTCACATTGGTAGAGAGAGGAAGGAGGCCGTCGTTTTCGAGAAGAACGATGCCCTGGACAGCGGCGTTGTAGGCAAGGTCCTGAGAGGAGGGTGTATTGACGTTGGACCAGTCGAAGGAGCGATAGGGTTGTTGCTCCGCAGGGTCGAAATAGCCAAGTCTACAATTATCGAACTCAGTTAGATACACCTGCGACCACAGAAGGATACGTCGAGGACCTACCTGATGAGGGAACCGTACAGACGGATAAGGGCTGTTTGAATCTGCCCAGCCGTGATCAACCCCTCCACCACAGCAGTCCATAAATTCGGTGAATATACATCCCCACAGTCAAGATCTGTGCCAGCGTCCATGGCCACTGCAGTCGCATTCACCAACGTATCGGTGTACCCGTGCGGTTGGTAGATATTTTGCACCGCGCCACAATCACCGGTGATCCACCCTTCCCGCTCGCCTAAACCCCAAAAGTCCCGCACCAAATCTTTCAGAATATAGGAGCTTGCGCAGGACGGAACACCGTTCACCGCGTTATAAGAGCACATAGCGCTCGCGCCTTGTGCGTCCCTGAGACAGCCTTGGAATGAAGGGGTGTAAAACTCCGAAAGGTCCTGTGTGGTAACGACCGCGTTAAACCCGGTCCTGTCGTTCCCTTCCCAGTTCTCCACATCGTACGCGAGGACGTGCTTGCAGTTTGCCAGGACTTTGTAGTAGGGGTCTGGAGAGAGGCCACCCTGGAGTCCGACGACGTATTGGTAAACATACCGCGATAGGTGATAAGGATCTTCTCCAGGCGTTTCTTGACCACGTCCCCAGCGAGGATCTCTGAATGGATTGATGTTCGGAGTGAAGAAGGTGAGGCCGGCGTAGTTGAAGTTATTGAAGGCGCGGGCTTCGGTAGAGATGACGTCTGCGATAGACGCAATGAGTGAGTCGTTGAAGGTGGCGCCGAGGAGGATGGGTGCTGGGAAAGAGGTTGCGGATGTGAAGTTAGCGTCGGGTCCACTTCCCCAGTTCACGCCAGGACTACTCCCTACACCATGCTAGAGGACGTCCGCGTTAGTCAATTAAATTTCGCGTTTTCTTCGTCGCCGACGGAGACCTCACCAGTGCCTCGTTCCACCACTGATACGGTGGCAGACCTAACCGATCGACTCCCGGAGAACCGTTAACTGTATTGTTGACTAGGTCGGTGAGGTTAAACTCTTCTATAAGGGAAGTCGCCCTGTCCACAAAGTGTGCAGTGGTATTGCAGACGAGGTTATCTCGAAGAGGACCATTGACGCAGTCGGAGAAAGCGGAGGCGCCTTGTGCTACGGCGATGGCAGCAGCGCTTCCTAACCGTAGTGCCTTCTCGCTGGAAAACATGAAAGGTTCTTGGAGAAAAAAACCGTCCAGCGGGGGTTTGAGCTGGGTACAAAGAAAGATTGAGGCCCGCGTCAAGGTGAGGAGGAAAGCAGAAAGGAAAGTTACAAACTAGAGAAATAGACATGATGGGGATGTGGAACACGAGCTGATCGCTCGGCGTAGAAGGGGCTGTGAGTGGGCTGTTTCACTGATATCTCTCGAGGACGCCGATCCACTATGCCTTACAGCCCTGGGAAATACAAGCAAGAGCAACTAAATCCGGGGAATTATTGCGCTCTCGACCGCCTTTCGAGCGATCATGCCACGAACAAAGGGTCAAGGAACCGCAATGTCTCAGCCACGATGAGCAGGTCGAAGACAAATGGAGATGCTCTAGCCCCGAAAAGTGATTTTACGAGGCGCCCGAGCCCTTGAGAATGAGCGCTGCTAACAGTCGCAAGTTCGAGAAAGCAAATTTGACTAGGTGTTCATACCACTAATCGTCGACGACGGTCGACGTCAGGATGTGATGGTGGACGAAGAAGAAGCGGAGAAAAAACCCAGGGCCGCGGTTGAATAGCGGCCCGAGGGCGGGCCGCAAAAAGGGGCTGAGTGGCGACAACTGGTTGCCACACACATATTTGCTAGCAGTAAGTTCAGCACCGTCCTCTGTTAACACAAAGAAGAATGCATATATTTTACACAACTGCGCAAATAAAGCTAGTGGAGGATCTGATGATACATGCGCGTGTGTGTAGCGATAATAATTTATATCCTCATGTAAGTAGAACTTTCTGACTCTGGCCTTCGTAGTCGAGCGTGGATTCTCAGGTCAACTAACTGTCCCTGCAGAAAAGATCAGACTCTGTGAATACGCTAAGCAAAGATATACACAGGAATGGTCTCACATAAGCGAACGGTCTTGTCTCGGCTAGCCGTGGCAAGGAGGTCTCCTGCTTTGGAAAGAGCTATAGATTCGACTAAAAAAAAAGAGGACGGGATAGAATTCGTCAGATCAAGGAAGAAAGAGCAGTCACGAAACTGACGTACTAGCTTTGTCGTGTGCATGGAATGACTGATATAGCCTTCCATCCCGAGAATCCCATATCCGCACCGTACCATCAGTCGAACCCGACACGATCCACACTCCATTTTCAGAGATGACCAAGGATGTGACCTGGCACTACGACAACCAACTCTTCCGTCAGCACCTGAATGCATTGAAAAAATCCAGAAAATAGCCATGTGAAGAATAGATAAAACCACTGACCCCATCGTCCTCGAGCACCTTCGTGCATAACGCCCCCAATCCCTCCGCCCCAGCCCCCTGCCCCGGGTTTGATATGCTCTGCTTCGCAAGGACGCTCGCGACATTATCATTTCCCCATTTCCAAATCTTGATCGTCCCATCAAAACTCGAGCTCACTACGCCTGTCCCATCCCCCAAAAACACGATCCCACTGATCCAATCAGCGTGGGCCCTCGTCACTCTCTCTACCAACCTTCCCGTAACCGCGTTACAGAAACTGATACACCCATCCTCGCTGCCCACGGCGACCAACAGACCGTCATAAGAAACCGCAGAGCACCAGGCCGCTTGTGAGCCTGTCGACGTGAGTTGATCGTTCAGTGTCAAAGTGATGGGGTGGTCGATGTCGGAATAAATATCCCAGGCGCGGTATGAGGGCAGGGTGCTCCATATGCGTGCTGTGCGATCTAAAGATGTGGATACGAGCCGATTGGCGGAGGGGTAGAAATCGAGCGAAACGACCCAGTTGTTGTGGCTCTTGAGGATGCTCTGGATCCCTCGCCTAGTGACGTCCCATACCTTCGAAAAGAAACGTGATGAGCGCTCAAGATGCTGCGAACTGTAGCGCCACACTAAATGCTACCAACGTACCCGGATCTGTTTATCCTGCGATCCTGTGGCGAGATATCTTCCGTCAGGACTGAACCGCACGCGATACACGATCGACGTCGACTTCGCCTCCGACTCTGATTCGGATACTTGTCCCAAGTTCACGACTTGCTGCGTGAACTCGTCCCTGTCCGATAGCGGTGAACTCGCTGGGCCGACGATAGCGACATCGTTCGCCAAGATGGCTTGTTCGCTGAGCAGATCAGCACGTTCTGGGAGTAAGCGCCTGTATGGAACACCATGAGCAATCGGCGTGGTGTGATAGCGGGAAAATAGAAGAGAGAAAACCTGCAGCGGAACAGAACTCACCACATGGTATGGTCCCCTGGTCTTGGACCAGTGAAGAGATCGTAGAGTCGAGTACCGTGTTCGCTGCCTGTGGCGACGTATCGTCCGTTGTGCGAGATGTCTACCGAATATATTGTGCTGTGCGACACGAGAGGTTGAGCACTGAACAACACGGGGGCGTAAGTGTGGACGAAGCGCACGTACCTAGGATGCTCAAAGACCCGAAATAAACGGATGAGAAACTGCTCTAGCGGAATCTCATTATGGTCAGCAACGACACTAGCAACGGGCTCTCTTCCGTCTGCCGATTCGAGATCCGTGAAATCGGATTCAGAGCCCAATGAAGAATCTGAAATATGTTGCCAGTCTTCGCCGCACTCTGTCTCTGTCTTGATCGACGGACTCTGGTCTGTGAAGACACAAGCTGGTCAGTCAATATGCCATAGATAGAGCGGCATGGGGAGCGTATACGCAGGGGTGTACTGGCTGAGGAGACCGTACAATTTCTGGTGCGCGCGCCACACATTTAGCAAAAGCAACTCACCTCTGATCCCAGTACCCTCATGAACCCAGCTCCAACCACTACTCGACGACGCAGACGGTGAAGACATCGTTGACCGTTCGGCAATGAATCTGTCAGGACACGTACGCAACCAAATCGCAGGAGTCGTTCTGAGACCCTCGCAGGATGATGGGAGAGCGGAAAGAGTCAGGAGATGAAGATAGCATCAAGGTGCAGCCTGTGGCCACATCATTGCACTCCCTGCTATATATACCTCTCCTGCTGGTCTTGGTGATGGGCGGTGCGAGAATTGGGCTGTATGCACTCTGAGAAAGGGAGGGACTGCGACTGAGGAAATGAGCAAGCGCCCATACAGCAGTACCTATTGCTCAAAAGAAGCTCGGATCTCAGGCTCCTTGTACACAGACGCCTGTGGAGAGAATTCAGCAGAGTCAGAATACACCCAAGGAGATTCTTGTTTAGGGGCAAAACTGCGGTTATGAAGAACTGGGCAGCGCGGAATGCATCACGAGTATGCATCGAAGAGCAGCTCAAATAAGCACTTTGGGCCCGGGTATGATACGTTGAGAATAGACGGCTCGTTGTAAAGGGCTGCTCTCATAAATGGGTGTCTTGGGTGGACAGAGTAAGAGCGGATCAACCAACGTGTTTTCTGATGAGTCGGTTGGAAACTGGTCATAAGGAAAAGGCAACTTTGGAACCAACCATGGCTCACTCTGCAGGGCGCTTATCAATTGAGTGGCGAACTCGCCACCACGGAGTCTCTGCATCGGCGTCTCTTTGGATTCGACCCTAGCAAAATGGCTGATCAGCATTCCAAAGCCATGTCTGTGGACAAAAACATAACATCAAAAAAAAGTCGACGAACAAACCCGCAACCTAACTTAGCCTAGCAAAGAGACATCAATATCAGCGAGAGAGCGACGACAGAGGTGGAAGAACTTGCGAGAAACATCAAAAGGAGTGTGATGTGATGATGATAATAGATGACCGAATCGGTCACAAGTATTCGATAATCAATAAAAGGAGCGAGTGTTGGTAAGCTGCGGAGAGTGCAGCTGGGTAGATCAAAACAGAAGAACGAGGAAGAACGAGACAGAAAGCATTCCAAATGAGTTGAGAATCAGGACCGAGAGGTATGTAATCGTGAAAGTGTCATAAGAAGAGCTGAAACCAAACGAAAAGAAAATACAAAGAGCATGGGGGATATATGGTGTGAATCTCAGATAATGGCCGAGGGGATCGGGGAGAGGAGGGGGGCAGGAAAGAACGAGAAGGGTAAAAGAAAAATCATAACCCGACGGCGCAAGGGGGTATCGATCATCAGTCCTCAGAAATCCGCCCCAACAGCATCAACGACATACAAAACCTGCTGAGGCCTAACGAACAACCCCCTCGACTCCGTCGTATTCGTCACATCCGAAACCGCCGGCGACGCAGCCCTAAACCGCTTGCTCCTCCCATCCACCGACAGCTCCGCCTCCCTCTTCAACCCCAGGATCGAAGATCCCTTCAACGTGCTCCCGCCCGACCACTGGTCCAATCTCCGCCGCCTCGCCGCGCGCTCCTCGCTGTAATCCCACTCCGCTCCTACCCCGAGATCAAAATACTTGATCCCGCCCCACGTCCCATCATTCCACTGCCTCTTCTCGACCTTCTCCGTCGTCCCATTATCCATCAACGGCACCTCCACCCCTACCCAAGGCCCAGACTCACCCTCCACCTCCCCGATATACCTCGCAAACGCGCGGAACCGCGCCCGTTTCGACGAGATAATACACGGAATCCCAACCTCGAGCGTCGCACCCCTCGGAGCCCCAACAACCGAGTCTCCGAATGTCGGTAATGAAACAGCTGGTGGCGGAGGGTTCGTGATAGCAGATCCACCACCGGCTGTCGACTTCGTGATCGTATCCGTCGAAGCCCTCCGCGTGACGGATTCCTTAACCGCATTGACTGGCGAAGGTTTCGCCGTCGTAGGAGTCGAAGCTTCCGATTTAGCTGACGGTGAGGCCGTCCTCGGGACCGTAGGCACAGGCGGCACCGTCTTCCCTCTTGAAGCTTTGATCGTCCCCGACGGTCCTGACGACGATGCTGCAGGTTTCGTCGGTGTTTTCGAATTTGGCGATTCACTTGGTGGTTTCGGGCGCGCGGACACTTTTCGCGGAGTGGTAGGCGACGTGGCTGTAGACCTTACAGAAGCCGCATTCGAACGAAGAGACGCGGCGGAGGGCGAACGAAGAGATGCGGCAGAGGGAGGACGACCCGCACCACCCGACGTCGTTCGCTGCTTCGTCCCAGTCCCAGTCTCCGCCGAACCCGCCGGTTTCTTCGCTTTCGCAGCCGTACTAAGCGTAGACATCGCCGAACCAGCAGACGGTCGTCTAGGCCTTCCAGCAGCAGTAGATGAACCAGCAGCAGCAGCTTTCGCAGACGCAGTCGTCTTCACGCTAACAGACGAAACAGCAGACGAAACCGATGCCCTCCGTGTCCTCGCTCCAGGCGCGGACGCTAGATCCGACTTTGCGTTCTTGTATGTGGCAGAGGCCGAGCCCGAGCCGTCGGCGGTGGAATAATTAGAGACGGAGGAGGGAGGGCGGGTGGATGTGGATGGGACGCGGAGGGAGGGCGAGCCTTTCGCGCTCGTGCTCGGAGTAGACGTCTTGCGGATCGTGGAAGCGTGGGAACGGACTGAGGAGACGGATGCAGCTGAGGATTTGGGGCGGGGAGTGGGGGTAGGCGGGTCGTCGACGACGATGCCGCGTGGTAAGGCGATGGACGACCGTGGGGTATTGGTGCTCGATGAGCTGGTTGTCACTGATTCGGGACTCGCTGGTGATGCTTCCTCCGATATGCTGATCGAAGAGTGAGATGTGGCACGGGAAGGAGAACGCGAGGGTGTGAGCTTCGAGTCGGGACGGAGGGATGCGGATGCTGTTCGTCGGGATGCTGTGGTAGCGGTGCTGACGCGGGAAGAGGTAGAGTAGTTGCTGCGAGCGACAGATCGGACGGAGTTGGCTGAGGACGTCACTGGTTCTCGGTTGTTGGAAGATGGACCGTTCGTCTTGGCCATGTTTCGGTTGAGGACGCTGGTGCGTAATGAGTGGAGGCTCATGCTCTCGCCGTCCGTATCTGGTCGACCAGTAGCAGTGCGTACACCGCCGGTCCGTGGGGGGCTGCCTTTCGCGGGTGAGTCGCCGGCTGGTAAGTTGCGAAGATCTTCCGATGGGACTCCCATCTCTGTAATGTCTGTGTCAGAATATAACGTATGTCCTAAGGGAGTAAAAGACAAACCGTGTGCAAGCTCCTTCAATGCCCAGTTCTCCAACGTATTGAACCCTCCGTCATTCCGGATACTAAACCACCTCTTACGCACCCATCGTACGACGTCCATGCGCACCTGTTCAATCAGGACACGAACATGAGATGTCTGTGACAGCATCGTCTGGTTCGGATCCGTCGCGTGGGGGCGCAGCAAAATAGACGACACGAGGACCTAGGGCAAAATATCCCATTCAGCCCCATCTCACCAAAAACAAACAAAGGCCAAAAGAAAAAAAAACGCACTTGATAAACCATCGCCGCACTCTTCTCATTGAACCCCCTCCTCAAGGCATCCGTAATCAACTCCACCTTCTCCCCATCCTCAAACCTGACCCCATCCGCCTCCATCAACTCCTCCCACTCCCCCTGCTGGAAACACTCCTCCGCCTGATCATTCAACACCCTATCCATCCCCTTCCTCGCCTCCACAATCATATCCTTGACCACATCCGCCCACGTATCAATCACGCTCTCCAATCTTCTCAAAGCAAACTCCGCCGCGAACAACAGCGCAAACACATTACTTGGCGTCGTCCGCTTCGCCACGCCCTTCAACGCCATCTCCCGCACTTTCTTGTCCAGACCAGCGAACTCGGGATGACACCACCCCTCGCCAAAAAGTCCGACTAGGGCCCGACGCGCGCCCCGTTCGAGGTGCGGGTTCTTCACGTCGTCGAGGAGCGCGAATTCGAGCACGCGCGGGACGCGACGGGCGCATTGTCGGCATCTACATCCGCCGACACCCCACCGCCCGCCCGTGACACGCTCATACTCCGCGAAATCGAGAAAAGCGTGGAAGAGGCCATGCATCATCTCGACGACGATCCGCGCCTGGACTTCGTCGTAGAGCGTGTCGAGCGATAAATACGTCGCGGAACGCATGATGTGGAACGCCGTATCCAAGTCATACGACCTATTCGAAAATATCAACGTCCCGGTATATATGAACCCAAGAATGAAATGTAACGCGGGGGGCGTAAACGGTGGGGAAGGTAAAGTCAGAGTCGCAGGTTCGCCAGGTTTGGAGGAAGGGTTGCCCCAGGCGATGAGCGCGTTGTGGAAATATGTGGATCGGGAGACGAGGATGAAGCGATGTGTGGAGAAGACGGCGGCGGTGTTTTCGTGTGTGGACGATGGGCGGCCTTCGATCGTGATGCGGACGTCGGAGTAGAGCCGTGAGCGCCACATGAACACCATGTCTTTTCGTAGCTTGTCTATTCGGTTCTCTTCGGCATCGCCTTCGTCGCGGTGCTCGGTCGAGTCGAAGAGGAATTCGAAGGCTTCGCCGAAGCCTTTGCCGGTGTAGAGGTATTCGAGCTCCTTGGAGAAAAGGATGGGGTTGATGGTGGTGGTCAGTCGGAGGACGCCGTTGACGGTGGTCGAGGGGCTGGGGGAGACGGGGCGGAAGGGCGATGGGGAGCGGGACATGGAAGGGAGATCAACTCCCAGAGATAGAGAGAGTGCGGATTGGGCCGGAAACCCGGTTGGCGAGTAGGGTCCTGGTGAGGATATTGGAGCTGGCCGGAAGGAGAAGTAGCGTTGTTGGAAAGTTGGTGGTGCTCGTGCGTAGACGATGGCTGGACATGGAAACCGTCAGTCAGCAAGCGGTCAGAATGTAGTACGAGACAAAAGGACGGTATTAGAATGCATGTTGTGAGGCTATCACATGCGGTAGAAGAAAAATAGTCCAAGAATGAAAGTTCTCTTAGCCGAAAACTTAGCTCAATATCGTGAGTACTTCAATCGATAGGTGGACAGCGAGTTGGTCAACAGATGGGGTGACAGTATTTTCATGTTTCTCGCACAAAGTACACACACAGCAAAAGTATCTTGACTTGGAATGAAATCCCGCCATGAATATCCATGAAAAGAGCGTTGGCGCCGCACGTCAACTCACTGTGGCCCGTCAGAGACGATTCCCTCGTGATGACTCCAGCACCAGAATGTTGCCATTTCCACACAAGCAAACGAAATGCAATGAAACACGAACCTTTGTGACCCCATACCTCCTCTCCCTTCGCATCGTCATCCTCGTCCACCAAGTCCCACACTACATCCGGAAACCGATCCTTCGCAAGCACAAACAAACTCTCCAAATCCCTCTGCCAAGCAACCGTAGACTTCACCGTAGCTTGCTGCAGCGAAGGCGGTGAAGACGAGGACGACGGCGTAGACGTCGATGGTGAAGGTGCCATGGCGCAGGAGCGTGTAGGGTTGAATTATAATAGCTGAACGATGAGAAGTCTCCGAGTGCGAATTTCGGGAGATCCCTGCCAGTGCCAGCGATAGAATTCACGCGCAATTGCAAGGCTGCCAGTATTACGTAGTAAGCGAAAAGCACAAAGGTTCGGTTGGGTATAGAGCTCTAGAGCACGGTATTACGGGTTATTGGTGAAGCTGAAGGCAGAAAGGGAAGAGAAGAGAAGGAAGGTGGTTCGGGGTAAGAGATAAGTAGCAGGCTCATTTCCTGTTGGCCGCATGTCGACCGCGTGGCTACCAATCTAATCACATTCATAGCCGACCAAGGCCGATATTCGTATTTTACAAGACTTATTTATTTTGCTTGGTGTGTTTTTGGACGGAGAGCAGGTCTAATGTACAGAAGGTGGAGTGTTCGTAGGACGCGAGTGATCTTGGACGAAAGGTTTCAGATGGACTGGTTGGAGGTTCTCGACCGACGCCACCCACCCACGAGCAATTCTTCCTGGTGGCGTAGGTGGCGTACAGAACCACCACTTTCGAGTTCCATACTTGCTGTAGCATGCAGAGAAGACGCCACGAAGGGTATTCGCGCTTCACTGAGGTCGTACTATATTTCTACCGGCCGGTTCGCATCAAACGAGCGCAACAGGTCGACGAGAATTGGATCAGAAGCTGTCACTCTTAGAGCAGGGGTGAAACATTCGAAGAGCAGCCAGACGGGAAGCAGTTCGTTTCGGGCTAAAGGTGGGACAGCGGAAGGCGGGAGCGGCAGATGATGATGACCCCGTAGGTGAAACGAATTTTGTTACGGGAATAATCGATGGAGGACAATGTTTTCTTCAAAAACGCCGATATATGTGGACCGAAACGACGGTGACCTTCTTCTGGACGTGGTACGGCGGACGATAGTCAAGGGGATTTGATAGCAAGAAAATAGACAGGACTGATACAAGACCGCACGCACGTACCCATCACGGCCCACCGTTTTATGCACAGGCACAATGACACCCACACTTCCCCTTCTCCTCTCATCAACCTCAATCCATTCTCCCTCCCCCCTAATCCAACCGCACCGCTCAGAATCCCCTCCCCCTTCCCCTCCCGCGTCCCCTCGGTCCGCCCCTCCCCCTATCCGCCCCTCTCGCACCCCGTCCCCTCCCCCTCGCATCATCCCGCTTCTTACTCTTCGGTTTTGGCGCATCGTCGACGAGGAGCGTGTCGAGCGGAAGAGAGTCGGGCAGGACAAAGTACCGGATGTTGTTGCCTCTTATTGAGAGGGAGTCGAGCGAGGAGGGGTCCCGGTTCCGGGCGGTCATCTTTACGGTTTTGAGGTGGGTGTTCATTTGCATGTCCACGCCTGGGTCGTGTCAGCGACATGAGGTTGTAGAGCGACATGGGGTTGCGATGGATGGAAGAATAGAGGAGGGAGGTGAAGGAAAGAGGGAGGAAGAGGTGATGGTCAGTAAGGATAGAACGCGAAGAAAGATATTGAACACGCACCTGTGATCGTCCCATGGACGATCGACCCGTTTTTCAGCTCGATAGTCACCGTCTCATTGTTCAGTTTCATCAAAAATCTACACCACAGCAAAATCGACCGTGAGCACGCCGTCGAACTTACACACCATAAAAAGAACGCAAATGGCTGCTCGGAGTGTGGGTGTTGGTACCAAGAAATTGGACAAGCAATGGACGGGGTGCATACCTTACGAGCTTCATGATGTCTGGCCGTGGGGATTGTCGACGGCGGTGGGGATGAAGGGAGAAGTATGGTGGCGTAGAGCGTGTTGTGGACGCGCTTGCTCGTCGTGCGCGACGATGAGCGGCGTTGGGCGGGCGGAGTTTGAATCAGGCTTTCTCTTCGATTTTGACCTCGCCGTCACTCTCCCAACAATCTCCTACTGCCGTTTGCATAAGGGGTTTTATGATACGGCCCCAGAGCTCATTTCTGCCTGGCCAGAGATTGCCCCACCTCGAGCGCCGGCCCCGCATACGACGAAGCCAACAGCGTTCGGCTTATTCCGCGTTAGCCTTCGCATGTTGGTGACAGCACCCCAGCATCTATTATCTTCTATAAACTTCGTGATAGGCAACGTAAGCATGCTCGGATAGAATCCCGTGAAAAATCTGAAGAAAAACAGCCCGAAATAAGGAGTGGACAAGGGGCACTCGATACAGAGCGCGGCGCGAAGCCTCTCGTGGGAGTGTGGAACCCAGCGCCACTTTGATCTCTGGGCTCATAAAACTCTGGCCCCAGGTCATCGAAACGCCCGTATCATAAAACCCCTATAGAAGATTGAACGCGCGTTTTTTGCGCGCTATTTGTCCCCGCCAAACAGTGACCGTGACAGCGCTGTCCGAGAAGGCCGGCAGTGGCACGGTCTGCAGTGCTGATGTGGCCCAGCGAGACCGCGCCGTTCATGACAACTCGAAGAGGTGGAATACTGGCCCTATGAGTGAAAATCAGACATAAGTCAGTATATATATATTTGGGCGCCCTTTACAGTGCTGCTCTCGACTTGTAATTGAGCTGTTTGCTCCGGAATTTGGGAGTGGCCACTCAAGACTTGGCACCAAAAGTGCAGCATGCAGCTTTGCATGCTCACTAAGTATCATATAAAGCTCTCCATTGCAGTGGCTGGATTTTATTTGTCCAATGTTTACAAAGGTATACAAATGTTCCTGACTGAGCATGGGCAGCAGACTGCAGGAACACAGCTCGCCACACACAGGGCCACTCTCGGTCCTCTCGGTCCACGACCGTCACGGTCACTGTTTGGCGGGGCAAACAGCGCGCAAAAAACGCGCGTTCAATCTTCTATGCAAACGGCAGTAATGCTCTCGTCGTTTAGCCTCTTTTTGCTATGATAAAAGCTGCATAAATTGGCCTGCTATAGGTGATCTCTCTCCTCTCGAAGAGTTTTGTGCTCGGCCTTTTGATGATGGTATAAGTACTTGCGAAAACTCTCCTGGCCACGTGGACGGTGGCAGTCGAACATGAAACCTTACGATGCTTGATCTGTAGGCAACCTGCACATTCGACTACCCTTCACCGTCTAAGACAACACCTCTGTCGACGCGGATATATGAGCGTTGTCTTGCCTCGTCCATGGCTCACCGCAACTCCCCAAGATGCTCCTACGAACGTATTTCCGATCCACGAAATTATCATCGAACAATTCCTGCCCCGCGTTAAGGAGCTCACCTCTAAACGTCTCAACTCCTACATATAATCCCCGTCGTGAGTGTCAACCACTCACGTATCCACAGATCTCTCCTTTGCGACCTGTGACGTTCCTTTCGGCGCAGATCGTGTCCAGTCCGCGCTGTACTCTCGAGGGCCTGGCTGAAGGCGATTTTCTATTTTGGCAGCTGGTCGTCTACGAAGACTGGAATGGCGCTATTATGTATCGAGCTCCAGTCCCCGCTGAGGAGCTCGTCCGCATCGAACCGGAGCGTTCTGCTCCAGTTCTGTACAGGTGCGTCCTTGAGCCTTCTGGCGAGTTAATATCCATTGATGACCCTGTGGTATTTACGAAAGAACTGCACGGGCCATACCCTCGTTCAAAATGGCTTCAGCGTTATTGTCTGCTTACGCGTGGCTGTTTTTTTCAAGGAATACCCTCTACACATTGACAATCATTAGGCTCATTGAAGGATATCTGCTTATGCCTCCTGGCAACGGGGACCCACAGGCTCGGACTACCGCAACGTTCGCCATCATCGTGTCAAGATTCGTATCCTAAGATTCGCTGACAGTCCCTTTCGATACATCGCATTTTTCTGTACATAAGGCTCGTCGAGGTGCCGGGGCACGTTTGTGCGCGTTCAAAATGCAAAGACTACACTTCGTGCAGCACTTGGTCTCATCTCTTGCAGGGGAATTTCACGAACATTGCCACATTCGAGACGGGCTATACTGGGAACACTATTTACACAGAGCCCTGTGTAGAATCTCACGTGAAGATCAGTCCAGTAATCGAGGCGTTCAAGCCTGGGCCCGAATAGAATGCATATAGCTAGCGTAAGATCCCTATATTCCCTGGGTTTTCGCAACGGTTGCTGTAAACAAGTGGGCGGTGAATGGCGTCTCGAGATCTCCATTGTTTGCTTCGTCTCATGTGGCGTTTCTGGGAGCGGAAGTACGTCTTTTGGCACGCATAGCCTTAGATTTTGTTCGCTAAACTGCATACCTTTTTTGTCATCCACAGGTCCACTCGATGACACGCTTTCTATGTGCTGGTATCGGACAATCCATCGAGGTCGGTAGCTCAGAACCGTTGTCAGACATACATCGCTCACACTCTTCCCCCCACTATACTCCAGGATGCATATATAATATCTGCCCTGCTTTCCAGCGACCCCGTCGCTGATCACGTCTTTCAGCATTCCAGTCAGAATGGAAAAATATCACGACCTCTTTAATCTTGAGAATCCGAATTAGAGTTAGGTGCGTGGGATCTGGCGCACCCGTGGTGCGCCACATCCCAAGAAAGCTCCCCAGTGTGAAGTATGAGTACGGTATATCTTACCTAAGGACATGCGCAGGAGGTGAGGCATTGCAAGCGCCGGCTTGAGAGCTTCATATAATTCCAGTGGCGCAACTATAGGAATACCCTCTCATTCCCTCTCTTGCTCACAAGCCATGTCGGTGAGTGATTATGCACAAGTACCCTCTTCTGTTTCTATTGTACTTGATGTGCTGATCCCTATGATTGCTCTAGCTCAACATATCCCCCACTAGTACATTGAACTTCTCATTTGTAGACAATGCGCTTGGCTCTGACGACGAGGAGTATTATGCCTCTGAGGGAGGGCTTTCCCCAGAAGATTCTCCCACAGGCCTCGCCCCCAACCCCACACCTCCCTCTGAGAATGAAGATGGGCATTTAGCGACGAAAGAGCTGCAGGATGGCGCATCTACTATAACTGAAGCCTTGCCTCGCCCCAAGAAGCACGAGCTGTTTTTCTTCGAAGATGGCAGTACGACATTCATCGTGCGCATTCATTTATGGTTCATGGTTACTTACGACTGATGTCACGATACAACAGATCAACGGCACGCTCTATTGCGTCCACGGCTCTGTCTTGAAGAAACACTCCCCGTATTTCGCTGAAACTTTCTTGGTACCAGGCATCACTACGCCTATCGTACTGGACGACATTGCCATCGCGGCAGAATTCGACATGTTCCTCAGCATATTGTACCCCAGGTCTGTATTATATCTCACATCAGAACCGATCCATTGTCTAACTGTATAAATAATAAACGTCCTTGAACCATCCACAGCTCCTTCTCCGCGTCCGACGTCCAAGGAGTCCTCGCCTGGAAATCCGTCCTCCATCTCGCCACCCAATGGAAGTTCGTTTCCATTCGAGAACTTGCCATCAAGAACCTATCTCCTATCGCGTCCGACGTCGATAGGGTGGTGTACGGTCATGCGTACGAGGTGGAGGAGTGGTTGATGCCGGGATATATGGCGTTGGTGGAGAGGGAGATGCCGATTACACATGAGGAGGCGATGAGATTGGGAATGCGTGATATGGTGGATATTGCGGCTGCGAGGGAGGAGGTGAAGGTTGTCATGACTCGGGCTGAGCTTCGTGCAGCGTCCGCTCCGAATCCCTTTAGCGGGTTCGGTGGTGGTTCGTTCGGACAAACCACAACCAGCAGCCCGGCGGATTCGAGGAAACTTCCTCCCTCTGACTTGCGAAAGAGGGTAGAGGCTCATGTATCACGCTCGACCATGCGTTACCCTCATATTATCGCGGACACCAGCACCTCCACGACTACTCCTCTCTCGATGCCTGTGGTTGCGACTCCAGAGAATATCACGAACTGTCCCGACGACGCGACTCCTGTGGGGCACGTCCCGGGCGCCCCGGACGAAGGACTCATTGTGCAGGATGAACCAGAAAACCCGACTTGTGAGCCAGTATCGATTCCGACGTCATATGGTGGGAAGAAAAATAAATGCAATAAAGGGAAGAAGGGCAGATAGGTCGCAGAACATTCGTTTGGCATACTATACACAATTTTCACTGATGACAAAATTCTCAGGAGGATCTTTACCAGTGGGATTTGGAGAGGCCCAGGGAGAGGAGATACAGAGGAGAACGAATTGACTGTCGGAAGGACTCGGATATGCAGAGGACGAAGGGAGGAGGGTAGTGGAGATGTTGAAGAGGGAGCTATGTTAACTCTTGTACTGTAGGTGTGTATATTCCTTCTTTCGTGCTGATTGAGAATGACGCTGATCGGTTCGGCGTAGCTACGGTGTACAGATGGTGCAAATTTTGTCACGGGCAGTATGTGTACCGTGAGAACTGAGTTGAGACCATCACGCTCGAAAAAATGAACAGCTCATATTTGCTCACACTGGGAGACCTCGGGAACTCGAGGACCCGTTCCTTTTACCCTCAAATATGTCATGCCGCTGACGTCGTGTCTGTTGTTCTCTAATGAAGAGGGCCCGAAGTGCTCCTACCTCTGGGCCGGTTTGTCACGACACACGGAGTTCGGGACACAAAGGGCAACAGACTTCCTGTTCGGGTCCTTGTCTGTTTCCCAGCCCTAACTTCAGTCGCCGCTTGTCGTAAGTAAATGAGGGGTGGCCTGTTGATGTTCCTGCTTCAAAAAGCTCGAGCTGAACAGATTCGAGCACCATCATCCGTGCTCTCACTTCCCCCCTCCACTTGCCTTTAGACTTCATTGCACCAAGATTACCAACACAAGAGAATGACCTCTCAACTTCCCAAATTTCGAGTTGCCGTGTGGTACGTCTAAGCTAGTCTTTCAATAACCCCTTCGTGACCTCATCTCGGCCACCATAACTTGGGTTTTTACTCTAGTGGCGGTGGTATCGGTGGTATCGTCACCGCATATGCTCTCGGAAAACTCAAAGATGTCGAAGTAGAGGTCTACGAAGCGGCGTCCGAGTTCGCAGAAGTCGGTGCTGGTATTGGGATGAACCGGAGATCATGGGAGGTTCTCAAAGACCTTGGATTGGAGGAAGCTTTGCTGAAGTATACACCTTCGGCTCCGAATTCTAACGAGATAGGTGAGCAGATGTTGTGTCTCTGTGACTAAGCATAGTTATCGAGCGCATATTGTTGTGTGTGACAATGCTAGTTCCATCTATATATGCTTTTAAATCTGACCAACCGGAACCCGGTGTCAACTTCATCACCGCTAGCATGCAGGGTACGTCCAGGGCTTTACCATCAACTTCAATTGTCAAGGCCCTGTTTACTTATTTCCAGCGAACTCAGGCGGAATTGCACCTTTCTTGCGCTCGGACTTCCACGGAGCCATCATCAAACAACTCCCGCCCCGCGTTCGGACATTCACCTCCAAACGTCTCGTCTCCTACATAGAATCTCCATCATCATCTTCAATCACTCTCACATTCACAGACGGCTCTACTGCAACTTGTGACATTCTTATTGGCGCAGATGGAGTCAAGTCCGCAGTGCGAGGCTACATGCTTGAGGGACTGGCGAGAAAGGCCGAGAAGGACGACGATATTCAGAAAGCCGGTGATCTGCGCGGACTCGTCAAAGCGAAATGGAGTGGCGTTATGGTTTATAGAGTTTTGGTTCCTGCTGAGAAACTCGCCCAAATCGACCCAGAACATCCCGCTCTCAAACGTCCTGTACAGGTACGTCCTTGACCATTATGACGAGTCGCACGTTCATTAATGGCCTTGCAGTACTTCGGGAAGAATCGCGTATGTTATACTCTGACCCAATCGTTTCAGCATTACTGTTGACTTACCTGTGGCTGAAATTCTCGTGCAGCACACGGTCTCGTATCCTGTTGCACAGGGCAAAATCGTGAACCTTGCCATATTCGAGGCAGACTACACACGAGAGGGCATTCTTTACCCTGAGCCCTGGGTAGAATCGCACGTGAACACCAAATCAATCATTGAGGCATTCAAGGACTGGGACCCGAATGCGAGGCATCTAGTTGGCGTAAGCTCCTTATATTTCCTAGTAGTTCGCAACGGTTGCTGATATCGCAGAACTTGAAGGCCATTGAGGGCTTGAACGTGAACAAGTGGGCTGTGAATGTCGTCTCCGGACTTCCGTCGTTCAGCTCATCTCGTGTGGCGTTGCTGGGCGATGCGGTATGTCTTTTGCTTCGCATAGCCTTGGCTTTTGTTCGCTCAAACTGAAAGCCGTTCACAGGCCCACTCGATGACACCCTTCCTAGGTGCTGGTGCCGGGCAGGCCATCGAGGTTGGTAGCTCAGAACCGTTACTTACCAGCCCTACACTACTCACTCTCCTATCACTATGATTCAGGACGCATATGTCATATCTGCCCTCCTCTCTAGCCCTCTCACCACGCGTGACACTATACCTAAAGCTCTCGAGATATATTCTCGCATCCGCCTTCCCGTCGCATACCTCGTCTTTGAGCGTTCTCGTCAGAGCGGAAGATATTGTGGTTTCTATGATCCCGAGAACCCGGGTCTGGAGTCGGGTGCGTGGGATTTGGAGAAACTTGCGGAGGATTTGAGGGAAAATAGGGAGTGGCATTTGGGTGTACCACATCCCAAGGAGGCCATGGCGAAGGCGTTGGCGTTGTTGGGGGAATGTGCGAAACTGACTTGATCAGGTTTTCTATCTGTCGCCAAAGGGTACGTATCAATGCTGCAGGAAGGTGAGAGGCACGAAGGAGTAACACTTTTGAGCGGCGAGTGTACTCGAGTAGAGCCCCTGTGGCGCCATATTTCAACTTCAAGTTCTTCACTTATCTCTGCACTACAGGCACAGACCTAGTGTGACCATGTTCCAAGTCCTACCCATGCCGAGTCCTTGGGTAACTCCCAAGGATAAAACGTCCTCCGAGTCGTCATTCCTTTGTTCTCCTTTTATGCGTATACCCCAAGCTTTTCGTTCGATGATCAATCGCGTCTGTTCTGATGTTCAGCCTATAGATCAAGCGGAAGAAAGGAACCAGTAGGCTCGGACCCCGTCTCGTCCGATGGAAGCATAATAGGCTGCTGTCCGTCCACGCAGTCAGGGCGTGGAACAAAGAAGCCTGCCACTGCAAGTGAAGGCGCTCGAGTGTGATTCCTTCCTCGAATTCTTTGCCACCGAACCCAAATACGCACGCACGAGCAACAGGGAGCATCAGGCTTGATAGGCCGGGCGTGTATCGATGCTGATGTTGATAGACCTACCACATTGTTTCCTTGCCTGATGTAATTGCATATAGGCCTCTGACAACGAGGACGACGTACCATGATCCGGCCGTTAGAAATCGCAGGCGATACTTCTGGGCTGTGTTACATTGTCTATGGAGGAGGCATGTAACGGGCCCAGTAGAGTATGTGCCACGGTTCCCGAGGTCGAGGCCGAGGGAACCGTTCACTGGAAGTTCGGACCGTCATTCAAGAATGTGAAGGTCAACTAGGGAATACGATGCTTGATTCGAGCGCGACCCTTCGAGGGCAATGTGTTGAAAAAACTGCTACGCCAAATGATACAGGATACAGAGTATACCAGATGCCGGATGAAAATAAATTATAATCGCCTCATAAACGGAAGGGAGGAAAATTGGTGAAGGTGGAACGTGATATAACGACGTGAAATGTCCATTCAAGTTGGCCATGCAAGCGATAGAGAAATAATGGTGAGGTATAATGCAAGGATAACCAAGAAGATACTATGCAGTGACAACAAAGCGTAGAGGAAAGCAGAAGAAGTGCGACGTAATGATACAATTCCAAACAGCATCAGTAGGCGAAAGCCAGGACACAGCAAGGTTGGACAATGACGAACTGAACGAGATGGTGAAAATAGGGACGACAGAAATGGTGCGACCAATATTGGTGAAGAACCGGAACGACCGAACCATTGTAGATGAGTAAATGACTTACCTTTTCCTCCTCCGTGATCACAGGTCTCAAGCCTTCTTCCCTTTCTTCCCTTTCCTCACTTTCTTACCCTCTGCTTCGATCATCCTCACACAACCCTTCATTTTCGGAGGACCCCGCTTCCCCTTGCACTTGTCCCGCCGATGTCGCTTGAGAGCGTCGTCCCTCGACACATCTACCCCACACTTAGGGCACTCCTGTCGTTCCCTGTCAGGATTCAACCAACAAGATTTTTTCACATGCCGCTCAGCGTCGGCTGAACGAACGTAACGGGGATGAATGCAGAACTTGCACTCGTGAGCGTCATAGTCGGCGGAATCGGCGGTACGGGAGGGATAGTCGATTGGCCTTCGTTTAAGGCCGGGAGGAGGATGATACAGCGGGGCTGATGAAGATGAGGGAAAAGCGGTGAATGGAGGTGTCGGGGAAGCGAGCGATGAGGATACGACGATGGGGGATGACGGCTCCTTGGCACGAGTGTTGGGAACACGAATGGCCTGCGGTTCTCCGCGAGGAGACGTTGCAGCAAACCGCTTCCGTTGTGACGCGGGACCCTGCTTCTTCCTAGAAGAGCCAGCGCTCGGGTGATAAGCGTCGTCGTCGTCGTCGCTTTCGTCCTCTTCTTCCTCATCGTCGGAAGGCTCAGGCTCGAAATCGTCGTCATCAACGAAAGGAACACGGAGGTTGGACATCGATGTGAGCGGGCTAGAGGCTGGATCAGGAGAGCCCATGTCCGAAACGGCCTGCTTTCGGGATGCGCTTGGAGTTGGAGTGGTCGGCTTTGTGGTCGGCTTGGGAGTGGGGGCTTTGCTCGGGAGTGGTTGAGGGAAAGTAAGAGAGAGGGGGATATCGGGAGAATCGGGGGTAGCAGGTACCGACCCGGGAATAAGATCTGGCGTAGATGCCGACGACAGTGGCGTCGATGGAGTGTGGGAGGAGCGTCGAGGAAGAGGAGCAATGAGACGGGGAGACATGACTAGTTCGTCGGTATATTCCTCTGTAATATCGTCGCTGAACCCGAACGCGGGAGGGGATGCTGCGAGTGGCGTAACACCGCGCGAGTAGCACGATGACCCGGGGAATGAGAGCGTGGGAGATGGTGGCGCGAACAATGTACTACCGAAACAAGCGATATCTGCCGCCCCATGGTCACGAACGGTGCAGGGAGGCTTATAATCGTCCCAGCTGGTTGGCAGAGACTCTTCCAGTTGCGAATGCATGGTGTCTATCACACCGAAATGCTCTAGCCACATCCCAACACGATCGGGGGACGAGGAAGATGACTCCTCCGCGTGAATAGAGGATGAAGTGAACACAGACGAATTCGGTTGAGACTACAGCACAAAGTTAGCGACAGGTGGCGGCAAAGAGGAGAGCGTGTAGCTGACCGAATATCCATGATCGAGTGACTCAAGCAAAGGTACCTCGGAGTCGGAATCCCCAAGCAACATTGGAAGATCAAAGGATAGCGGGGACAGGGGCGCGAAAGAGACTTGCTCGGGTATCAGACCCTGAGCTCTGACAGACTTCATAATTGTCTGGAGATGGTCATGAACCTGAGTGCACACTCTGATGGCTTGCTCCCAACCGTGAGTCCATATCATGATGCCTCCTACAGACCCCTTCGTCCACGCAATGTTAGTTGGATTGAGATACGAGGAGAAAAGGACACGATACTTACTATGAGAGCTGCCGGATACTTGAACACAGGGTGCGGGAAACTCCTAACCTCGGTAAGCGCCATAAGGTTCATTGGTCCGGTGATGAGGCGCTCGCGAGCGTCATTGCTAAACAAGCAATAAGCAGTATGATCAACCAACGTATCGGTGAGAGTGGCACAGGGGCGAACCTCATCCTACAGGCATCGCCAGTGTCCTTGTTCTTCAAGAAGAATACGGTCTCCATCTCAGAGCACCGAGATATGCTGCGATAGCGTGCGCGTATAGCTTCGAGACAATTATGCGGAGAGGATCCCAGAAAGATGAGAGCGTTTCGCGAGGATGCGGAAAGGCAAACACCATCGTGATCATTGGCAGGGGGTAGAGCGCGGGTACGCTTGATCGCCTCCTCCATTGTTGGGATGAGCGTATGAAAGAGGTCTGAATGGGCATCGAGCATGGTCGTAGTGAAACAAAGTCGCGCCGATACGTCAGGTGCAAGACGTTAAAGACGATGTTGAAAGGGGGTAAACGTCGAGAGAGGCGAGCCAAAGATCTGATGAGGGTGGAAGACGAGAAGCGATCCTTGAAAGCATGAATGTCCCGAGGGTTAATATGTGCATTGGTCTGATCTCCTCGTTGCAAGAGCATGTATGCATCGCACAGAGGCAAACTCCGGTTATCTGGAAATCAGCGATCGGGTTGGGAGCCTTCTCGAGGGTGAAATGGAAGTTCGCTTCATGCGAGCATCGAGAAGATACGGTTCGACTTGGATAAGCATCGCCTATAGACGCCTACAAATCTTTCTGGAGGCTTTTCGGTCGACTTTCTCACACACTCATCCCATGACGGGCGCCTGTCCGTTCACAACAACCCGACTCCTCAATGGTCTCTGACACCGGTGGTTTGAGTGGGCACAAACCTGCTTTAAGAACATCCGTAGATCAGTGGAGACTCTCAAAATGAGTGGAAACAGAGGAGACTTCGAAGTGTACTCACAGAGAAATGCTGTATCTCGAGCTCCTGTCTATCGAGGACATAACAAGAAGCGCTCAGTTACAGAGTACACAGCCCAGGCACAGAACGCTTTGACCTCCCTGATCTTGTTCACACTTCACGGACCGGTGTGGACGTACTGCATGGCCGACAGCCACTCATTATCGACAGTGGAGCCGCGCGAATTCTCGTGCGAGTCATGATCCCAGTGACGGACCTTCCACAAACGGCCTGAATGAACTCGATGGTGATGGTTTCTCCAGATTGCATATACATGTGGTACACGTCAAGGAGGGCTGGATGGTACATGAAGGTGCGAAGATGAAAACGGAAGCGGAAGAGGGGGGTAACTTGAGACAAGGCAGGTAGAGGCACCGAGAAAATTTTTTCGTTGTAATTCGCGAGAGTGAGCGATGCTGATTTGACGGTGTGTACCACAGCACCCTTGAGCGCATTAAGGCAAAGAAGAGATGAGATTAAAACCTTACCCATAGGCCATGTGCCAGCAGAGTCTGCAGGTAAGTATGGGCAAAGGACAGAAACGGTTGAGAGTCCACCAAGTCAGACCAAGTCGCGTCGTGCTGCAGTGCGCCAAGCGATCGGCGACCCTTGCTGTCGGCTCAGCGAAAGCCTGTTTAATTTCTTCAGAAGGTCTGATTACCGTAGAGGACCCAGGAATAGTTTGTGCTGTGTCCCAAAATTGAAAAAAAATAAAATATTCCAGAGAAAGTACACCAAGCACCGAGCGTATCTGCCGCCCCCCATTCTCTGTTCTCAATCTGTTCTGGGAACTCGGAGTCCGCCGCGTTCGAAAACAGACGCGAACCCGTGATGATGAACACGCGTCGCGACGCGTCCGGGCTACAGTTCGTTCACTTCCTATCCCATCCCCTCTCCTGCTCTGTATCTGATGTTTTCGTGAAATCGTAGGATATAGCTGCATTGTGAATGTGTAGGATGATGTATTTACAGTCGTTTGCATGTCATTCTGGATTCGCCTCGCGAGAAATGTTGTTTGGTCTGACCAAACAGTCACGGTAGGTCACTGGGCGCCACAGTGGCGCGTTGTTTGAAGTGACTGCCATGCTCGAGCATTCATGTTTCTACTTGCCTTGCAATCATAGTGCTTGCGGGTTGAGAACTTGTGAGGATGACTCAGAGATGAGGAACGATAAGAGGAATATATTTCTACATAAAACACTACGGCGGGGCAGATGTTTTCCGACGCGCAGCATATCCTCGCATGACAGAAATCGAGTCAAAGAATCAAGTACAGACGGCAACTGTGCACGGAATGAACGCGGGTACACGAGAGAGAAGAGAGGCAGACAGATGGGAAGCTCTCGAAGTCAACAAACAGGAGTGTTATCTCGACACGAACGAGAATTCCTCGAGACTGAATGGGACGGAGATATAGCTGGAGAAGAGCAGATCTTTGCCCGTGTTACATTAGGAACATAGGTTGGTGATTCGGCTTTGACAAGCTTGTTTGGAGGGTTAACTTGGCGAGTAGAGATTGAGAGCAGTGTTGGTCGGTACAGCTAGGAGGAAGGGAAGTTGCTGTGCTCCAAAAGCAAGAAACGCACCCGAGGATATGAACCAGAGCTGAAACAACCTCAGCGGAGGGACACGGCTACACTCCTCTCAGAGTCCTTCCCCCGCTCACGTTTGTTTCAACATCTCGCCGCTCACTCCCACACAAAGGGCAACGTACCCATGTATCACGTCCCTCTCGTCAACCCAAGTTCTAGCGCACGAACACCCCTCCTATGCATTCACATCTTCTACCACACAGCGTTGGCGACCATTGAGGCTGCTCCTCGTGTCGCCAATTTTGCGTTGCCTGGGACTGTTAGGATGATAGTAACGAAGCGGAATTGTCGGTTGAGACTGCGATTGAAGAGGAAGGGTGGCTCAATATATCGTCCAGCCGATTTACCCAGTGTATGTCCCTAGCAGGCGTAGGATGAATTGGAGAGGTCAAGCAGCAGGCGATTGTGTGTGAAGATTAACACAAAATAGAATGGTGTGTATCAGTATGGATAGTGTGGACGTTGGTTGAGGGAAGGACTGAGTGAGCCCAGTCGTCTTGCAGGGATACACATCCGGGCCGGTGGCCGACAGTCACGTATTTGTTCAGACCAAACAACTGTTCTCGCGCCGCGGTTCCAGAATGACATGCAAACGACTGTACTCTACGTACAATGCGCTTTGAATGGACGTAGTCACTTTCGTCCTCGTGTTTGCAGATCTGCTTGACTGCATCATCGGTGATGTGGCCCAAAGTGCCGGACGAATGAGCGAGGGGAGCAGGAATATATGAGATTATACAGAGTGTACGACGTAGCTTTTATAACGAGACTCAGGACGATATAGGAGAAAGTATGTACAGAAAGTTGTGAAGATGCATAGGTGGATAGAAAGGCTTAGGAACATTGATAATTAGATGCGAAAAGAGGTCGTGAGATGTCGTTAGATAGAGTGATTGGAATCTAAGAGAGATCAGACCAAAGCGTCCTCTCTATGCCCAAGTCTCGAAGAGCGACCATCCCGCATCGCCATCATGGAAACGATATCGTCATGATCATGCCCGAAATCATGTTCGTCAAATATCGAGCAGTGATCTTGGTCTTGGGCGTATGAGGGTGGCGACAAGGGTGGCGACAAGGGTGTCGGCGTTGTCGGAGTGAGCAAAGGCGAAGGAGGTGAAGGAAGACCAAGAAGTCCATCCTCGTCGTCTTCGCCTATTTGTGAGATGAAGCGCCACGAGCTTGGTTCATCGGAATTTTGGGAGCTGAAGGAGGGACGGGATGGGGAGTCGAGCGAGGAGCGCCGTTCTGATTCGGAGCAGCTGCTGGCAGAAGGCGGTGGCGAAGGCAGACCCGCATCGACGCCAGCGGAAGGAACGCGCTTACGACGTACTTTATGCCTCGGGGGGCTACCATCCTCTACCTCGCTCCCAGAAATCGCGATACCTCGGACCCTCAGTGCCGCGTCTCTCTTCGCGAGTTGTTCTTGAAGCCTCCCAATCTCTCCAGCCATCCTCCTCGCGTACTCGTTCATCATTTCTTGCTCTGTCTTCATCGCCCTCACCTCCCTCTGAGATATCTTGAGTTCGTGCTCCACTTTGTGCTTCTCGTTCTTCAGCGATCCGAGTTCAGTGAGGTGTGAGGCCTCTTTAGCGGAAAGCGTGGCTTTGAGGGCACTAATCTCGTCCGTGGCGACGATAAGAAGAGAGCGAACTGAGTTGAGCTGGGATTGGTCATGTTCACGATCAGGAGACGTGGTTCGATAACGCGAACGAGAGACGTGGGATGTGCGCGAGGGAGAAGTATTGGATGAGGTGGAGGTCGCACGTGAGTGGGTGAAGACGTCTTTCCACTCTCCTACAGTCGGCATGATGCTTCATTAGCTTGGAGCAGCCAAATGTACACGAAGTTTAACGCACCTTCGAACGAGCCCTCGGATGCAGTGTCATCCGTGGTTTCATCCTTCTCGGTAACGGTATCTGCATCTGTCTCCTCGTCCTCCTCTTCACAAATGGAGGATAAAGAAGTCATCCCCCCTCTTTTCTTCATCACGCATCCTGCACCTCGCCCTTCCTTCGGGACTTCCGGAGGAGGCGTCGTAGGTTCAGACTCTGGGTCTGAGGTGGAGCCATCGACCACGTTGACTTCGACCGAGACACCGCTTTGAATGGGCGGGAAAGATAGCGGGGTGAGTAGGCCCGGAGGAGACAGAGGCAAATCACCGCTTTCTTCGAAGATGGTGCTCATATGATGACAGCGGTCGCTGAGATGCTGGTGCGGGGAGATATTCGAGTAGAGGAGATGGAAGTAGGGCTGATCGGCATATTGAGCATGAGGACAATGGAGATCGCACAATGGAACGCACATTTTTATAATGAAACTCGTCAATCTCCGCTCGCAGATCTCGATTGTCTTCACGTTCGACAACGTTCCGACGGCCAACCACCGGCATCTCGTGGCTCGCCGTCGGTGACCAACTAGAACGTTCGTTCTTGATGACTGTCTTATCCAGGTCCAGGGCAGGGCGCTGGGAGGAATGGGTAGGGAGGGGCAAAGATAGGGGAAGGGGAGGTGGTAGCGACGCAGGCGAGGCTGTACGCTTCGATTTTGACTTGCGAATGGGAGACTTGGTGATGATACTGCGGGGAAAATTGGTGACATCCTTCTGTGACCGGTCAGCATAATGAGAACAAGTCAGAACTAAAGACACCCACCGAGCTAGACGAGTTTGATGAGGATGGATGCGAAGGTAGAATGGGCGTGGCGCGGCGACGCAGAGCAGAGAAGACGTTGTGATACGGCATGGCCGAGTATGAAGGCGAAATGTGATGAAAGTGGGGAGCAAGCGAATGATTCGTTCACAATATGCCTGAGGTACTGTGAATAGGGGGTCGAGTCCAGTCTAGTGATCTGGAAGTGGGCCAAAGCTCTGAAAGGACGTGATTCCAGACGGATGATGATAAACAGTAGAGGAATGTCAAAGCGCAGTGCTGTGCGAGGAGAGTAAGGTTCGTGTGAAGGCACGATGAAGGAGTACTTTATGACGAAAAAGGATGTGGGCAGCAAGAAATGAACTTGACTGTGGAGAACGAAAGGAGGGCTTGAAGCGTTGACAGAACGTCGAAGGCGCAAAAGCGGAGTTGATGAAGTGAAGAAGAGGGTTCGAGGCTTCAGGCAAGAGAATCTCTTATGACCAAAGCATGTCGGTCTTGGAGGCTACGCAGTAATGAAGTTGAAAGGGGTGCAACCCAAAGACAAATGATAGTCAGACCGAGGAACCCAGGTGAAGTCAGTACTTAGAGAGAGGACTTTCTGGGGCCATGAAAGCTTCCTCTCGCAGCCGCTGAGTCTAGAATTACGGCACCGTCGTCAAGCTGGAGGTGAGTCTGGGCCAAATGTACGGCCAACTTTGATGCAAGTTGCCGTCTCATTTCCGAACGATCATTACTTACTTTTCATATTTTGAGAAGTAAAAATCGCTCGAGCATTGGCAGTCAAGATGAGTTGAATAGTGACTGGGGATACTTATGAGGCTGGAGGTCGTGCTGAACATGAATTCTGGGGAGGAAGAAGCAATATGGAAAATGGTAGCCACGTGTTTGCAGTACGGCGAAGTTTGATCGCGCCCAGCTGTCGGGATGTGTGGCCAATAGTAGGAACTGTGGCCCCCGAAAAAGAGCCGAAGACGATGATTTGCGGTGAGACTCGAGTGCACACATTTGGTCAAAGTGGTTGTTAAATTATCGAGCTTCACAAATTACGGATTCTACGACACAGATCATTCGGAAGATCATCAGGCCTTTCAGACCTTTCAACTCAACTCACTCTCCAACATATTGACTGCCCTATCCTTCTCAGCTTTCGGGAGCGCCGACTCAAGCTGCCAATCCGCGCATTTCTGCATGTCCTTCCCAAGCTCCTCTAGATTCCATGCTCTCGACTCCATATCCGGGTTCTCTGGGTCATAAAATGAGAAATACCCGCCCATCCGACGAGAACGTTCAAAGACCATGTACGCAAAGGGAAGACGAATCCGAGAGTAGATTTCGAGAGCTATAGGAATATTAGCGCGTGTGATGAAAGGGTGGGCGAGGAGTGTCGACAAGATGTAGGCGTCCTGTGGAGAAGCCAAAGGAATCATTAGCAGAGCTATTGCAGCGAAAATCCACAACGCACTTCTATCGCCTGTCCTGCACCAGCGCCTTGATAGGGTGTCATCGAATGAGCCTATATCGTGCACGCCATGAGTAACATGACGCAATTTCATTTAAGTAAATGAGCATACTGCGTCTCCTAGAAGCGCAACGTTTGAAGAGACAAAGGATGGAAGTCCAGGGAGGACGTTCACAGCCCACTTGGACACCGTCACAGCTTCCATACACTATGCTCAATATTTTATTAGCACAGTACTATAGGACAGCGACGGTAATAAAACCGAATACTAACCTCACCAAGAGCTCGAGCGTCAGGCTCCCAGTTAGCTAGAGTTCTTATGAGAGGCTTGCAGTCGGCAGAGGCAACAGACCAGGGTTCGGGGTGGAGTGTACCCTCTTTGGCGTGGTCGACCTCGGTTACAGCGACATTTATGAGTTTTCCTTGCGAGAGTGGGTAAGATATCATGAACTAGTCGAACATTAGGTTTCAGTTTGCGTAGTCGCGTAGATGTTAGGGAGCGAGAGCACACATACAAGGTTCTTTCCCAGAAACTACGTATAAATGTCAGTGACTCGCGCCTACCCAGATTGGTTGAAACACTTACAAAGGCATGACCGCTGAGAGAGCGGTGTTCGGGCGAGACTTTCCTCAACACCTCAGCCGGAATAAGGGTTCGATACACCGTAGCTCCACTGAATTTTGCTTTGACATGACCGCGCAGTTCCTCGGCCTTCAAGGTATCTCCTTCGTTCTCTGCCTCCTTTGCCAGTCCTTCGAATATGCACCCCCTAACTGCGGACTTGACACCATCTGCACCAATGAGAATGTCGCAAGTGGCCGTAGAGCCATCCTTGAAGTTGAGGCGAATATGCTCTGACGAATCATTGAGCGAAAAGGGAGAAGACGTCTCATACGAGACGAGACGCTTCGAGGTGAATGTTCGAACGCGTGGAGAAAGTTGTTTGAGGATTGCTCCGTGAAAGTCAGAGCGCAAGAATGAAGCTGAACCACCTGTATATGGGCAACGTCTGTATGCTGATCACTAAATAAATAAATAAAACAGGTCCCTACCTCGAGAGCTCACACTCGCAAAGAGCACACCAGGCTCTCGTTGATCGGACTTGAATGCGCGCACGAAAGGCTCTTGATAACGAAGAGATATGAGCACTCACTTAACGTAGCATCGAGAATGTTGCGTACCAGTGTGTTTGGAAGGTTTAGAAGCCGTATGTTTCAGTAATTCTTTGTCCAGGCCAAGCTCTTCGAGAATGGTCCAACATCTCCAGCCAATTCCGATGCCCGCACCAATCTCGGCGAACTGGGACGCTGCCTCGTAGACGTCGACCTCGATGTTTTCACACCTGTCAAGGACGTATGCGGCAACAATTCCGCCTACACCACCGCCACTACAAAGGTATTAGGTGCCACGAAAGGCTAAACTGATGAAAATGACTTTACCAGATGGCAACCTTGAACCTGGGTACCTTCGACATGATTTGACGTGGAAGAGACAAGTGCTGTAGTCCAACTCAATTATAACTTTACCCTTGGTCGTATCCACGCTGTCTGATTGCAGGAAGTTGTCCAGAAGTTGTGAGGGAGAGTGAAGATGAGTGGATCAGGGTGAGTGGATCAGGATGAGTGGATAGGCCTTCTGATCGGAGCTTTAAAGCCAGCTATAACTGAATGGGTGACTTTTCGTCATTGATCAGGCCGAACACCGTTGACCCTGCTACTTATAGACACACGTATACCAGATTCCACGGCCAACATAAGTAAGACAAAGATCATCACACAAGTCTACGAACACGCTGCCCTTGGCTCATGATCGAAGGCAATTGTCCGCAGGTGGACTTTAACTCCGGATGATCCCGTCAACTCGACGCAATGCAAAGATATAACTGACCGAAGTACGCAGACAAAAACGATGGCGTGAGTGACTCGGAAGATCTCAAGCTCATCCTGATGACCAGGTGCCTCCGAGTAGCCGTGAGATCTCGAGTCGGCGTCGCAGTTTGTGTCTAAGTTAGGCTGTTGTGTTTTCATCTGCGTGAAGATCCTAGCTAAGAGAATTGTTGTGAAATCATGAGTACTGTAAGAGAGAAGAACAGGTGCATCTTCGGCCCGACTTGCGGAGCCAGATTCCGACGCCGACGAAGGAAGGTAGTCACTTACCTCTTGTCATTCTCGCACGTTTCCACGATCCCCGAACTTCAAAGCTTCACTCTCGATCAATTTTAAGGTCCCACCAACACATATATTCCATCTTTCAATATATATATCGCGCTGAGGTAGTGGACGTGGTAGTTCTACGTCAGCGTTCTTCCTTACCGAGGAGTCTCCAGTAGTAGCCCAGACGCACCAAGTCAATCACATCTCCACCATCATCAAGTCTTCTACAAATGGAAAACGACATTTGACTTGAAACTTGTATAACCAACACTAAACATCAGATATGCACCTGTCCTCGCAGCCACACCTCAGATCACGTCCTTCTCTAACGACCTGAGCGCACTCTCCATCATATCCTTTGGATGCTGTGCGTCGGTCAGCCAGTCGCAGTTTTTCTGCATATCTTCAGCAAGCTTTTGCAAATTCCATTCGCTGCTATCCAACGACGGGTTCTTGGCATCGTAAAAGCCATAGTGCATACCGCTCTTACGAGAGCTGTCGAACACCTTGGCGGCGAAAGGAAGACGAACGTCGGAATATACTTTGAGAGTTTTCGATATGGTAGCTCGAGTCGTGAGGGTACTTGAAAGGAGGGCGGATAGGATATACGCGTCCTGGTGGTCATTTAGATGTGTTGATACTGCATATGGTTGTTGCTTGAAACAAACCTCTATAGCCTGTCCGGCACCTGCACCTTGAAAGGGTGTCATTGCGTGGGCCTATCGCGTCGAATGTCAGTACAACAGAGAATACGAACGGTATAGTTGATGATTCACGTACCGCGTCTCCGAGTAATGCCACACGCGATGAAACGAACGTGGGCAGGCTGGGGACGACATTGACTGCCCATTTGCTGACCGTCAAGCCGTCTATGCACTACGTGATGGTAAATAATGTTAATGAATGGCAGCAATAGAGGTACCACAGTATCTCAATATAAATGTCGAAATAAGAACGCACTTCAACAAGCTCTCGAGTAGAAGATTCCCAGTTCTCGAAAACAGTAATAAGTGATTTACTGTCGATATCTGCGGAGACCCAGGGATCTGTGTAAAGCTGCCCCTCCTTCGAGTAGTCTGTCTCGAAGATAGCCGCGTTAATGAATTGTCCTCTTGCGACTGGGTAGGTCACGGTAAACTAAAAGTTCAAAACATAAATAGCACCCTAAGCATGATAGACAAAGAGCTTCCTAACGTGATTTTTACCCAAGTACTGCAATGCGTCAGCTTATATTAGCCTCCAGTTCAGAGATGGAGCCAGAAGTGAAACTCACATGAATGGGGCTCGCGAAGGAGCGATGGTCCGGCGAAACTGCCTTCAGTCTCTCTCCAGGGATAAGAGTTCTATAAACAGTGGCGCCGCTGTATTTCGCGTTCATAACGTCCAGAAGCTCGTCCGCCCTCGCATGATCTCCTTGCTGTGCAGCCTCCTTCGATAGTTTCTCATACATCGAGACTCGAACAATGGACTTGATCCCATCGGCGCCGATGAGGATGTCACAAGTCGCAGTAGAGCCATCCTTGAAGTATAGTTTGATAGGCTCAGAGGAGTCGGTTTCTTCGTAGGATACGAGACGTTTCGAGGTATGAGTCCGAACACGTTGTGACAGACAGCCAATGAGAGCTTGATGAAACTCGGTCCTCAAAAGCGTGGCAAAGCCACCTGAGAGCGAGAAATGGATGTTACGGAAAGAACTTAAGAGTGAAGGGAAGCAATGCACCTCTCGATGTGATGGTCACAAAATTTTCCCCAAGCTCTGGCTGATCTGACTTATAGGCGTAGATATGTGGAACTAGAGCATGGAACGTCAAAAATCACACTCAGGTTGCAACCCAAGCAATATGCGCACCTATATCGTCTAACGGTGGCGTCTTGATGAGGGGCAGCAACGCCGGCTCCAGTCCGAGCATCTTGAGGACGGTCCATGACCTCTGAATGACTGCAATGCCGGCGCCGATGGCACCAAACTGGGAAGCGGCTTCGTATATATCGACGTCGATGTCTGGGTGACGTCCTAGAGCATACGCAGCAACAATGCCGCCAATACCTCCGCCACTGACAATATAAGTCAGTTCATCGATGATCAAGCCTCCCCAAGAGGAGATTCGGTGGAACAGCGTACCACACAGCGACTCGAAACTTGGGACTTGGAGTGGCCATTGAGGATATCGAACAGTTCTGAGAAGCTTATAAAGAGTGCATCGAACAACGTAACCGGGCTCTCCGGTGGTCGTGCCCCGAATGTGGGTTATCCGAGAGAAGTACGATGACTTTCAGCCAGTAGGAGTTTCTTGCAATCAGCAAGGATTACGGTTCTATTCTCACATTGCCACGCAGAGTAAGTTGCCCCAGCGAGCACCAGCGGCAGCCTACTAAGCAGGTGTAACGCGTTATATAGTCAGCCAGCCAAGGATGTCCTTGAATCGACGAGGGCGTCATGGAATGTGAGACGTTGCGGCCAGTCGATCCCTGTGAACTTTGGATCGAAGGAAGGAAGGAAGAGGATGGAGTGGTGAGAGAAAGGATTGCTTCAAGATTGCTTTGCCAGCGATCGTAGTCGCCGACAGCCGTGCACTGCTCCGTTTACTGATTTCCCGCCACCGCCAGTACCACTACCGTGATAGTGTACCTCCAGGGCCCGAGAAAGGGTGGCATACATGACAGTGCACTGTAGGCGAGTCTATCATTTTCTTGCTCCTCATGTCGCTGTATTCATTTCGGCATACTTACTGGCAGGCTGTAATGCTACGTTTTGCACATGAATTTTAGTACAAGTCTCTTTAAGGATGAGTCAGGACTCACGGTACTGGTTCAGTTGTGGTACAACGTCCGTCCCCATCTGCTAATCACAGCACATGCAACGAAGGACGTCGTCTGTAACACTCTGTAACATGAAAGAATTTGCTGGCGGTCAGGATGTACGAATGCGGCCAGTAAGCGGGCCGTACGGTGGTATTTATGGACCCGACGATGCACATGCAAGTGCACCGACGGGCTTTTTCACTTTGAATCTGGAGGCTGAAAAAATAAGCCGCTTTTGAATGTGGCTTACCAGTGGGCACACAGCGATTTGATCATAAGACATTCCCACACATCTTGAGACTGCTAGCGATACTAAAGTCGTCTATCTGCCAGTTCTGAGACTGAGAGCGGGTGGAAGCTCGTGGGGGACGGAGGTGAAGGAAGAGACGAACATTTGGCCACAATGGGTGGCGTATTTGAGAAAGTCCGAATCAACTCCCGGACCGGCCATCCCGACCACATCTGTCTGCGGTGTTGTGGGCCGGGCGGTCCGGAGGGGATGTGTGCAATTAGAGGTCGGTTATAAACAGACTCTCACTCCGTCATGTCGTCCACGATTTGCTCCTACTCTTTCTTCTCTTCTACCGTCTCAGTCTATCCCGTCTTTGACTACGATGGCCACCAAGATCACCCACTTTGAGATGCACGGTAATAAATACATTATGTTTAGTATTGTCAAGAGAATACTGACACTCTTGGTTGATGATGGTAGATGTCCGTTTCCCGACGTCATTGTCGGGGGATGGTACAGATGCGATGTATGTCCAATCTTGTGCTCTAGTAGCGATTTGGTACTGATTCAAAGATACAGGAATACCGATTGCGACTACTCTGCGGCATATGTTACTCTCTACACCTCATCTCCGGAACTCAGTGGCCACGGTTTGACCTTCACTATCGGAAGAGGAAACGATATCGTACGTCGTTCTAAAACTCAACAGGAGAGTGCTGTCAATATTATCTGATGCACGTATTAGGTTTGTGCGGCTATTAAAGAGGTCGCAAATCGCCTCGTCGGGAAGGAAATCGAGCCCCTATTCGCCAATATGGGCAAAACATGGGAATACCTCGTTGCAGACTCTCAGCTGCGATGGTCAGCTGTATTCATCTCTATCTTCTGATGGTTTTCTATTCTAATACCAGTTCCTGTGATCTAGGATCGGTCCAGAGAAGGGCGTGATCCATATTGCCACCGGTGCGGTCGACAATGCGTTGTGGGATCTTTACGCACGCTCGAGGAAAAAGCCTCTGTGGAAGCTTGTGGTCGATATGACTCCAGTGCGTTTTTGTTTTATTCTGATCTGATATGTTCTGCGTCCAACATTTTTCTTACTCCCTCAGGAAGAGTTAGTAAACTCCGCCGCCTTCCGGTACATCACCGATGCCATCACACGTGAGGAGGCGTTGGAGATGTTGAAGACGAAGGAGGCGACGAAGAAGGAACGTGAGTCAAAGGTCCGTGAGCTCGGGTGAGTAACTTTGCCATCTTTCTTACGTCCTAATTGTATTCAATACCAAGTCATTTTCAGATACCCCGCCTACGTCACTTCAGCCGGCTGGATGGGTTATTCTGACGAAAAGGTTGCGAGACTGACCAAGGAAGCCGTCGCTTCCGGATTCAACCACTTCAAGATGAAGGTTGGTGGCGACCGTGCCTCTGATCTTCGCCGTGGCAAGATCATTCGTTCCATCGTCGACGACCCTCAATGGCTTCCCGAGGGCCATAAACCACGAGAGCCTAGTGATCCATCACTCGTCGGGAAGAATGCTGGCCCCACTGGTTCGGTATTCATGATCGATGCCAACCAGGTATGGGACGTGAAGGAGGCTATCGACTGGACAGCATCTCTTGCTGAGCTCAAGCCTTGGTCATTCTTTCCCTCTACTCGTTCTTTCGAGGTTGAAGTTCTCACTTTTCGATTATAGGTTTATTGAGGAGCCAACAGCACCCGACGATATACTCGGACACGCAGCAATTCGCAAGGCCCTTAAACCATACGGAATTGGTGTGGCGACTGGCGAGCACGCACACAACAGAATGGTGTTCAAACAACTTCTCCAGGCCGAGGCTATCGATGTGTGCCAGATCGACTCATGCCGTCTCGCCGGTGTCAGTGAAGTGTTGAGTGTCCTGTTGATGGCCGCAAAGTACGATCAGTTTGCCCTCATTGTGCGGTATACTTGATACTGATAGTACCTTTGCTTTCAGGTTTGGCGTTCCTGTATGTCCTCATGCTGGTGGTGTTGGACTCTGTGAATATGTTATCCACTTGAGGTACGGCCCAAAATCTTCGCTTACGGTCCCTGTCTTTCGCTCATTTTTATTTACTTACTAGTTTGATCGACTACATTGCTGTTTCGGGCACCATGGAACGTAACGTTTTAGAGTTTGTGGACCACCTCCATGAACACTTCCTCTACCCTTGCTCCATCAATTCCAAAGGCCGCTACAACGTACCTAGCAACCCCGAGGAGGGCTATAGGTACATCACTCGTCGCCGAACCCTCTTACTGATGCTGACCTTTGTGTTTATGCTACAGTATCGAGATGGTCAAGTCGAGTTTCGCAGAGTTCGAGTATCCGAACGGGTCGTATTGGGTTGGTGCGGCGAAGGCGAAGGCTGCCCAGTAGTTCTTCCTCGTTTCTAGTGCATACGCAAGGTGCTTTATCTGGGCCTATGCGGAGATCGTTTGAACCAATACGGAAAACAGCAGGCATATCGAGTGTTGTACGTTGAGCTAAGCATTATCTATCTACTATCGTCTCCATCTCAGTTAGGATGCATCGTCATATGTAAACTATACACACAAAATACTACCAATTCTTTCTGTACATGTGTTATAACTCCCCCGGTCGGTCATCCGTAGACTTGCACGTTCACCGGCACAGTGCTGTTGTCCAAGTGCCCGAGCGTTCGCCACTTGTTCGCCACAAGACTGGTCCCTTGTCAATCCCATGTTCAAGTTTGAAACTCCGATCTAACCCATCTCTTTGTGATGCCACCACTCGGTCATGAAATGGTAACCGACATATCCGACTCGGGGTTGACGTTAAGAGGGATCTGTGCATGACCCGCTAACGTTATAAACGTCTAAACTTGTTCTATGGCGTCCCGCGAACTTCGGCAATCCCGCTGATGGACATTGCCAGAGCCTCTCTCGCCTCTATCTCTCGCATCTGACTCTTTAGTTCTTGAGAATGTACTATCGTTCGCTCTACCCACCTATACCACAGCTTCCACCGAAGAACTACGTAGACTTTGCTCTTGACCGACCCGAAGTCGGAAGTTTCCCGAACTGCAAAGTTTACATCAATGCTAACACCGGTGAAGAGATCAGGAGACGGGAGTTCATCGACAGATTCGAGCATGCGGCGGTCGGGCTCAAGGCTGGTCTTCGTGATGGAGGGCTAGGGTTGAAAGGACAAGAGGAAAACGCCGGTGATGGAGAAATTGTGGGGATTTTGAGCGAGAATTGTCTGGTATGTTAGCAGTGCATGGTCTCGAGTATCGCTTGTAGGCCAAAAGCGTTTAGCTGACCAGGTATGGCTAATTCACGTGTAGGAATTCCCGGTACTGGTCTGGTCCCTTCTCAAGATTGGCGTCCCATTTGCCCTTCTTCCCGCGCAGTCGACCCAATCCGAACTCAATGCGCTCGCTCACATTTGCAAACTGTCTCACCTCTTCGTTAGCCCAAGGCTGCTTCCTCAGGCATTGAGCGGATGCAAGACATGGGGCCTGCCTGAGGATAAGATATATATTCTTCAAGGAAGAGCTGTCGATAGAATCTGTCTTGGCGACATAATCGATAGCGCGAGGAGGAAAGGAGCACAATTGATGGCGGAGAAGCTAAAGTCGTGTGCTGTAAGGGACGATACCTTGGCCTATCTGGTGTTCTCGAGTGGGACCAGTAAGTCGTAACCAGCCTCTTCGCTTACTATCTATAATACTTCTGGCACCAGGTGGTCTTCCCAAAGGTAAGCGGTCCTTGAATAAACCCCTACATTATTTTGATTTCATGACTCGCTCTAGCTGTAATGGTCTCGCACAGAAACCTATGCTATGCCGCCCTCCAGCCGGCTTACATGCTCGCTGAATTGTCCAAAGTCGCACCAGTAATGACAACTCTTATACCATGCTTTTATCTTCACTCATCTTCGCATTTCCTTAGCCCTCTCCTCCTAACACTCCCGAAGGAGTGACTGTCGGAATATGTGTTCTGCCGATGTACCACACCGCCGCTCTTCACGGCTTTATTCTCCGTATTCTCTTGACGCCCCAGACAGCTATTATCATGCCGAAGTATAACCTGGACCTCCTGGTGGACGCGATTTCAAGGTCTGTCACTTGATGCCGTACTGACCTCTCCCATGCTAACCATCTAAGTGCGGATAATATAGATATCGAGTGTCGCATCTATTCCTCGTGCCTACGATTGTCAATCAACTGCTTAACTCACCCAAGTTCGGTACCGCCGATTTCACTAGTGTGGCGTCGATAGGGACCGCTGCTGCACATCTTCCGGTCGAGCTAAGGGACAAGTTTCAAGGAAAGGCGCCGCTGGCTCAACCTTGGGAAGGTAATTCTCATCAATCCCATCTTGTCACCCCGACGAATTGAGCTAACCGTTCATTTTGCCCAAAGCGTACGGGATGTCGGAATGTGTCAGTCCCTCACTTCATCGTCATCCTCGTCCTCGTATATCTATATGCTTACATCGTTTCAAACCAGACCGTAACATGCATCGCGACTTCAATTCCTGGAATCTTCAACTCCACCGTCGATCCTGTACGTGGTATGACGGGTATATTGCTCTGTGGCATGGAAGCTCGTATCGTCCGTGAAGATGGCACGGAGGCTGGGTACCATGAACCTGGAGAACTCTGGGTGAAGGGTCCGAATGTCGTGCTGGGATATCGGGGAAACGAGGAAGCTACTCGGGAGACATTTGTTACCTTAGAGGACGGCTCGTACGTAGGAAGATGGCTCAAAACAGGGGACAGGTTTAGAGCGGACGAAGCGGGAAGGTTCTTGTAGGTTTCTCCTTTCAGTAGATCAAGTGCGTTCTTTTCTACTTGCTGATCTCCGCTTAGCTATATTGATAGAGTGAAGGTGACGAGTTTCGCTCCTGTCTGCGTCTATTTGACTGAACACTTCTAAAACCTTGCTCACGTAGGATACTTTCAAAGTCTCTGGCCAGCAAGTGGCCCCCAACGAGATTGAAGATATTATTCTCGACCATCCCGACAAGCTTGTCACCGATGTCGTAGTAGCTGGTGTCAGTCATCGCAGCTCGAGAGGTGGCGGCCGCTCTGCTATTGACGAGAAGACACCACGAGCATGGATCATCCTCTCTGAGAACGGACGCCATCGTCCAGTGGAGGACGTTATCGCCACGCTCAAGAGCTGGACAGAAGACAAACTAAGTAAACACAAGTGGTTAAGGGGAGGGTTCGAGATAGTTCGTGAGGTGAGTGGCACGCTGCCATAGAGTGCTAAAAGTTGATTTGTGTTGGTCGGTTCTCTGCGGTATAGATTCCCAAGCTGCCAACGGGAAAGAAGCTTCGGAGGGTGTTGGTTGAGCAGTATAATGAGGGCTCATGTACTGAGGCCAAGCTCTGAGCATGACTCTGTTTTGATTTCGTATATCTACGAGTTTTTAACGATGATGCTGCCACAGAGAACAACACCAAATGAAACTCGGCATGTGCCTGCTGCATTCAAAGTCCGCCGAAAGGGCCGCTGACGAGACCATTTTACCAAAATGTCACTACTATCCGCCTCACGCCAGTTCCAGTACTGTAGTGGTCCTTTTTTTCCGCCGTGGAACCGGTCGAAAAAGTTTAGCCACCTCTGGGTAGTGAACACTGCCGTTTTGATAACTTCCTTCCTTCCTTCCTTCCTTTCTGCCAATGGAGGAAAATGACACATTGTTCTCCACAAGCTCTCCATCGCGGTCCACCGGATTGTCTCCTGATCACATCTACCAAAGGGTTCGTCCATGGTCCTACCCAAGGTCCCGAGGGTTAAACCCGATTCGAACATAACGAGTATGGTGACGCCAGTATGACTGTAAACTCAAAGTCATGAAAATGGAATTAGCTCGACGAACAGTTTCCCTATATAACGACATTGGCATTGACATCGAGCTCGTACTACGAGGCATTCTCGCGGCATCATTAACCTGTGCTCTAATTCTCCCAACATCCTACCTGCCAAATGTGGCCATTCTATTCTTCGAACGATGGTATCATCGTCTCTAAGCGCGCAAAACGTGCTGCTGATGTGGACACTGCTAACGCTTACGTGCCAGCACAACATTCGTTATACCTGCGTGCCACTGGTGTGTCTATCCTTCATATCCTTATATCTCTGTCTTCTGGTACTCTTCTGCCCTATTCAGCGTTTAATTCGGATACCTTATCATCTGCAGCTAGTGAGATCGTCCGTCACATCGAGAAGGGCGAGTGGACATCTTCAGACGTATTGGAAGCATACATTGCCCGAGCGGCACAGGCGCATGAGAAGACTAACTGTTTGACCGAAGGTAATTACTTTCCTGTCGTTGTTCTGACTATGAGCCCATACCGGTATATTTGCGATACCAGTGTTGTTCGAGCAGGCGCGTCTGGAAGCCAAGCACCTCGACGAGTCATTTGCCGAAACCAGAAAGCTTGTCGGTCCCTTACACGGCGTACCTATGAGCGTCAAGGACTACTGTAAGTAGTTTCTATCTGGTTTCGCTTTTTCCCATTAGAGCAGAGTTTACTTTTGTCCAGTCGATGTCGCGGGCGTTGACAGTACGCTTGGCCTCACCAAATGGGCCAACAGACCAGCCTCACGCGATTCAGCTGTAAGATACCGAGCAATTTGCCGTTTCTTCTGTCTACCACGCTAATCTGTATCCTCAGATCGTCCAGCAGCTTCGTACCGCAGGCGCTATTATCATAGCAAAGACGATCGTTCGTGTTCTGAATTATCTGTCTGCTCGTTCCCTCCATTCAATGTAATTGGCGACATCAGGTCTCGCAGCACATGCTCACTTTCGAATGCAATCCCGCCCTTTGGGGTCGTGCCACAAATCCCTGGAGTAGTCTGCATACATGTGGGGGGTCATCTGGCGGCGAAGCTGCTCTTCTCGCCCTAGATGGCGCGGCAGTCGGTATAGGGTCCGATCTAGCTGGAAGTTTGCGTATCCCCGCTTCCTTTTGTGGAATATACTCCTTGAAACCTGGTTTTGGGAGGATAGCACTAGAAGGCAGCAAAGGTTTGTCCCCTTGCTCTTCTCCGCCACAAAGTCGTAATTGTGTGTTGATGCCGTTTTTTTGATTTGGTAGGACCTCCATCTGGTTTCGAGGCAGTCGGGAATGTGGCCGGACCCATGGGCCGGCGAGTTTTTCTGCGCCTCACGTTTGTTGTGTCTGTAGCTGTAGTGTGGCTTACTTGTTTACGTCCATAGCTCGGTCGCGGATATTGAACTAGTGTCAAGACTGACATTTGGAGTGGAAGACGGTGACTACTTCCCAGTACCGCTGCCTTACCGCGACGTCGACATCCCGAAGAAACTGAAGTTCGGTTACTTTCTCTCGGGTACGCTCAATCAATATTCTTCTCCGCCCTTCGCATCTGACATCCATTTCGGCTACCTCAGATAACTTCGTGAAGGCTTCGCCTGTTTGCCGACGGGCTGTCTTGGAGACTGTGGATGCTCTGAGACGAGAAGGACACGAGTGCATTGAGTTTGAACTCCCACAGCGTAGGCTTTTCACCAAACAAAACCTTCCCAAGCCATTATTTACGAGGAACCTTGATGATTTCTACAGCCGCCTCTCGTCCTCTCGAAATATTTTCCGGCCTTGCTTCATCTGACGGTTATCGAGAAATATATAAAAATCTCGGTCAAGACAAACTGGTGTGTTTGAGTACTTCCACATTCACACGTCCCTATTCTAATATCTACCTAGGACAAGAGTGGCGTAGTCGCATTGTCAACTCCAGGGCTTCCGAGTAAGGATTTGGTTGTCCGAATGTATCTACACAGCTCACCCTCACACACCACAGGCTTCGTTCGCAGTCTAGTTACTTGGGTGGTCAGGAATATCATCGGCGACGTCATATTCGCCCGCGTCATGGTACATTCTAGGAAAAAGACAACCAGTGAACACTGGCAGTATACTGCTGAGAAAAACGAGTTCGCTCGGGAGTGGAACAAGGAGGTCTGGATGAACCACGGCTTTGACGGGATTATCACGCCTATCCTTCCTGTTCCTGCGCTTCCTCACGGGTGAGTTGAATTCGTGTGCTCGACGTTCGTCCTTATTCTGAAAATCACCACCCTGTTCACCATCCTTTTTCTTTGTTGACATTCAGCGGTGCGGAGTACGTTGCTGCCATAGCGAACGCTACTGTCACGTACAACGTTGTCGACAGTCCCGTTGGCTGCATCCCCGTCACTCGTCTTGATCCGTCTCTTGATCAGCTCACAGACGAGTGGTTTGATGGTCCCGGCCATGGCTCTCAGCTTTTGGAACGTATGGTCTATGGGACGAAGAAGAACAAGTATGCTCTTTATGATGTGGAGGCAATGAAGGGCTTGCCTGTTGGCGTGCAGCTTGTGGGGAGGAAGTGGCAGGAGGAGAAGGTAGTCGAGATGATGAAGGTCATGGACCAGGCGCTGGGAAAGAGAGGGTTTGGCGCGGGAAGTTCGTTAAAGACTGAGTAGCATTGCCCACTGTGATCGCTGTCTATCTATGCGTTGTATTACAAAGACTATACCCCAAAGCGGACTTCGTCGTCGCCGTCGTTCATACTTAACATCTCCCTCAAGCCCGATCTTCTCGTTTCAAACTGCACGGCGAATGGAAGCGGAAGCGTGATGACTCCTTCTCTGAACGCAAGCGTATCGATAGGTCGCTTGGGGTCTGTCTTGATGCGGAAGGACCAAAGGAGGAAGGCGGTATTGATGAACATGGATCTATGCGGGTCAGTTTCAGACATAGGCTCATTGAAAGGCAAGTGTTGGCTCGAACTAGTGTTGAGATGTACCTGGTCGCAACCTCGGCTCCAGGGCATATGCTGTATTCACATTAATATTGCAGGATGTGATCAGTGCGAATGCCGGGTCGTAAAGAGAAAGAGAAGTATATACCGTCTTCCAAAGCCGAAAGCAGGAAACTAGGTGTCGATTTAGTAGAGTACAATAAAATATTGGATGCCGTCAGATTGTCCGTGTAGCTTACGGACAGTCGGTGGCTCACCTTCATGTCGGGTTTCACCTTCCCGTCCTTATCAAACCAACGTCCAGATTTAAACTCATCTCCATCAGGAAATATTTCCGGGTCACGTCCAATTGCCCTGCAGAGCCACTCACCATTCAACCAGACATCCTGCGTCCTTGCGACGTAAAGGAGCGAAAAACTCACCAGTGATTCCCAATAATCGTAGCCCCTGCTGGGATATGATAGCCATTCTGCGTATATGAGATTAGTCCAATGAGTCTGCCAAAAGGAGAGTCGTAAATTGCAAAATGCGAGAAGGAGAACCGACCCAGAGTATATCCTTGGTAGTGCTATGCTGAAATCCTCCCGCCACCCCCGGTCGCCACCTAGCCGCTTCGAGATAAAATGCGTGGACCTGAGGGAGGAGGTCCCAATCTGAATACGAGGGCACTACAATAAGAGAAATACTCCGTCAGTGGACATCCATAAAGACGGAGACGTCGAAAGACTTACATCTGTCGGGTCCTACGACCTTATCCAGTTCCCTGGCCACAGCGGCTTGGGCCTCGGGGTACAAGGCGGCTGCCATGATGACTACACTGATTCCTGAAGCAGTCTACATACGCGCACGATATAAATTAAGTATAGCGAACAGATAATAACAAATTGGTGGTGATCAATTATACATACCGTTTCGGAGCCCGCGCCAAACATCGAACCGGCGAGGTAGGCAGCTTCATCATCCGATAGACCTAAATTCTCCTGCTTTTCGACAAGGTACCTCCCAAATGACGGCCTTGCCTTGCCTTTGGCCTATAAGATAGCAGGTTGTCAATCCGTCAATTGGCTGCCATTTGTGCTCTGAAGGCAGTCTGACGCGAGTCTGACCATGTCATCTCTCACACCATTCAATTGTTCCCTGAACATCGCCAACTCCTCGCGATGCCATCTTCTGAGCTTCATGCCGTAGAATGGGATGTACTTCAACCACGGCAGCTGCTCGACATAGTAAGCTCCAGGACGGCTGGCCTCTCCAACGCGGACGAGTCCTTCGTTGATGATGGCAACGTTAGGGTCGGATTTATTGCTTGGAGAAGGTTTCCCATAGGTCAGGGACAATATAACGGAGCCGGCGTATCTGCACAAGAACGAAGTAGAATATAAGTAAATTATCAGTCAAAAGGTTGCGGGACTGGTGGAAAGGCTACCGCTTTGCGTGCTCCCAATGGTCGTCAGCATCGTCGAGGATATCACGGATGAGGATCTTGGCGTTGAATGCCTGCAGAGGCTCATAGGAAGCGGCCATCCGTGGGTACAGGTGCTTGTGAAGTGCCCTGTCACCGACGATCCGTGAGCGAATAATTCAAGTGACGAAGTTTCGATACTCAGCGCACTTGCGCGACTTTCGGAAGCGCTCTCCTACGCCTAATAATAGCAGCCTCTTTCCACCTGATAATATGTCGCTGGCGGCTATATTCTGAGGTCGATCAGCGGACGAAACTCCTTCCTTCTCCAAGATGTCCATGGCAGCCTACCACACACATAAACGCCGAAGGTGAAGTCAGTACACAAGTGTTTCTGAAATCTTTGAAAATCGCACCTTATATCCATTGACAACAACTATCACTCGCCTCCCTCTCCGCAAAGAGAATACTGGCCCGTATTCTTTGGACCACTCGTAGAACTTGATGAACGATCTACATACCGTGTTGAATACCGAGTATATCGTTTTTCACGAGGAACCGATAGCCAGAAAAGATGAATGAATGAAGTGGTGCAACCTACAATTTCTTTGGAAAATCGTTTCCCCAGAACCAATGACCAGGCGGCCCGGGAGGTAGTTGACTATTTCTGGAGGTCGAAAGCGACCACCGCCACACGGTGACGCAGCCCACCAGCAAAGAGATTGTTGCGAGAAGGAGTTCCATCTTGTCCTGGTAGCTTTCTCCAATGAGAACAAGGAGCTGAGATAAAGGTGCAAGGTGATAGCTGAGGAGGCGTTGGAGCCTTATGGAGTCGCGGTCTCCTCGCTTACACTTGATGTCGCTGAGTTGGCGCTAAGACTGGCACCCCAGACAGTCAGGAGGGTGTAAGGGGTTTCACAGGCGACGATTCATGCAACCAAATGCAGCTATACATACACCGTGATAGTAGACGCCACACGCCACATGAACTTAATCGAATGATTCAATGAAGTCCTTGGGAAGAAGTTGGGGCCAAGTTAGCCCGGCGAGCTCGCTGGACGGGCTCCCGAAGCGTAAACATAGGCTAACTTAAGATCAGGGGTGAGTCGCGTTCGCATTATAGTGAGGCTCTGACAAGAATCGATGATATACAACAGAATTCGACAGAGCGTGAGAGGAAGTCAGGAAGGAAAGCACGAAAGACAAGTTGCAAATTCGCCGTCAGAAAAGTTCGGCAACCTCCGTATACGTAACACCCCAAACAAGCGGTGCCACACGTCTTCATCTTACTCTCAACCGTTACTTGGGCCACATTACCCCGCCTTCCTCTCTACCTTTGCGCTACCCTCTTTCCGCACAGACTTCATCAGAATACAAGTACCATGTCAAGTACAGATGAAGAACAAGTCAATCCATACGAGCTCTTGGCGGTCCCCATGTCCGCCACAGACGCCGAAATATCTACAGCATATCGACAGGGATCAAGGAAGGTCCATCCTGACAGAGTACGTGCTCGCATTGGTAGCCTCGTAAATTTCGTAAGGAGAAGTGTACTTAAATGTTACGTTTCATGCTCTCTAGAATCGTGGTAATCCCGACGCTGGTGCGTGCTATTCCTCAATACTCATACTAGTCTTGCGTATGAGTTAGTTCGAACTGCTGACCGAATGGCTTCATTCGTAAAATATAGCAAGGCAATTTCATGCTTTCAATCAAGCCTACGAGCTTCTTCTCGATCCACTCCGTCGTCTTGCCCTTGATGCCAAGCTTCGTGTCAAAGAGCAGCGGCAAGCGCGCTACGCCAACTACGATGCCAAACGGAAAGATATGGTTCGCGAGCTCGAGGAACGAGAACTCGCGTTTAAGAAGGCCAAGACTGAGAAGATGAAGGAAGAGAGAAATATGATGCAGGAGGCGGAGAGAATTAAGGAGGAGGGGAGGAGGATGAGGGAAGAGAGGGAGAAGGAGTTGAAGGAGAGGGAGGAGGAGGCGGAAAAATTTGCACAGAAGGAGAGGGAGGAGAATGAGCCGCCTGCATTGGGTGAGTAGCTCGTCACATACTAGATTGCTCATGAGACTCATTCATTTACTCGACGATTTGTTAGGTGCTCTTGACACCACCATCCGTCTGAAGTATCCTCTGTCAACGCACCCAACACTTACGACACCCTCCGCCCTTGCCGACTTCCTATCAACGACCTTTGGTCCTGTCGACTCCGATTCCATAGTCATCCGCTCAAATCCTCCCAAGAATGCACCCCATAAACCGCCAAAGAAGGCCACCGCATTGGTTCCGTTCAAGAAGATAGGCGACGCGTTTAAAGTGTTATGTGCAGCAGGGAGGAAGGATAAGGGATTAGGTGATGTAGATGTAGGATGGGCGGGCGGACATGAACCACCGGTGCTAGCATGGCTGAGGAAGAGGAGGATGCTAGGAAGTGGAGATGGGGGAGATGGTGCAAGTGGTGGTGGCGAGGATAAGTCGTCTACAGGAAACAGAAGTAATGGAACGGCTTCGTTGCCGCCACGGACAGAACAAATCTTTCCAACAGGATCGAAGTCCTCGACTCATGTATGTTCCCTTTGCAGTCTACTCAGACGTCTCCGCTAACACCGCCTAATCGTTGTCTTCCTTAATGTATAGCCCGACTTCTCATCAACACCTTCCTTTTCATTCTCCGTCACCGACGCCGCAACCCCAACGCCACTTCCCAAAGCAGCACCCCCACCACGAAGCGTGGATTTCGAGTCTGTAACGCTCATGAGACTTCGGCAGGCCGAACGGGAACGGATAGAAAGGGAAATTAGAGAACAGGAGGAGAACGAATGAAGCTATATACTTATAAGGCTTTGCTTGTGTTCGCTCTGCGAATTGACTGTCTCATCGTCTTGTGGAGATAGTGATCTCAATGTGTCTCTTACACCACAAGGCCAACTGTATTCGGGGAGACCGAGGCTCTCCCATACCCAGCTACGGAGGCAAAAACATGCATAGAGAACAAAGACAAGAAATCCGAGAGCGTATCAGCCTCTTCACCTGTGTCATGCATGCCCGCTCGTTACCATTCACCCGCCCCACCGACTCCTCTTGTGTGCTCTTCCCTCCGAGTCACCACCCCCACCACCCACATTCCTATCATTCCATCCCTGATCGCCCAAATCACCACCAGCACCCGTCCCATAGCGACTCCTCCGCCCACCTCCTAACGCACCTCCATGACTCGCGCCTCGATTTTGGGATTGTCCAGCCACATACGGGTTCACACCACCGGCGGAATTGCCCTGGGAATATGGGTTCGCGCCACTTCCGCGAGGGCCGGCGGGTGGCGGTGGAGGAGGCGGAGGACGTGAGGAAGTCGTGAAGTCGATTTTGGAGCGTTGGGAGCCCGCTGCTTTGGCTGCTTCTTGCTGCTCGGAGCGCGTTTTCTGGTAAGCGGCTGTGGCGGGAATCCGGGGACCGTAAGGGCGAGAGGGTGTTATACAGGGAGCAAAGTCAGGAGGAAGCAAGGAGCCAAAGAGGTATACACGATGGAAGGCCACAACGGTGCAGCGTATGACGCAGATAGCAAATAAATCACAGAGCAACCAGTATACATCCCCGTAGTGTAAGCGCAGAAGTTCGCAAGCAGTATGTGGCAACGCGTAATAAGGTTATGGAGCCCAGCATTAGCCCTCGCTAGTCGGAGCTTGGGCAATGCAGATAAACAGAACGCACCGATTGAGTCCGCAAACCAGTCATCCTTCAAATCTCTTTCGTCCTCTGCGTCCCACGTCGGTACAAAACGTCCACCGTCGGCGGTGCTGTCGGTGCTCCTTGTCGTCGCAAAGTTCGATACTGTCTCGTCCACGTCCACGAATTCGACGAGCTTGGCGTAGAGATGTGGGTTCCGGAATGATCGATTCGACATGAGGGAGTCATTGAAATGTTTTTGTTGGTTCGGATCGCGTTTGAGTGCGTGGAATTGAGCCAACTTGGTCTACACGTAAGCGCGGTGTTAATCGGCTTCATGGCACAGATACTATAGAGAACAAACACACCTCTATAGCAGGATCACAGGGCTCAGTACTTGCTGGAGGTATACCCCAATCTGCTGTGGCCACAATCTCAGGCGGACGAAGGAGCTGGCGGATACGTATAAGTTCGTCCGATGGCGCTGGTCTATCCTGGTCCATTGGGTGACCAGCATCTGATGTTGTGGCCGAAGACCCAGCTTGAGCCGAGGAAGTAGCAGAGACCCTTGAGAACTGCACGGTTGAAGGGGCATCCAGGTCTTCGGAAGCGCTTATGTGGGCACGAGCATGGGGCTTGGGATGTGCTGGACGTCGGATGACGATGTTCGGATTCGAACTTGTGGAACTCGAAGCTGTCATCGCGGTCGATTTCGTTCGTCTTGCTACCATATATCCCAACACGTGGTGAGTTAACGCAAAAGCAGGAGAGAACGATGGAAACGTACGTTCTGAAGGAACGTCAATTCCGGCCTTCAGCATCGAGTCCTGGCGTAGAGAGAAAGAGGGGAGCGAGAAAGAGGGAAACGGTGCGTGTATAGCCTGCGATTTAAGATTCTCACATCAGATGGTTTGATATTTTGTGCTCTGTTCGTGTCCTCCGCTCGGTTTACGACTGTCCTTGTACGTGCTTTTGTATGAGAACTTTGCGTCGGTTGCTCAGAGTCGGATTGTGAGTCCTCGTCATAGGAAACTAGACCTGAAATACAAAGAAGCGGTGAATATCCCAAGTAACATAAAAAGATATTTTGGCACTTACCGTTCATCTCGATTGTGCGCTCGAGATAGAGGAAAAGGAAGAAATGGTAGAGGTAAACAGAGGTAAACTGGCAGGCATCACACAACGGTGCCACAGTGCATCATGCGGAATACGCCGACGTACTTCGAACTCAGATCTTCCGCACAATTATGGTGGCGACAGGATGAACGTCTTCTCTCCACCCACTTGAGCACTTCAGATTTGTGGTAAGTATCCATCCAAGTCCTTAGCATTATTTGATCAAGACTAACATTATACACACAGCGCGCGACCCTGACAATGAACGACGACCAGACTTCTTCGCCGACTGAGTTGTGTCGACTGACACGCGATACGGACGTCTGGCTAGAGGACGGCAGTGTCGTCCTAGCCTGCCAGTCAATCGTATTCCGCGTCCATAAGAGCATTCTAGCAGCACACTGCGGAGTCTTCCAGGATATGTTCGCAGTTTACGCGCCGCCAGAGCACGAGGAGAACTATGAGGGTTGCCCATTGATCGTCATGCACGACAAGCCGCTTGATATGCGTCGGTTTCTCAAAGCAGTCATATACCGAAAGTGAGTACACTATCCATCACCTTGCTACGCAGAGATTCTGATTCTGTGCACTATCAGCTACGCACGAGATGTCGCGAAGCTCAGCCTGAGTGAGCTCAGTAGTATTCTCCGGTTATCTACCAAATACTCCTGCCCGTCGCTCAGAGAGGAGATCATATCACATCTCAAGATTTTATTCCCGTTGACCCTGGAAACCTACCAGTCCCAACGTCGAAGGAAACTTCTCCCGCTTGACTTCAATGGCATCACTGGCGTTAACCTGGGACGCCAGTGTGACATTCCCTTCATCGTCCCTGCGGCATATTACGTTTGTTCGGGGGCTCGCGCTAAAAATTTCCTACACGACGGTATCATATACACTCCCCCCGATACCGGGGAGCCTGAGCTTGTTGAATTCTTGGACAAGCATTACTTTGGAGATTTCTTAAGGTTTCAGGTTGCTATGGAAAGCCTTGTACATCCTCTTGTACACGGCAAGATTATATCGGGCTTTCACTTCTGCTCGACATGTAATGCCAACAGAGCTGGATTTCACCACGTTATACATGCATTGGGCTCCTTCACCAGCATTGACTTTGATTTTCTATCTATCGTCCCCACTCCTTATTCGCCATCAGATACCAGCCTCTGCCCTACTTGCTGGGATACTACTAAACTAGTATATGGAGACCTTCAGGATACGATATGGTCAACTCTTCCCGGCTGTTGTGGACAGTCAGGTTGGGAGGGGTAGGTCTCCTTAGTGTAACGAATCTAACATCCGTGAAATTGCTTGCAAAATTCGTGAATACATACCGTCAGTCTTGGTATTAGACTTGAAAGCGCAGGTAATGATAAGAGATGTTGGAGTTCGCTTGTCAAACGAGGACGATGGTCAAACCACACTTCACTGTACAATATCCTTTAGCCGTCAAAAATGCGAGGTGACACAAGAATATTGGCAGTTGCCGAAATATTTTGAACTCCGCATTTTGGTGGCGAGATCATAACTTGATCGTAACAGTGTCCTCTTTCCCTCCATTGTCTTCATACGAAGCGGACACTGGTGAGTACTCATACCACTGAATTATTACGAGAACTTATGAAGGTCCCATACAGCACAATCGGATAGTTCTGAACTAGCATGGCTCCGAATGAGACTGCTCCTAATCAGAAGCGCCGAAGGGAATCGGACGCCGAGCTGAAGCGCGACCGAGAGGTTTGGCTTGAGGACGGCAATGTCGTTCTCGCCTGCGAATCGACCATTTTTCGAGTGCACCGGAGCATTTTAGCTGCGCACTGTGAAGTGTTCAAGGACATGTTCGTTGTCTGCGCGCCACTGGAGGATGAAGAGACCTACGAGGGCTGCCCTCTGGTTGTCGTGCACGACAAGCCGGTTGATATGCGTCGATTCCTAAAAGTGATCATATATCGAAAGTGAGTGTAATGTCTTACTTGACATGCGGAAGCTGAGACTGATTCTCTCCTACCTGCAGTCACTACGCAAAAGACATAACGAAGCTTAGCCTAAGTGAGCTCGGGAGCCTCCTTCGTCTGTCGACGAAGTACGTCTTTCCATCGCTCCGTGACGAAATCGTTCCCTTCCTCGAAAAATTATACTCCTCGAGGCTTGATGACTATCGATCCGAGCACCGAAAATCCCTCCTCCCGCCTGACTTCAATGGTATCAGTGGTGTCAACCTAGCACTCGAGTGCGACATCCCCTCCATCCTACCCACATCATATTACATCTGCTCAAGGATGAGCCCCACAGATAATCACTCTGGGCTCTCCTTCATACAACCTGATACCGGTGACACAGAGCTTGTCGAGTTCTCGAGCACGAGTTTCTATCACAACTCTCTATGGTTCCGGGGATGCATGAGTAGCCTGCTCGCCTCAGATATCGTAAACTACATTCTCGCAGGATATCAGTTTTGTTCGACTTGTGCTGTATATTGTGTTTTTACTGTGACGAGGAATGTTGCGGTATACATGCATCCAGAGCATTGTTTCTTCCTGGGGCAAGATCTGGATGATAGTCATCTTTGTACTCAGTGTCGAGAAAAAATCAGGGGGGTCCATGAGGATGTCCGGCGTTCTGTGTGGCAGAAGGCCATAGACCTTGTCGCTCGTGGTGAATGAACTCGGTAAGCCTCACCCTAGCATACGATTCTAAAGTACGGTCTTGCTGAATTTCGTTATTAGCATTGGTTCCGGCCACCTTTCTGGATACCATTTGTAAATTGTGATCCATCTCCGTTCTTTCCTGCACGATGAGGCTGTTCTGACGTCTTGGTATCTGATATAGGTTCTTTTGATCCATACCCACCGTGTATATATCCATTGCGCGAGTTTTGTCCATTAGCCAAGGCCCCCTCTTCTTTTTTGGGGTATGTTATATACCTTCGTGACTACTGAGTTGTACTGTTTTGTGGCTAGGAGAATGCGCACAATTTCATTCCTGTCAGCAGGGTTTCCTCGGTGGGTGAATGTGTGATGAGGGAGCATTATGATCAAGTCACAAACCAATTTGAAGATCGAGAGTTCATCCTGAATCATCGTGGTGACTCAAAATTGTGGCGTGAGAATTGTGACGGCCACGCGATGAAGGCTAGGGTTAGGGTTTGGGCTTTGTGACACCGACAAGGGTTTCAAAGCTCCTCTTTGCTGTCGCCGAGGTAAATAGCTTGTAATACAATCGTTACTTGTATTGCCTTCGAAGAGACCTTATCTATTACCCTAGCACAGCTCACTGAACTTCATGGAGTCAGATACGAATCCGCCGCAGAAACGCCGCCGAGAGCTTGATGACACAGGCTCATTCGGACCCTCGCAAAAAGAACATCGTCCTCTCAGTCTTGAGAAAGACAAAAATGTCTGGATAGAAGATGGCAACGTCATCCTAGTCTGCGAGACAGAATCTCAACGGATCGGGTTTCGATTCTACAAGGGCCTTCTATCGCAGCGATGCGAGGTCTTCCAGGACATGTTCTCAGTCTGCAGCACGTCTGACTCTGAAGAGACATACGAAGGATGTCCTTTGATCGTCGTTCACGATAGTCCGGCGGATATACGTCGTCTTTTGATGTGTATTGTGGATAGATAGTAAGATCCCTGTTCGTCCGTCGCTCTTCATTCACGCATACTGACGTTCATCTTGCACCATAGCTTCGCCAAAGATCTGGCGACCCTCACCTTCGATGAAATAACCAGTCTTCTCCGCATGTCCACGAAATACATGTTTTCCCTCCTCCGACAAGAAATTATCGCTCATCTGAGGGTCCTTTACCCTTCGACCCTCACCGAATTTCTCTCTGATACACGCCGGGAGCTTTTGATCACGGACTTCAACAACGGCATCCTTGGGGTCAACATTGGACTAGAGTGCGATATTCCGGCAATCCTCCCCGCTGCCTACTATCTATGTTCGACTATGAAGCCGACACAACTCATCGATGGGATCAAGAACGAAAATACGGGCACGCTCGCCAAGTTATCTCCAGAGGCATACCGCTCTTTGGCCGGCTTTCAGGAAGCCTGGTCTGCCAGGGTCGCCGAAATCGCGCGGGATACTCGTCCACGAACGGCATTCCTCGATATCGATACTTGTATCGCCGAATTTCTGGATTGTTTATCATGGCAAGACCTTTGCTGCCAAAACCCGACATACCTAGATGGTAGATGCTTCTTCTCCTTCCGCGATCACCTCAGCATCATGGAGGTGTGCAAGGACTGTGAGCGGATTTTGGCCAGCAGGCGGACGAGGGTTCAGAAGCATATGTGGGAATCTCTGCCATCGTTCTGTCAGCTGGGGAGTTGGGAACAGTTACAGACATGACGCAGAATTGGGGATGTCGAAGGCAAAACATGTATTTCTCGATAGTCTTTTCCCCTGCCTCTTGATCTAGATACTTAGCGCGTTCACCGCAAGAATTCTGCCCCTCCAGAGCATCCGGTGTCTTCTTCTTCACTTCGTGTGGCAAACATATTAACAATCGACTCGGCCTTTACTCCACCTTTCTTCCGTTCCTTGAATCTCTTTGGACTGAATGTCGTGGACACATCGGTCATCATCCTGCGACTGCCTTGAGAATAATTAATGCGTCCAAGCATCCACTACCTACAGGGAGATACCGACAGCACAAACAAGCAATGCGTACATGAATCACATAAAAACATCATCTGGACATCACTCCTGCTGGACCTTCGTTTCCTCCTCCAAATACTCCCACAGCCTCCGTCCGACTTCAGGGTCGTAGGCCTCCGCCCTACACTCGCCGACACGTGCCCATGGGATGAGGAACTGTTGAACGCACACATCATGTCAGCTCAAGCAGAAGGAGGAAGGCTAAGGTTATGAATGTACGAGTAAGCGAGACGTACTTTTCCGTTCAGATCCACTGTGTCTGGAGACGTCGCGGCCCATAGCTGCGTGAGGGCACCGTATTGGACTGGGTAGAGTATGAGGTTCTATGAAGAGTCGACGACGACCAGAAATCGTAAGCACAACCGAGTAGGAGGACCAGCTCATTGTGAGTGACAGAAGACTGGGAGATATATGGAGGACGACGCACGAGCAAGAAGTGGGAGATTGGGTTGAGATGCCTCTGGAGGTCTGACTTCAGATTGCCCGGATTGCACGAAGTCGTGACGATCCCATCCTTGGCATATCGTCTCGCAAACTCGTTCGCGATTACTACATTTCCCTACGTACCGACCGCCGAACACGCAGGTGAGTAATGGAGTCTAAGGATCATCATGGATGCAGTGTAACGGAAGACGTACATGTTTACTCTGAGCGTACAGTCCGTACGTCCCGAGCTTGTCTCTCTCCTGCGAAGGCTTAAATGTATCCCAGTGGATGGTATCGAAATATGCGGCGGAGGATGACGTGAACACGACGCGGGCGTGCTTATCTGGGGATGACTTTGCTCCTTCTTGGAGCGATGGGATGAGGAGCTTCGTGAGGAGGTAATGTCCTATAACGTTCGTGCCCCATTGGAGATCGTAGCCGTCCTTGGTGAGCAAAGAGACATCGGGCCACATAACACCCCTGAGGCATGTCACCACCGTGTGAGCTCATGATGTTTCACTCGGGACGAGGAAGTAATAGACGCACCCATTGTTGAAGAGCATGTGAAGCTCCGTTTCTCGTGAGCTGAAGACCTTGACCGCCCTCTTCACGCTCGCCAACTCCGCCAAATCCAACTCCAGGAATATCGCCTCCTTCCCACCCGTCTTTATGGAAAGATCACGTATAGCTTCCTTCGCCTTGGATTCGGAGCGAGCGGCAAGATATACTGTCGCATTGTGAGACAAGAGGGCACGGACGGTTTCTTTACCTATACCCGTGTTTCCTGGGGGAATAGATGCGCGTCAGTTCGAACGTCTCTGGTAACAAAAGGGATGCGAGTGTACGTACCGCCGGTGACGATGGCGACACGTCCTGTGAGGTCGGGTATGTCGTCCTCGGTGAAGCGAGACTTTGGAGGCAGAGATTGGCTCAAGAGACTCGACGTGTGTTGCCCCATGTTTTCGCAGAGTTCTGTTAAGTTGCACAAGCTAGGCTAAGTTATGTAGTTTGGAGAGTCTGAGAGATGAATGATGAGACCAAAAGAAAAGTAGGAGTTAAAGCAGTTATAAACCACGAGCATCCGTGGCACAGGAGACATGACGAATGCGTGAGCTCTCAGCCGCCGTGGGAGTTGCGTCACTGGCAAGTGAGAATTGGTCTTGATTCGGCATATCAAATCCACGCCGATCCGGCCCAATGGGGATGAGCGGCATCCGTCTTTGGACATTGGCATCAATTTGTTGGGCTCGGCTTCTCGGCTTCTAATGCTATCCTGCGTGCCTTACAGTTCATTTGTGTACTGACTGCAAACCTATAGACAAGGGCAATAACTTGAATAGCCTCGTTCAAAGGAGTATTCAAAGACAGGTCTTGAACGCGTCCTCAACTCTTGGCATTGAAACACTGCTCTGATGGCCGAGTAGTAAGAGTATTCGTTCGGCATCGCCGCCATTTCGCTGAGTGTTTGAGCACTGCTTTGACCCTAACTCTGAACGAGACTAATATAAGATCGTTAGAGGAGAACATGTATTTTTGTAGTGTAAAAGGTGATTATCAACAAAGAGGCTACTAGGGACTGAGAAATATGGCGACGTCGTTCGAGGCACTCCGAGTTCACCTAGGGAATTGTGAGTATGAACGATTCTTTCGACAATCGTTGGCCGAAACGGGACTGGTTGTAGTCGGGGTGCCGTCGCAGGAGATGCGTGGAATACAGAGCCTTAAGGAGGGGTGGACAAGTTTGTGTCCAATCCAGGTGTGGCGAGGAAGTTGTGAAGATGTTCAAGTCAGTGCTTGCGTTCGGTTAAACATGACAGTCATGCACAATTCAGGTGGAAATGGAGAATATACTGCATGGGCTTAGATTCCCCTGTTAGCGCAGAAAGGAGACAGACATTAAGGCAGACTTCCCAGGAGTAACACCGACCAAGAGGGAAGTCTACAACCATTTTACTGGTGTCGTTGAACCTATCGAACAGCACGGGCGGAAGCCGCGGACTGAATTTTCTCTCTCAACGGTGTCCGGAGACGGCCTTGTCCAAACAAAGAATCGGGATATCAGGTGAAGCAGAGAAGACCCCAGACGGGTGGCACAGCGTGTGCACAGAGTCGCATTGCTCTGAAGGCGTGCTATAGGGGCAATATGACTGTATACAAAAGATGCATCAGTTTCGGTCAGAGCTCTCTCGCACCATAGCTGTGTAGACGTCCCATCGCGGGGCTACCCTACCGATTCGCGTAGCTCCCTAGGGAAAGGCAGATGGGAAGGATTGAGCGCAAAGTTCAAACGTTCTTATACGCCACTCGACGACTTCGCCCCGGCGAAACGAGAGGGGTTCAGCATTCCATTCTGCGCACCCGCACATGTTAACTTACAGGGAGAGAGAGCCCGTCAAGCTCCGGGAATTCGTGATGCGTCCTCCCCGTGATGGTCCTCGCAGTCCTGCTGTTGCCACATTCTGCCACGATGATCATGACGAAAGCTCATGGGACCGTGCCAATGACAGGGCTGATTTGCGAACGTTTCAGTAGCGTACGTTTCAACGTCGGGGAGAAGTCACGAAGGGGCCACACGTGCTGGTGGCGGCATGGAGAGGGATGCCGATCGATTCAGAGGTGGTGCCACAAGAGCGCGGAAGGTGACAGGTAAAAGCCGAGGTCCAAATGAGAGCAGTGAAACATATATAGCGTCAAGGGGTCCGAGAACTCCAGGTACAAACATAAACGAGGAAAACGTCAAAGCACAGTGAAGGTCGACAATCCCAGTCGCTATATCAGAGCAGTTCCGATTTTGTAGAGGTGGCACTCTCGGAAGCTAGTAAAAAAAAACGAGGGTGAATATGACGGCTGCAGAAGGAAAGAAAGGAGCGGGAGTGATGACGCTACATCGCATCATGGGGGTGCAAAGACCGAGTGCCAGAGGTCGCCACAGCAGTCGCCATTCGCCAGGCAAGCCGCCTGGGCGATGGCGTTCGCCCCGTGCGCCCCGTGCGAAGTCCTAGTCTGGGTCTTATAGCCAATCGAATCATCCCCCGTGCGTCCAAAGCCCCGCTTGCTCTCTCTCCAGACCCAAACCTGCCTCTCCACTTCAAGAAACATCGGAAAACCATGGCCAGTCGCACGGAGGTCTCACCAGGGAGAAGGAAAAACACGGTGTCGGAGCAGATAAGCGCGCTGGGTGCCATGCTCACGCGAGTGCTGTCTTCGGGTGAGCCCGCGGATGCGTCGACGACGCCGGCGACGACGACGAGGGGAAGAGACAGACATCCTGCGGGCGCGGAAGGAGGAGATGATGATGGTAGAAGTCAAGGTGAGCTATTGCAAAGTTGAACGACGTGAGGGCGTCGCTTCTTTGGTCCCCGCGAGGCTTATCTCTGGGCTGCCCGCATCCCTTATCTCTGAACCCTCATTGGCACAGCTCCCATGCTGAGAGCCAGAGATACGGCGTTCTAGGATCGTTCTTTCTCTCTCCATCACACTTCGCCGTGGACATCATGATCATTGCGGTTTCTGGGTCTACAAAAGGCTGACATAAAACTCGAAAAAATTTCATCTGTAGCAGATACCGTCGATGAAATTCAGCTGGCAAAGGAAAAGGCAAAAGCACAAGAACGTTCCACTTCCCGCGGCCGCCAATTCGTACGTTCCCACCTTTCTCGTCTTCTGATATTAAGTACTTTTCTGATATTTCTTTGTTCCGGCATCTAGCAATCATCTGGCAGAGGAGGCTTAGGCAATATCCTCCCTCGTCGCTCCCCGTCTCCTTCTCGCTCTCCATCTCGTGCACGGGCACACGTCGACGGCCCCGATGACTTCTCAAACACTCGTGGTCGTGAACCTCGCTCTGCACTGTCAATCGCCGCAACCTCGCAGGTACGTCGTCTTCATTCACTCCTGTCTTATCTTCTTCATGTCGTACTATGGACTGACTTATTGCCTTGTGTGGTCCTAGCCAATATCAATCGGACGGGGAGGTGCTGGTAATATCAGGTCACCATCACGACCTCGGGAGACAGCAGGACTAGGGTATACCTACGCCGCCGAAGAAGAACTATCGTATGTCCCCACGATCGCACGAGGGAGATCGGAAGAGAGCAGGACACCTGCTGTCGTACGTCTTCGTCTTTGCCTTCCCTCATTGGATCCTCTTAGTAGGTAGCTCACGTTCTTCTTGCATCATAGCGCTCCTCTGGCCGTGGTGGAATAGGCAACATCCGCGCCTGTTCACCATCCCGTTCCCCTGCGAATACGAATTCCTCCATCCCAGACCGATCCCCGACTCGCTCTCGCTCTCGTTCTCGAGGCCCTCAGGCCGTATCCGCCAACACCATCGGCGAATCTCCAGAGCTTGGACGGTCGAGGACGAGGATCACAGTCCCGTCGACGCTTCCGGTGCATGATGAGGAGTATGCGTTCGATAGGAGGACCGCTGAGATGTAGGTCTCGACAAAAGCTGATGATGGAGTGGGGAGTGTGCGTTGACGGATTGATTGAATTGTACTTTTATTCGTGGATTTATTTATACCAGAAGACGACCCTGCGTTCACGCTTCATTGAGCTGTTTCTTCTTCTTCTTCTTCTTCTTCTTCCAGTTTTGTGTACCTAGTGTGTTCTTGTACTTTATCGTCGCCACTGACTTGGGGTGCTGATTGTCGAGTGGTTCAAAAATTTCTTGGCACTTGCCTGATACTTATGTTTCGCACCCACCGCTCATCGTTCTAATCGGCCTTTCTATGATACTTATCTCTCTGTAACAATAACATCGTGATGGAAACACTCCTATTCGCCTCGTTATTGCGGCTTCCAAGTCGTTCCCATATTCTCCACTCAAAACTTCGTTCTTTCCTGATATCGTGTGAAATGTGGTAAAAATGTGGCACCACGGACATCTCACGCCACCCATTCGTCCTCGGCATTTGCACGTGTTATTTGAGACGCGTTCAGTCGATCGCGACGCGACGCGTCTTGCTCCTTCCACTGCCAGCATCAGTTTTCTCTCCATCGTTGGCGTCCTGTCAAAATCTCATGAATTCAACGCGATGTATGCCTCTTGAACTGGGTCTTACAAGTTATGTGCTGTACGGTCGTCCTCAGGCTCGTTCGTTCGTTCTGACTCTGCCGAGTCTATTAGATCCTCTGTTTCCCCTGCGATCATCGAACCTCGTCTAGATTTCGATACCCTGCGCGACATATCACCCCGTCATTCCTTATCCTTGTATTTCCTCTCTTTCACGCCTGAAACCTAAACCGAAAACCCCTATTCTACGGGCGAAAAAACGGCGCTGCATATGTATAGTACCAGTAGCCCACGGTACGTCTCTATCATCTGCGTGATGTCTCGAACTGATGCTGTGGTCCGGGAGGCGCGACTGAGAACATCCCTGTCGACCAGGCTTCCAAGGTGAAGATAAGTATTCCCTCTCGGAGGGTCCTGGGGCGGAGTACTGATTCCTTCAAGCTCGGACTGTACTTTTTCGACCAGGACCGCGTCTGATCTATCTAGTCCAAGCACAAGCACACTGGCACTCAATACTCAATACTCAGGCTCTCATCCCCATTCATCCGTCCGTCCGTCCGTCCATTCATCCGTCCGTCCGTCCATTCATCCGTCCGTCCGTCCATTCCTAAATCCCTGTGCGTCTTTCGTAGATAAGTCACGGCCACGGTCACGGCAAGTAGTCGATTCAGAAGAAGTGCCACACTGACAATGGTTATATGCGCTCTCGAAGTGACCATTGTCTTCATTACGCTCGATTGGGTTCGTCAGCGGAAGGACAGGTGTCTGCCTCTCAGGAATCAGGAATCAGGGATCAAGATTGGAGATTCTAAACGCACATGCATACATACAGCTCGATATACCAGTTCGGTCTCAAACTTACAGGAAGGAACTTGGAAGGAAGACAGGGTCAATGGTGCGCGTATACTGAATCCTGATTCATCCTGCTCCCTGGACCTGAGAGGCATGCATACTATTACGAGGTAAGTCCGTCTCCGTGCTCTGAATCGTCTACTTTTTTCGACCGACTCCGTCCTCCGTCCTCCGTCTGAAACTCAACCTAATGCACATTTGTCGACTCGTCACTAAAAACTAAAAATACTGTAACCTCACCTTGCAACAGCTGCAGCATCTACACCTCTAAAACCATCATCCCACCATCCCGCCAGGGCTGATCCCGCTAGTGGCATCTGAATCCCGCCCGATAAATCGAAAGAGGGCTATCCCCTCGATACAATAAATACCGGAAACATGGAAACAGCAAACAGGACACAGGAAACGAGCTCTCGAACCGGAAAACCGCAAGTATACGGCATCGTACATATTTACATACACCTTCCCGCTCAGGCTCATGCTCATGCTATTGTCCCCGCCCCCCCCCCCCCCCCCCCCCCCCCCCGCCCCTCCCACCCACCCGCGGTCCATGCCAGTGTCCCCTTGTGTCCCTGTGTGTCCCCGGCGGTCCCGAGGCGCCAATCAAGCCCTTGGACCGCTAAGTAAGTTATGTACCACTACCAGTCACAGGGAACAGCAGGGGACAGCAGGGAACAGGGCAGTACTATAGTGATCATGCACACGAACTGCGGCTCGGATGAAACACTTCTTTGCCCCTTCCCTAAGTACAATGTCCTTCTTCGCAGCAGTCTCCGTCCACCTCCCACAGCCAATCGACTTCCCACTTCCAACTCGAGCTTCTCCATCGGATGTTCAACGCCCCAACTCCGTTCGCTGACGAGATGCGTACATGTACAGTGTTTGTGGAAGGCGTCGACAGCTGGCCATCGTAAGTTAGGACATTTATAGTTCACTCGGCATATGCCTAAATGATAGATCCCGGTGTCGTTTCGTCCATCCAACCGACTGGACTGAGAGGGAGAATTGAGAAGGCAGAAGGCGGAGGCGGAAGCGGCGAATTGTTACGCGTTACGCGTTCACCGTTAACGTTGTTGAGTGCTTGGCCCGGGTGCTTATAAGAACGGGACTCAAGGAATTGCGAGACTTGGCACTGGGCAGCCAGTTCGCCGCTTCAGTCGACCCGACGCGAAGATATCGTCCGAAATGAATTTAAGAGGGTTGTTCGGCTGCATAACCGCGCGCGATGCGGCGGTGGAAGGATGTACAGCCATCTGCATGGGTCGGGTACTACTTACTTATTACTGACGAGTGTCATGATCGTAAAGGACCTGGTGGATGAGAGAGAGGGCATGCGCCTCCTCTTGAAGTTGAAGGCAAGACAAGAAGGACGAGACATCGCGCAGCTCGGGTTGATGCTGATGATGATGTAGCAGGCGTGAGAAAGTATGGAACACAGCCAATTAGAGTCAGGGGCGAATACATAAGAGGCTGGGAGCGACGAAACTGGTGAGATCTAGGAAGATCAAGAGAGATGATGGACTATAACCGCCCTCCCGTCCCTCCCAGGCCAACGTCGTCGTACACGAACAGCAACAGTAGTGGGCCAGCGCCACCACCGCCAGTGCCGCCACTGCCCCCGAACTTCAGCTTCAACGGACAGGACCCGCAGATCTCGTTGCCGCATTTCGAGGACCCGCTCGTCGCGCCTCGCCCGCACAAGATCACGCCTGATCTGCCCGCCGATGTAAGTTTATGTAGTTACGAACGTGGCATTAAATTAATTTTTACATATAACGCGGCGCTCAGATGGCGCGCACGCTTGACCATCAGCTCTCCCAGCCCCCCCAAAGCTCGCAAAGACTGTCCGTCGTGGGCGGACCCCAGGACCAACAATACGCCGCGTTCAGAGTGCCGTCGCGAGTGTCGGTGCTGCCTCCTCCCCAAGGCTCTGATTGGAGCCCGTGGAACATCCCAAATAGCCAGCCGACACCGAGTCCCCGCCCGACATCCTACCACCCACCACCACCACCATCATCGTCCCTCCCCATGAACTACGCCGACGCTCCCCTCCCCGGCGCCGCGCCCCCTCCGCGCGGCTCCTCCTTCGCAGACCCAACCCCCAACCCCGGCGCCTCTCCCTCCCTCACCGCCCCTCTCCCCACCCTCTCCGCCCTCACCGCCGCCCTCCCCGCGATCCAAAACCCCAACGGCGACCAGGCCTCCAAAGTCGCCTGGTGTCGAGACGTCCTCCTCCTCGTCGACCGCTCACAGGCCCAGATCAATTCCTCTGAAGCAGAACCGCCTGCGCCCGGACCCGCTGATATCCAGGACCCGCAGTTGAATCGACTAGCGCACATCGCCGTTCCGCTCGTCGTGCAGCTTTCGAACCCTCCGAATCCGGCACCATCGCCGCTTCCGCCGCATGTGGCGGAGGCGATCTATCATCGCGCGAATCTCGCGGCGTCCGGGGCGTTCCCGATGTTCGTGCAGTTGAATCCGAGGAGCGCGTTTAGGGATTATGAGAAGGCGGCGAGGGCGGGGTATCATGCGGGGTGGTTTAAGCTTGGGAGGGATTATGAGAATTTTGGGGATTTGGCGCATGCGAAGGATTGTTTTGAGAGGGGGGTCAAGTATGCTAATGAGAGCTGTCTATACGTGCGTCATCGTCCGCCCCTATTCAGGTCTGACTATTGTACTGACTGACTACGACGACGAACAGCGTCTCGGTATGGCGAACCTAATGGGCCAACTCGGCTTCGCGCCCAACCCCGACATCGCCCTCCCCCTCCTCCAACGCGCCGCCAACCTCGCCACAATCGAAGTCCCCCAACCCGCCTACGTCTACGGTCTCCTCCTCCTCTCCGAATTCTCCCACGTCACCATCCCCCCGCACCACTTCACCCCTTTCATCCCCCTCGGCCAAACCCTCGACCTCGAAGCCCGCCGCCATCTCGAACGCGCCGCATTCCTCAATTTCGCACCGGCGCAGTATAAACTCGGGCATGCCTACGAATTCGCACAGCCGCCGTTCCCGTTCGACGCGCTGTTGAGCGTGCAGTATTATTCACTTGCGAGTCAGCAGGGCGAGACGGAGGCGGATATGGCGCTTAGTAAGTGGTTCCTTTGTGGAGCGGAGGGAAGTTTCGAGAAGGATGAGGGGTTGGCGTTTACGTTTGCGGAGAAGGCGGCGAGGAAGGGGTTGCCGAGTGCGGAGTTTGCGATGGGGTATTATATGGAGGTGGGTGTGGGGGGAACGAAGGATGTTGAGGCGGCGATTAAGTGGTATCAGAGGGTGTGTTCTTCCTTCCTCCCCTTGTCCCTTCATTTCTCCCCTCCATTTCCTCTACATTTTATTCACGAGCGATGCATACAGGCCTCCCAACACGGCAACACAGACGCAACCGAACGTCTCACAGCCCTCTCCCAACCCGCCCCCCAAGCCCTCTCCCGCACCGAACACGACACCCTAACCGAAACGACACTCGTCAGGAAACGAACGCAGGCGAAACAGAGATCGGATGCGAGGGGTCCCCGGCAAGGTCAGGGGCCGGAAAACGAAACACCGGCGCAGCAGATTATTTCGAGCGTTAGGAAGAATTCGATTGCGCATCGGGAGAGGCAACAGGGTGGGGTGGGTGGGGTGGGTGGGATGGGTGGGCAGATGGGTGCGGGACAGAGCCCGAAGTATGCGAATAACGCGTTACCGGCTTCACCGCGTATGAATCCAGCGAATAAACCGCCGATGCAGAGGATCGCGTCTGGGCCGGATGCGTTCCCCGCTCCTCAACAACCCCAATCCCAACCACAACCGATGCATGCGGCTTCGCTGCCACCTGGGCCTGCGGGTGCGGGTGGTCCAGGGGGTGCGGGTGCGGGAGGTCCTGGTGTGGGAATGGGAGGAGCGGGTGCACCAGGCCAACAACGCGCACATCCGAATGCGCCGAGGTATGGATTGTCCGATCCCGGCCCTGCGTCGTCTCCTGCGCCGTCCAGAGGTAACTCGATTCCCCAGCCCGGCAGCGGTGGTGGTTCTGGGGACGAAGGCGGCGGAGGAGCGGGAGCAGGAGGAGGAGGGGGAGCGGGAGGAGGAGGAAGGAGGCAGGCGGTGCAGAAGGGGCCGGCGACGTTTGAGGAGATGGGGTTTAAGAGTCAGAAGTTGGAGGAGAAGGAATGTGTTGTTATGTGAGTTGGGAGGTGGGGATGCCTTGATTCGATTCGATTGGTTTGGTGGGTTGAAGAGGAGGAGGAGGAGGAGGAGGAGGAGAGGGAGAGAGGGGGGGAGTGCTTGTTTCTACCTTTTTCTTTTGAGTTTTGCCTTTGACTTTTGATTCCCTTGACCGCTTCATTACCCCGAAATTGAACGAACATTCTTACATTTTTAATGCTTGATGCTTAATCCTCCATGCTTAATTGGAACCCAGCCATACCTTTATTTATTGCCTGTGCATTCGTCGTGAAGGAGTGAGGGAGTCGATGCTTGATGCTTGATGATTTCGTAATTTACAATTTTACAGATTTACAATTTTACCATGGACTTTGAGTTTGAGGTTGGCGGGGTGAGCGGGTGGGTGGAGTGGGTGGGGGGAAGGATGTTGGGGTTGGGCTTGGTTGGACGGAGGAGAGAGGAGGAATGGGGGTGAGGGAGGGAGGGTGGGTGTGAGTGTTATCTTACGTGCGTAGTTACAGTAGGAACGAAGAATGATGGACGAAAAATGTGTATAGATTCGAGCTTTTTTTAACATCGTACTACGGTGAACTTGGAGAGGGCCGACAATCAGCGCTCAGCGTCTAGAAGAAGGAAGGATTCTGTGGCGATTTGGTGCCACAGACCCTCAAGTTGCAGAAGGAAGCATTGAGCAATCAGGGCCCGGGGACTCGGAGCAGGCTGAGATCTAACCGGCGGTGCTTCTCCTTTCTCCTGGCACTTTCAGTCTTCTGCTGATCCTTCAACATTGCATGCAAGGGACTACATACCGTGACAGATGGCTGTTGCTCAATCTTTACCTCCTATTTGCATAGTGTCATGCACCGTGTACTGTCCGCGTAAGAGCTAACATAACATGGCAGCGATATCGGCTCCGCGTCGAAAAACTTCTGGTCATATGTTTCGCTGGACTTCTTCACGGAGGCAATAAGTTGCTCGTCGAATGACCCGCTAACTTTATGGGTCGTCGCGCTAGCTTTATGGATAATCACAGGCTGATGCGTTTCTGCCCTATGCGCGTTGGTGTATTTATGCATGTGGGTTGGGGATGCTTCGAACACCCTTTCTTTCTTTCTTTCTTTGACGCTCAGAACGGTCTTGAGAGCATGGGTATCCTAACTGAAGTGCTGGATTCCGTGCGGCCGATGCACGTTGCGATTGGCGTTGCCTGTGAGTCTTCTGCTGCAGTTTACTCCCATACGAGCAAAGAACTTACGACTTGAATACCCCCCCTCCTCCCCCCACCTCCTCACCTCACCTCCTCCGACAACAACGACAACAATCCAAATCCACAGCCCTCATCCTCCTCAGAATCATCTACCTCCTCATCCTCTACCCCCACTTCCTCTCCCCCCTCCGCCACGTCCCCGGCCCTCCCACCCCACTCACCTCCCTCCGCTCCATCCTCTACGGCCATTTCCCCGCCATCATCCGTTCCGAGGCGGGGATCATCCAGCGCGAGTGGGCGAAGAGGTATGGTGGGTTCGTTAGGGCGGTGGGACCGTTTGGGATTGAGAGGGTGATTTGTATGGGGAGGGAGACGATGGGGAGGGTGTTGGGGGAGGAGTGGGTTGATTATCCGAGGGTAGGCATTTTTGTTTTTGAGACTGACTTTATATTCTTCACTTCCGAAGAAAAACGAGAATGGATGAAAGGTGCTGATGGAGTTGTTGTGTGACGTTTAGCCGGCGTATATGAGGAATATATTGGGGATGGTGGCTGGGTATGGGTTGTTGACGGTCACGGGAAACGAGCATCGACAGATGAGAAAGACGATGAACCCTGCGTTTTCGCTTTCGAATCTCATAGCACGTAGGTTTCCTCCGGTCGCTGTTTTCGTTCCTCCTCGTTGGTTGGGATACCAGATACTGACACTAAGCTGGTTTTGATTTGACAGAGACGGACATGTATTATGATCATATCGAGACGTACGTGCTTTATGCCTATGCTTTTGTTTTATGGATACGTGCTGATTTTTGGCTCGGTTCGTACTGACTGATAGATTGATCGAGATGATGGACTTTGAGATTTCGTCGCAACTCAAGCCATCGGAAGGAAGAATCATGCTCATGTATTCGTGGAGTACGTTCTAGCGCGCACTCTTATGAATCTCCCTGCTGTGGACTCACGTATACTTACTTATCTTGTACAGTGAGTAAAGTGACTCTCGACATCATCTGCGATACCGCATTTGGCTATCGCTCCAATTCTCTTCGTGACCCGCATAACGAGCTCACGGAGGCGTATCATAACCTTCTCAACCTCGAGAACGGTACGTGCTAAGTTAATTTTCGCAGGGGGCGTAGAACGTCTTACTGACCGTATTGTACTCTGTGTGCAAAGGCTCAAATATCACCATGCTCATGGCTCTGATCTCGATTCCCGGTATGCCATGGTTCATGAATTCGAAATGGGGATACAAGTTCAGGAAGATATTCCAACTATCCTCCGTAACCGGTAAGTCCACTCTCCGCTCTCCACTCTCCATCGCCCCACCCCGCCCATCCCCCATCTAACCTGACCGACTGACCACCGAACTGACGCTACATCCGCAGCCCCAGGAACAGTCCTCATCGAATCCATGTCCCGCATCCGTCGCATCTCTGCCCAGATCCTAGCCGACAAGATCCACGACTCCGGCCTCACCGCCGCCGACCTGTCGACGAAGAAGGATATCATGTCGATCATGGTCAGAGCTCGGAAGGGCGACGAGGATGCGGAGGAGAAGGGAGAGGCGAAGCATGGCGTGTATAAGTTGAGCGATGAGGCTTTGGTTGATCAGGTGGTCAGTTGTGTTTGCGTTTTTTGTTTCGTGAGGAGGGGGGACGTTTACTTGGACTTGTGGTATTATAGCTTACTTTTCTGGGGGCTGGACATGAGACGACGGCGTCGGGGCTTTCGTGGGTGAGTCGATGACCCTATTTCTGACTTCGAAAAACTAAGATTTATTATAACCCTTCGACGCAACAGACACTCTGGCTTCTTGCTCAAAACCCTACCGTTCAAGCCGAACTGCGTGCTGAGCTGACGCCTTTGTTCGACGCGGAGCCGAGACCGGGATATAGGGCCCTGAAGGAATGCAAGATGCTGGATTGTGTCGTGTACGTCTCTCCCAAACTCGATAGAAATGCACATATACTGACATAGTGGTGGTCTGCGCAGGATGGAGAGCCTACGAGTCATGCCTCCCGTCCCGATGACCATCCGACAGGCCGCCAAGAGCAATTGGATAGAAGGTCATTGGGTCAGGAAAGGAACGTACTTCTATATACCTGTAAGTCTCTACCCTACACTCCTCCACCTCATCGCCGCACTCATTCATGCTTGTTATCGTTCACACAGATCCGCGTCATCAACACCTCCCGCTCCGTCTGGGGCGAAGACGCAGAAACCTTCCGTCCCTCCCGCTGGCTCGATCTTCCTTCGGACTACGTCGCGAATTATCATTTGATGTCGTTCATCCAGGGCCCGCACGCGTGCATTGGGAAGACGATGAGTATCTTGGAGATGAAGGCCGTTTTGGCGTGAGTTCGTTTGCTAGCTATCGGTCTAGCGGAAGATGTTTGTTGACATCCGTGACGTTGGGGTATTCGTAGTGCGATCATCGTCAAGTTCGAGTTTTTGCCATCGCATGAGGGACAGGTGGCCAAGCCTACCGCCGCGATCACCATGAGTGCATCTTTTTCTGCCTGAGGTCTATCATTTCATTCTTTCGTACTAGATGCTGAAGATTTATCTTTCGATATTATAGAACCAGAGGACGACATGCCGCTCCTCGTGAGACCCGTACAGAGGGGAAGTACCGCACAGTTATAATACGAGAACTACTGGAGTGGTTTAAGATTAATGCCGACGGTCCGAGTTCATTGAGCTGTAGGATGATTGAAAGGTGTGTTGTTGGTGTGTTGGGTATGATGGGGAGGCGGGAAGCGAAGTGAATGCGTGAATTCTAGGCTACTGTCCGTTCCTTCATGGGACCGAGTATTTATTGTGTGTTATTCTATGTTGTACCAATAGCCCTCAGTTATGTTATGGAATTCTACCTCCTCGTTGGTTCAGCATCCTATCATTGGAAGGGATGATTTTGTGGCCCAGATGTGAGTGCGGCACAACATTCCATCAATAGTGTCGTGCTGATAAATTAACGTTGTGGTCATAGTACGGAAAGTACGGGTAATAAGTGTGCATAAGATACCTGATTAAAGACAGTAATAAATAGAGCTAAGTAGAAGCCAAAAGTGAAAGAGTATAACATATCCGTCGCAATCAAGCACTCAGATAAATGAGACACAACATATACAGTCCAGAGGATCAAAAGGTCCATGTCGAGGTCCATCCAACGCCTTCGTACGGGAACTCAGTAATCCCATAGATGTGGCACTCAACCTTCTAGTCCGATGACTGCGTCGCACTAAACGTCGGGGTCCCCGAGTACACTGAAACTGAGCTGGGTAACAGAGTAACGGTGGATGCCAGGTCGATCGTCGTGGTGGGTGCTGCAACGGCCTTGAGCGACGCGGCTGGTATGGAATCGATAGTCCCATTAGGGAATGTGAGGGTCTGGTTCCAAACCGGACAAAGGTCGCGCCACGCCGCTGTATCCGAAAGACTTAGGGTTAGCTCTCGTCCGTACATCGTAGATACCTATGGTGGGGAGTGGTAGGGACTTACGGGATGTCGGGTCCTTCAACGGCGTGTCCCTCACATCCTCTGCAAGCACGGCCGCAAATCCAGCTGTGAGATGCCAGTCGATGTGACAATGGATGATCCATGGTCCAGGATTATCTGCTTTGAACCGAATGACGGTCGTGTCGTTCTGCAGGTTACCAACTTTGACCACGTCGCGACGGACGGGGTTTTCGTAGTTGTATACGGAAGATCCAGCGCTGCGAACGACAGAGAAAGAGTGCTGGAGCGTATGTTTGACAGTGATTGAGTGTCACCGCTGAACATGACATCAAAGAAAGATAAACTCACGCCGTGTAGATGGACTGGGTGCTTTGTTATAGACGAAGGTCAGTATGTAGTTTGGTAGTAAGTGCACTACGCTTACGTTCGACCCAGCTTGAATTACACCGGGGATGATGATCTCCACGGTCTCACCCCTATTGATAGGATAAACACTCCCATGTGGCAAGAGATCCTGCGCGCGTTTGGCACCACTGATGATCTGAAGCAATACCGGGACTTCAGGGTTTTGGAATGCAATTCCATTGATGGTGAAATTTCCTCCGTTCTGTTTGTCAATATATCCATAAAACACGTCAGTGTCAGAAGGGAAGTATACGATGTGCAAAAGGACGCTGAGATTGGCGATATAATACTTACGAAGGCTGGAGCGAGCGTTATGATGCGGTCAGCACCTCCTGGCCAGGGGTTTCCAGGCTGGTAGTAAAGAAAAGACCTTCAGAAATTGGGACCTTGCATGAAGATCTCTCTGAAAACTGACCGCTTGTGGATTCTCTCGAGCCTGGAACGAGTATCAGACTGAGGCCGAGCCATATATATGAACGAACTGAGACTCACATGGAGATCCGTCTCGTTCAACGATAACAGTGAAACCGTCTGGTTGGTACTTGGCTCCACCTCTGGGGCCCCGATATAGCGTAGAACCGCTGAGTTCAAACCTCCATCGTAGGTGCTGGATTTTCCGGTGTCGGGGCCGGCGCGAATCCCTAGGAACATTTTCCTTTTGCTTCAGGACATGATGCTATGGAGAAATAAATGAATCTCACAGTAGTTGTCCACATTTTGGCTTGCGTTGAGCTGGATGAGCAAATAGTGTAGTTCTTTCAATAACACGAGGCTGGTCATCTTGAAGATAGGTATTCATACCACGATGGAGTAACGTTGAGCTGTCATGATCGCAGAAAGTGGCATTAGCATGAAATCCGGGAGCCGCATTAATGGAACATACCTGCGTATATGGTGAGTGAGTCAACCAATAGTGGCTCTACATTGTTCCCGTCAGCCTCGATGATAGTGAACTGATGCCCGTCAATGCTGAAGTCGAAGCTTGAGTCGCAAGAGACCGACACCAGCCGGAAACGGTACCTGATGATCCGACATTTTGAGTTTGAATGTACCGAGTGCTGGTGGAATGAGAAGTGACTAACCGTTTGCCTTGAGCCACGCTGATCACCGCTAAAGGTACTTGTGGACCATCGCGAAAACGACCGAGCCCATTGATTAGGGTACTACTCGGCGAACTATGGAGCCGAGGGTTACACATATATTCTCGAGACAAGGTATGAAAGACTTACGGGGCCCCTGCAGGCCTGCTATTCGAGAGGTAGTGATACCTTCAGTTGTCATAGTGCACGGAGCATTAGTATTAGTGGCGCTGTCATACAATAATCAGGCTCAAATCAGGCTGACCAATCTCCGAGTGTGACGACCGTAGTCTCTATCGAACAGGTCTGTCTCAAAAATTTCCGCAAAATAATATAGGGGAAACGCACCATTGTCGTAGTCATAAAGATTCAAATAAGGGTCCACAGGATCATATATTACGAGCGGGCCACTCAACCCATCACAGTATTGGTCTGAGAAGTGGGAGTGGTACCAGAAAGTTCCCGCCTATGCCGAAAAGAATTAAAGCGAGGCGACATGAAAGTATCTGGAGAGACATACCTGATGCTTCTCAACTGTGAAGTTGTAGAGAAAAGAGTGGCCTGGAACAATGGGCTACATAGAAAGAAGGAAGAATGTTATAAAGAGTGTGTATGATACATGGCAAAAAAACTGACACATTGAGTAACAAATGCTGCCCCGTCGTAGGGATTGGTCTTGTCCTGGTCGATGCCATGCCAATGCTAAAATAGTACAGTATTAGCCTGAGGGACACCGAGTTCTGTCTGGGGATATTATGGTATAAGAAACGTGCAATGCTGGTGTAAGGGTCCAAACCATGACTTTCAGTCAACTGATCGATGACATTGATCTGAAAGTTGTCGCCCTGGAATAGTAATACATCGAAGAAACAAACAATTAGAACATCTGCGGAATTTCTCAGAGGGTTGAGAGGATCGGAGGCTCGCCTTGTTGCCTTTGATCAGTGGCCCTGGATAAGTGCCGTTCGCCAGGACGGTTCTATGACCGGAGCACTTGGTGAGATATCATCGATGTGAAGGCAAAATCACTTACTTTCTCCAATATCCGTCGGGTGCGATTTCCTTGTTGATGATGGGCAGATCCAGGCGATGGACCGTCACGGCAAGCGAGCTGGATACGACGTAAGCAAGGAGGACAACGAGGGCGTGAGAGAGCCCCATTGTTGAGAGCAGATACAGAGAAAGGTGGTAGACGATGGGCAAGAAAGAAGCGCAGGACATATTCTCTTTTATATCTGCCTCCATATTTTCTCTGGACGAGCGCACCCGCAGGGAATGTCAGAGTCTGACCTAGCATTACCACTTTGATCTTCTAAGTGACTCGGATCACAGGAACGATTGTGTGTAATAATTTTTCGCTTTGGTGTTCTGGGCGTAACTGGTTGAAGTTTCGACACAGGTCATACACAGCACCTCGAACGTGCCCAACAGAAAGAGGAAGTGCAATCACCAAAGGTCAATTGTGGAGGGTTGAATACCAGCCACGACCGCTTGGCGAGAATGTCAAACACTCTTGTGCTCAACCCACCCAACGGTACGTGTCATGTCCGACCCGTTTGTGGCAGTGTGGAATGCCGCGTTCGCCAGGAGCGCGAGAAAGAGCGCCCCCGACGAGCGGACTGCATCGGAAGAGTGAAAGCTGGTCCCGGACGCCGACGCTACGGGCACCGAAAGCCGTCACGAAGAATGACATGAACTGGTCAAGAGAGCATTCATTAAATTTTGTAGGTCCCTGGAAGGGTGAAGTACTCTTACCAGTCACTTCAAGCGCGAGCGAAAGTGGAACTGAAAGAAAAAAATATAGGGACAGGCAAGAGCAAGAAGGGTGTGTATCAGCCGTCGTACTTTCTCATTCAACGCAACTCCTGCGCCAAGATTGACCTATGCACCATACCGCATAGGATGAGTCGACAGACGGTCTAAAAAACTTAGAAATCGCGTTTCGGCCAAGACTTCCGAGTCAGTGATTTCAGCTCAGTGATCTCGACAGAGCCTCGACGAGTCTTGGTGATTGTGAACACCTTTTGGGATAGTGCTTTCCGTTAACATCGCACAGCAAGAGAATGTAAAAGGTCGAATGTATACCACGAAAGGTGGTCCTGGCATTGAGGGCGCTAATAGACCCAGGCTGTTTAGAACTGGTTTCAGTAGTCGTTATCAACACTAGGGAGAACATAACTTCGCTGAAAAGCCTTTCAGTAACCCTGGAGTAAGTCATGGTACTAAGTAGACCACAGTCCTATTGATATTCCAGGGATGCACGCACATTCAACGCTCTCGCGTCCGTGAAGCCTTAAGGACCGGACTCGGAGATCGAGAAACGGGCGCGCAAATTTGACGCAAGGCACCGCCAGTGCCCTTCGGGCGCATCATCTTCACAGCAAGTTACGCTGCCAATACTACTCATCGCGTCCGCGAACGCCACTCCAGTTTACGAATGTAAAATCTTGGACGTGACTGCCAAGCAGACTAGCAGTCGTTGTGGGATACGTTAGCAATCAGTTAGAGAGCGTTGCGCTCCGAGCTCAGTGCGTGCAATGGCACTGAAGAGCTAGTTGATGCCAAGTCTCAGCTTAGCCATTGTAAGGAGAGAGCATGAGTACCGGGGGGGATGCCTGACTGTGCGCATGTACTCAACAAGTATTTATATGTGTGGGATCGAGGAGTGGAAGTGTTCGGCGTTCTAGTGAGACCTCGAAGATTATGGAAAGGTAGAGGTAGATGATCGTCTACCGATGGGAAGAGCTTGACTCCGTCTATAGGAAGATCATGGATGAACGCGACATGTACAGGAGCAGGCATGCAGAGAGGTCGCCGTCATGACCGGACATTCCCGGAGGTAAGGGTGTGGCGTAACGCTGGACTTAGATGTGGCGCACTCGTGGTGAGGCAAACTGATTATGATAATTCAACGTAGACCAGGCCAAGATACAATACGACAGAATAAATATCCAAAATAGCCGCAGGAGATGATAGATTGTAGGGAGTGGGGTGCAAGAAAGCTGTGGGTGCTATCCCTAGTAGAGAACGACTATAAAAGAACGCCATAAGAGGATTATATATATACTAGTCCTGAGAGATTATAGGAAGTGTTCAGTAAAAGAAAGTACGTGTATATGTCCATCGAGAACTATAATTATGTCTCGGAACGAGCTCAATAATAGCTCTAATAGGCCGCCGAAGTAATCGGAAGAACTGTGGCCGAGGATGTAGCAGTAACAGTGAAGGAAGGTGTTCCGGAATACACCGATACTGAACTGGGTAAAAGAGTGACAGAAGGGGTTGGGGCGACCTGTGTGACTGGCCCAATCGACTTGAGCGCTGGTGGCGGAGCATTGCCGTACGTGTTGTTATAAACAGGGCAAAGATTCTGCCATGCATCTGAAAGAAAGAGATAAGTCATGTTCAGCGAGGCAGAGTCGGAGGAGAACAGAGTCTTACCTGAAGTAGGGTCATCAGCTGGTACATCGGGTACGTCCTCCGCGAACACGGCTGCAAAGCCGGCTGTGAGAGAGAAGAGGTATAGTGCATAAGTATTTTTCATCCAGTCAATGGATCATGAGTCGAAAGGCTGGAACAAACCTGTGAGATGCCAGTCGATGTGGCAATGGATGAACCAAGGACCGGGGTTATCGGCCTGGAAGCGAATGACCGTGATATCGGAGGGTTCTTGCCCGATGTTCACAACGTCACGTCGAACAGGATTATCGTAGTTATATGCCGAACTTCCAGCACTCTTGACGACGGAGAAGGCGTGCTAAACAAAACATAGTAAGATATCGGTGAGTCATATAGAGGGAGCAAACTGACCCCGTGAAGATGGACAGGATGCTGAGAAATGACAATCATCAGTGATGTACACAACAGATAGTTTCTGATAGTACACACGTTTGTGCCTGCTCCTGCAACGCCAGGTAAGATGATTTCTACAGTGTCATTGGCGTTGATAGGGTAGATGCTCCCGGACGGCAAAAGATCCTGAGCACGTTGAGCGCCACTGAGGATCTGAAGAAGGACTGGTACGCCTGGGGCTTCCCACGAGGTACCGTTGACGGTGAAGTTGGCCGGAACGCTGGTATTAACATTACCATTCTGAGCAGTATTTGAGTATAATATCAGTGAAATTGAAGGCGGAGAGAGAGGCTCACGAAAAGAACGGTAAGGTCGTACGGACGATCGACGTTCCCTAGTCCTGGATTTCCAGGCGCTTGAGGGTTCTCCAGCGCCTTCAAGTATTGTTAGCAACAGCTTTTGCAGATGACTTGGTCACAGGTACACACGTGCAGGTCGGTCTCATTCAATTGCAGGAGGGAGACAGTTTCGTTCGTGACTGGCTCAATGCTTGGAGCTCCGGTGTAACGAAGAATGGCAGAATTGACACCATTTGCGAACGTTCCACTGGTGAGCCCGATATCGGGAGCAGCTCGAATCCCTGAGGAGCATGTTCAGTTAGTGGAAGCGATATGAGGAGATGACATTCACGAACTGTAGTTATCGACGTTCTGGCTTGCATTCAGCTATAGATGCGGGGAAGAGTCGCCATCAGACTTATTTTATTTTGTCGAACCGTACGCAGAGAAACACCTACGACGAAAGAGTATCGCTGGGCTGTCGTACAAGAGAAAATCAGCAAGAATTGAAAATGTATGCCACAGCGTTACGGATTTACCGGCGTAAATCGGGATCGAGTCAACCAGCACGGGCTCGACGTTGTTCCCATCCGCTTCGATGATAGTAAACTGATGTCCATCAATGCTGAAATTGAAGGCGGTGTCGCACGAGATTGATACCAAACGGAAGCGATAGCTATACCATCATGCCGAATGAGATGGGTATTGGCAGGGATGAAACAAGATATGAACTGACCGCCTTCCCTGGGTGACGCTAACAACCGCAAGGGCTAAGGAATCGTCTCCCAGTTGGCGACCGACGCCATTGATCAAGACAGTGGCAGGATTGCTGCATGTTGAGTGAGATACTGGCACCAAAGAAGGGAATAATATCACGTACGGAGCACCGGGAGGAGCGTCGTCTGATAGATAATGGTACCTGGTTTCGGAGCGAAGATCATAATTAGCTCTCTGCAGACAGAAGAGGATGGAGGTAGACGAACCAGTCGGCAAGAGTGATTATAGTGCTTGCTGCAAGACCAGTCGTGAGTTTTTACCTTAGGCATATTTATGGGAAACCTTACCATTGTCGATATCGTAGAGATTAGCATAGGGATCCTCGGGATCGTATATTACCATCGGTCCCCTGAGGCCATCACAGTACTGGTTCGAGAAGTGCGAGTGATACCAGAAGGTGCCCGCCTGTGGTAAAGAAAAAAAAACCATAAGCCAGTGAAATAATGCGTCAAAAGCACTGGGAAGTACCTGGTCATTGACCGTGAAATTATAAAGGAATGAATTGTCTGAGGAGATTGGCTAAAAATGGCCGATGATCAGATCATGGGTAGATGCAGAATTATGTGGGCAAAAGACCATACACATTGGGTCACGAATGCGACACCATCGTACGGGTTGGTTCTGTATTGTCTAATTCCATGCCAGTGCTGGAGAATGGGCCATGTATTGTCAGTTTCAGACTTGATGAGAAAGAAAATGTAAAACATACGATGGAAGTCTGAGTGTCCAGACCGGTCGTATCCGTCAGCTGGTCATTGACATTGATTTGGAAGATGTCTCCCTAAGAAGAGTCCAGACGGAAGGGTCAGCTGAGTTGCTGAAGAGGCACATTCTTTCAGAAATTGTGACGTACTTTGTTGCCGGATATGAGAGGTCCAGGGTGTGTCCCGTTGGCAAGAACGGTTCTACGAAAAGAGATGGTCAGAGCGAGGACGATGCACCGTCTAAATTTCACTCACTCGCGTTGAAAGCCGTCAGGAGAGATCTCAGAGTTGACAATATCCAGTTGTACACGTTGGACAGTGACAGCAGAGGAGCTCGTCACAAGAAAGCCGAGAACTAGAGAAAGACAGGTGGTGAGCTGCATCGTCGATGCAAACGAAGGGGTCAGAAGGAAAGGGGTTTGCGTCTTGACCGAGACTGATACTGAACGAGGCTCAGGATGGGAGGATTTATATACTCTTTCTCCCACAGCACGAGTCAATACGGATACCATACCTGTCCACTTGGTGTCCTAGATTCAGTGACGACGGAGTGAGTGTATCGCGCAAAGGCTATGGCCAGTGTGCGGCAATACTGCCTGAAGGAACTTCAGGCAGAGTAGCGTTTACTCTTGGAGTAATTCAACCGTATCGTCACATCTTGCGCGGTATTTCGGAGATCAGGCCCCGCCACATATTATGGCCAGTAAGCACATCAGTGGCACGACTTGACTTTCTAAGCAGCCGGGAAATGATGGTGACAGCTGTGAGTCGGGTTCAATCATTGCAACACTGAGATGAATGGAAACTGTAGTGCCAACTTGGGAGGAAGTCTCAATGGCTACCGCGACTCCCAAGACGGCTAGTTCTCATGAGTATAACCACGGTGGTACAAGTGCGCTATATGCAGTAGTGGAGGGACGCTCCTCGTTGCAATGTACCCGGTTTAGACCGAGTGGTAGACATACCGAACTCCTTATAGGCAGCGACGGGAGGGTACCCTATGTCAGGAGAGTCGATAGTGGCAGGATGCACGATAATGCATGTGCACTACGATGATGACCAAAGGCTGATCTGTTTACTCACGAGCGCTCCTACTTCCATAGGAGTTCGGTATGCACGATAGCACAGCGGTTTGCGGAGTCCACAAAGAAGACCGACTTCGTTAGGATGGATTGAGATGAACTGTCTGCTGTCTGAAAATGGCAAGCATGTGTCCATAAACAATGGCACAAGAGGGATCACGACAATGGGGAATAGCGCGCGCAAGAGAAGTCAAGGTCCAGTATCACTCCGATCAGCTGAAGGCCGAAACTACCATTGGGCATTGGGTGCGAGTGTCCATGGCTAACGAGTCATGGTAGTGAACGGCCACCAAAAGCTAGACGTACGCGATGACGTGTGAAGGATCAACGGCACCGACGTGTACCTCCCGCAGCATCATCGGGGACAGGCACCCAACCATTCGCGAAGTGTTGAACCTAAAATAACCAAACAACATAGCATGGAATTCATTGGAGCTGTTATGACCGCCAACATGCCAGGAGGTAAACGTAGCTGGGTGAATGGGTCAAGTACCTGAAGCGCGCCACCATCGATACCTGATTGACATCATTCAATAACCGCCCGCAAGTCCCCCAACCAGCACGAAAGCAGAAGTGGACCCCAGAATTTGAGATCAAGCCTGTAGAATGACATACCGTTGAAAATGGTAACGGCATACGCTTTGTCGGCTTCTAGGAAAGGTTGGTGGTTTTGAAAGGATATCATGATGAGGGTTCGCGATCCGTTCATACGCGTATATGTCTCGGACTATGACAACAATGCGACTTTCCCCGCAAGTCGAAGAGGGTGGACTTTCGACCGGTGGTTATTAGCCGGCCGAGCTGGAAGCGATGCTGGGTTTCTAGGAGGGCGGAATATGCAGGAGATGACAGCGTTACATCCTCTGGCTGCGGTGCACCGGCAGTAAAAAACCCATCAAAGACAGCCAGCGGACTGAATCGTGAGCACAGGTAAGTTGCGATGGACAGTATGCAAGGAATGTCGCACTGGTCGTGTCGGAGGTTGATACTGAATAAACCTTCCCTCCTTCCTTCCATGTGGGTGGATTGAGGTCTTCGGACTAAGCATCCTTCCGATTTCGATAGCGGGATTCAACCAACATCGAAGGTGACAAGATCGCTGTCAGTGTATACGTTTTGACACCTTTACGCAGACCCGAGCTTCGTGGACAGGAATAGCCAGCTCGCTGAGTTTGGACTGCGAGTTTTTTTTTAACATGGCTGGTAAGACGACATGATTAAATCAGATGCAAATGTCTCAAACAATAAAGATGAGATAAACCCGAACTTTCTATGATCGCGTCAATCTTCGTAGTAACAGCTTGAAACGTCATCCTTTTCGAGCAAGGATTTACTCTGAGAGGAATTGATGGTGAGTTTTCCCGAGTCGTGTGTCATTCTCAGCGTATCACTACGAAAGCTGTATATGTTAGTTCCTGCGTGACGAAAGGGAGATTGACGAGTTACATACCTGGGTCCTGCGGGGCACACCTCCACGCAGCGTACACCGATACAAGTCCCAACCTTACCTTCGGGGCAACCCGGTCCCACGCCACACCAGGTACGCCACCCATTTGGCCATTACGATCTTGTCGTGAATACAAGCGCACTTTTCCATAAAGTTAGGCGGTCTGATCAGATCCATGGATGATTTGAAGTCCACATCGGGCTCGTCACAGTGTACCGCGAGGTGTCCAGTCAGCGAATCAACAGACATCAGCCTCACTCATCCACCCACCCACCCATTGACCGTGATGGCGCCACGTCGCCTGACCGGTCTCAGTTCGTCTCTTATATAGCATAAGATCACTGCCAGCTCTTGATTACAACCCACATTAGCATGATCCCGCAGAACATAAATAACCCGCCACAAGTCCGAGAGACCTTGGCATCGCCCTGATACTGAGTTACAACCCTCGGAGACTCAGACGTTTTCTGTCCGATAAGGTCTCCTCAGTGCCTTCACTTCCATTACCTCCGCCGTTGCTGGTTGACTTTGCGGAAGGAATCTTGCCACGATCTTTTGACGAGCGAGACATAAGTTGCGGGTGACGAGGAATACGACGACACAGCCCGCTCCTATACCGACGATGTAGGCTGCGAGGAGGGCGCCTTGTTCGGAAGGATCGAGGAAGTCATATACTAAAAGGAACCATCAGGATCAGGAAGCACATTGGAAGGAGGGATTCCCCGAGGGAAATAACGGAGTCAAAAGGTACGACTGCGACTCGTGGGAGTGAACATACCGTAGAAACCTTGGGTCGCGAAGGTGATGTAGGCGACGCCGAGATAGAATGCTAAGAGAATGACGAGGAAGACGACGTGCAAGTAGGGCGTTGGCGGCATGTTCGTGAGGAAGATTTCGAATGCGGCAAGTGCGGTATTGAGTGCGTGAACGGAGATGTTTGTCCATGCTATTCCAGGACCGTTGTTAGCTTATGCATGTATGTTTCAAATGGATAAAACATACCATTGACTGTCCCAGAAAGGGTGGTCGAGGAGGTGAGCAGGCTCCAAAAGACAGCGGTAGTTATGATGGCTATGTGTGTGGCGTTAGAGGTTGCATTCCTCGTGACCAAGGGGGAGACGCACGGTATACAATTATTGTCGAAAAGAGTAGCATATGCAAAAACTGGAGAATGCGCGGCCACGTCTGTAAGGGGTATGCCCTATTCCCAGAACCAGCACGTATCCCAAAAATAAGTGTCTGGATGCCAGAGGCCCAAAACCAAGAGCATAGTCCGATATAGGAGAGATGGGTGAAGTACGAGAAGTAGCTAGACCGAACAAGAACCAAACGGGGACCATCAATCAGCATATGTAACCCGTAGATGAAAGACGAAAACGACGTACCTATCACCGGCTCCGTCTTCAGAGGCAAAAGCCACCGTTATACAAAGCGTAATGAGGGTATACAACGCGATCAATAACCTAAACCCGGCGAGGACGAGAGGAGAAAACAAGGGAGATGTGACAAGTTTGCATGCAGGATCGAAGTTTTCTGTAACGCCTAGCGCTCGCCATAGCCGGTATGTTCCTGTCAGAGGCGACATTGACGAGCTGAAGACCCCGACGAGCGGGGATGGATACGAATGTGGTGGTCTCGCGAGAGGAACTTGGACATGGGCAGTTTTATGAAGGCGCTTGGAAGGCGCAGCACATATGGAAGTGAGGTGGCTGTACGGCGATCTCGGAGCCGCTTTAACAGCTTTGACAGCGCTCCGATCAGGTGGCGAGAGAAAAAAGGGTTTTATTTATGATCATGGGTCATAGTCCCTTTTTCACCTTTTCCGCTCATATTATATCGTGCTCACACGACATGTATAAACATGTTTTGAGGGAGAGAGTTCGCGAGTCTCTACGGACTCAGCCAGCCAGCGTCGTCGGTTTGTAGAAGTGGCGCCACATTCAAGCCTAGCAAGTAATCCAGGAACGAAACCCCACAGGACTGAAAGAAATATTTTGAACCCCAGAAAGCTGAGTGCAGAACACGGATGCAGTTTCTTAAGCACTAAAAACGAAGCCCGCAATGCCTGTACTCCCCAATGTGATCGTCAGTACCCCATCTTCAACGACCGCATCCGCCTCTTCCCCACTCCCAAACACACTGTCAACTAACGTCAAATCTTTCTCTTCCAGCCCATCCTGCTTCACATCCACCTCCACTGTCGAGTTCTCGTATAAAAGACTTGTCATGAGCACAAGTACCGTCGTCTCGTTCCCTGAAGCGGGAACGATCCACCTCGCTATATCCACACTCGTCGTGTTCTCGTTCTCCGCCGTCAAGAGTGTCCGGGTCGCATTGGGGTCCAAAAGCAAAGCGACAATAGGCGAAGAGAGCGACGAAAAGATAGGGGCGATCTCGCGAGCCCCTTGAGCGATATCGGGCGTGTCGTAAGGGTTGTCCCAGGGCATGATGCCTACTGCACCGTGGTTTACGCCGAGGACGGACTGCATCTTGAATTCGGCGCCGGTGGGGATGCGTGTCCAGAATTCGCCGGTGCCGTCTATTTTGAGAATAGAACATTGTTAAGTTATGTCCATCCTTGTACTGGAAGGGGAGACGGAGAAGGAGGTGACTCAGAGAAGACATGACATACTGAATGCTTGGGGGACGTTCCAGATGGCTAGTTCGCGGGTGCGGCCGACGAATCGTCTGTATTCGGACCACAGGTCGATCTTGTTGGAGATGTCGGTGAGTTCGCCCGTACAATCATCGCAACTACATGGAGGCAGCTCGTTATCAGTCAAGCACCTTAGCAATAGGAGGAGTCAGAGACCTACCCGCAGCAGCCGTAGGTGAAGTTGCAGACTGTTCCATAACGGTCAGAGTAGCTCGTATTTACCGCAATCCTATAGTTTCACGAGTCTTCAATTAGTGACAATTATGAAGGAGGCGGGGGAGACGAACGGATAGACGTCTGCGAAGACGATATCGGCTCCCGAGGTGTAGTTCGTCCAGTAAAAGTCGAGGCAGTTCAACACTGCGTGAGACCATGGGTCAGCAGGTCACACTTGTATGAACTGTTGGATGAACGAACCAAGAGAAACAGGGTGATAACCATCCATTTCGTAGAACATATCGTAGGCAGCGGTCGTATAGTTCGATGGGTCAGCAGGACCATCAGGCCTGAGAATATTGATCAGCATGTCGAGGCAAGGCAAAAACAGCAGGCGATACCTACTCATCGTTGGTATACCATGTCAAGAAATTCTCCCTCGTACGGAAAATCTCAACATAAGCAGCCACGGCGGTCAAGTTCTCGTAGATATCGCGGAAGTCGGCGATATACATGATCTACAAGTATGACCCGAATGAGCGAATAGTAGCAGGTGAAACCCCAAATTAATTAAAGTGAACCTACACCAGCTGCATCTGCACGATCCAATACCGTCTCGACAATCGAGGTGTTGTCGTATCCCGGGACGAGATGAATCACGTTGAACCTAGTTGCGCCACAGCGGTCAACATCGTCACCCATCCTGTCACAAGAATTCGGGACAAGTAAGTATCCCAGACGAGACGACGTACCCATCTTCAGCCATAGCGTCGACAACACTCAGATTCGCGATAATATCACTGAACCCGGTATAAAACCCATACGGCAAGAAGGCCTTCCACTCTCCGCTCTCCTTATCAACCCTCAACATGGCGCCGCTTCTCCTGTCGATCTTAGTCGCCACAGAGGTAGTGTTCGTGGCGTCTGCGATGTATGGATTGGGAGGGAGGTTGTACACTTTGCTGGAGGCAGCGAAGGTTTGAGTTGCGTCCGAGTCGAGGACGGCAGAGCAGGAGATAGTGTAGGGAGAAGTAGACGGTGGGATAGATGAGAGAGGGAATGGGATGATGGTTCCGGTGCTACCGACTGGGACTGTTATGTTGGAGATGAGGGTGGTGGACGAGTTCGTGACTTGGATCATGACGTTCAGGACGTCCGAGGAGGAAGAAGAATCGTTCGAGGACGCAGTGAACGAAGTACCAACATCATACGTCACGTTCGCATCGATGATGAAGGAACCCTCGGTCTCACTGGAAAGAAGCGCGGAGTCAGTGTTTGGGCGAAATGAGAAACGTTTCAAAGCGTACTCGTGAAGGTATGGCTGTATGGCCGGCGAACACCTGAAATCCAACAGTGGGGTATCCGAAGTCGAAGGTACGGGAAACAAACCAGCATAAACCTCCTCAGAATCGGCAGGGCTGCCAACTTGGTACTATTTCGCAGAAAAAAGCCAATATTCGTCACTAGGCACAACGCACCAAAGCAAGATACGGACAACAACGAACTGCACAACGTACATGTTTCCCGCACCACCTAGCGAATGAATCATCCCTCTTCGCCAGCCTATCCATCTTATCCCTCTTCAAACTCGCCATCAACGACCTCGGTCGAGACATTGGCATGTCACTGACACTATACCCCAGACCGAGCTCAACATCAGATAGACCGTGGGCTCCAGCAACAGCAACAGCAGCGAACAGAATACATGCTCCAGGGAGCAAGCTCGAAGCCACCATCTTCATGGTCGTTAGCAGGGTGCGACGAAGTCGTTGCCAGAGAGAATGTGGTGATCTGTCCCACTAGCACCGTGACAAGGAACACGACCTTCCTTCCAAGCATGCTGAGCCCGCTCCACAAGCTTTATATAGTTCAATGCACGCAGCACACAGGAGCACAGGGGTAGACAACAGCATGACGAGCAACCGAAATTGTCAACATTGTTCGTCGAAGAAGCAGTGGAAGAAGTAGAAGACGCGCGATACACGAGGGCATGAGACGGAAGGACAGCCGCCCCCTCCGAGGCAGATACGAACAGATGTTCAGTTCTCTCAGAAACTGCACCTCTCCGGCCTCAATATTCGATGTTTTGCAATGGTCAGTATCAAGGCTGAATTGTTTGGGCGACGGTGATATCGAAGGAAAATCAAAGATAGCGGTATCGGGAAGAGAGAGCGTTTATCTCGAGGTATTTTTCGGTCTCGAGAACGTCGAGGGGGGCACTTGGTCACGGTTTACTTTCAAGGTCCGACCCCCAAGGAGTGTGAATCGCGAGGAGCCACAACTCTCGAAGATGTATGGACTGTCCAATAAACATATGTATGATTTTGTGCGACAGATCAAACGGAACACGAACGATATCGACATCGACATAATAGAGACGACCGGCCTCCACCAAGACAAGAGACAGGAATGCCAGACGACAGACGGACCGCGAAGCGAAGAACAACGAAAACATAAAACGAACATGAACAAACGAAAATGTCAAAAAATACGAACGATAAACAACGAATTGAAGACGGCAATAAGAAGGGGAAACGAGAGTGGTCATGACGGATTCATCGATATAATAAAAAGAGTAAAGGTTAAAATGGAAAATGGAAAACAAAAAAGGTCGGACTAGAGGTATTGCATGCATATTGAGTTGTAGCTATAGTTAGAGGAAGATAAGAGCGGTGGAGGATACGCAGAGACGTGAGTGGCCACACCAGATCAAGCTATGCGAGAGAATATGTATCGAGGCGACTAAAGAGAAGGTAAGTGAATCCAGTATCCAGATGATATAGAAGTATGAGCTATGAAAGACGATGGTTTACTCTGCCTTTACTCTCCAAAGGACCGCGGCTGCCGCCACACTTAGCACGATAACCCCCACGGCTGTCGAATACTGCATATTCTGTCGCGCCTGGGAGAAGATCGAAAATGGTATGAGGATTTTTAGGCACAAACCAGAAAAAGACGGGGAACGGACCAGTGAGTTCATGGGGACCATATCCTTGTCTGCCGGAGCAGGGCCTTGTAACCCATCTTCTTCTGTCCCCATCGTAGTCATCGAACCAGTCGATGACTTTCTGACTGAAGAATCAGGCGTGATGGGATACTTGCCCGCCCCTACCAATCCCTTCCTCTCCTTCTCACCGCCCTTACCACCGAACCGTCTATCCGCATCCTCATCTTCCGAGTCGTCGTGCATCCAAGGACTCCTCGTCCTCGATCCCTGCAGATGTCGGTGGATCGAGGAGGCCTTGTCGTCCGTTCCGTCGTTGAGCAACGTCGCGCCTTCAGAGCTGCTCGTGTATCCCTCCGCGTCAACATCCGCATCCGCGTCCCCAATCTTCTCCTTTTTCGAGCCCGCCGAGTTGGATCGAGGCCTGCCTCTCGACGCTGTCGAACGCTTTCTCCTAGATCTCTGCTTGCCTGAGTCGGAGGAGAGGCTACGCGGGCTAGGAGGGGTAACGAGTCCGACTTCTGGTCTGGCGTTGCCGTTCTGGCTCGCTTGCTGCTGCTGCTGAGCGAGCGAGGCGACCGCCTTCTCGACTTTATCCCCAACTCGCGTGACACCTGCTTCTACACCCACGACCCGCCTCTCCCACTCCTCCCTCGCCTTGTTCAACCTCTCTCGCTCTTCCCGCCACTCCTCCCTGACACCGCTCCATTGCCCCTCGACGCCCTTCTTCCACTCTTTGACCATCTCGCTCAACGACTTGCGCTCCTCCTCCCTCGTCTCTGTCACGGTAGCCTGCACCTCTGCCACCTGGGTTTGAGATGCCTGCACGAGCGACTCGAGCGAGGTGACCTTCGACTCGAGGAGTGAAATAGTGGTTTGAGCGGTAGCGTGGGAAACCTGAAGGGCGCGAGAAAGCTCCAAGGCCGACTCGAGCTGCGTAGAAAGGTGGTCGAGCCGATCGGTCATATCGTTCTCCCTCGCGTTCGACATCGCATGACGGTCGCGTTGTGGTGGCGATGGTGACCTCGATCCCCTCCCTCCATCGTACTCGTCGTCCATACGGATCCCCATCCCGGTGGGCTCTGGCGTCCTTGGTCTCGTCATGGACTCCTCACCCTCCCTCTGCTGCCGCCGCCGCTCCTCCTCTTCTTGCTCCGCCGCCAACTGCTCTTCGTCCTCCTCCTCGACTCGCTCGAGCTCGTGTGGCGTGACTGTCGAGATGCTCCGTGCGTCATCGTCATCGTCATGATGCCCGCCAACGAACTCTCCCTCTTCACCGTCGCCATCACCGTCATCGGCACGGACCGTGTTGGATCTCCGCCGCCCGCGGACCATCTCCAGTTCGCGCTTTTCGTCCTCCATCATTTCGCGGAGCGTGCTCACTTCACGCTTGATCGCCTCATGCTCCGCGAGCATGCCTTCCAGCGAGCGGATCTTGTCCATGTGAGTAGCGAGCGACATTTGAGTCTCTTGAAGTTGAGCTTGGAGCTCGGCAAGTGCGGATGAGGAAGAGGAAGCGTTGACATTATGGCCGTTCGGGTGGGCATCGGTGGCCTGTGGCGGAGAAGGCTGTGGTGGCATGACAGGCGGGAGGGACTGTGGGTATGGGGGAAGCTGAGGCTGTCGACCGACGATATCAGCAATGGCTGCGGCCAATATCCAACACGAAACTTACCAAGTTGCCACCAAGCGTCTCATGGATGTCACTCATCGCGCCCGTCAGAGAATGGAGCTCCGCACCAGTCTCGCGCGTCTTTTGGAGCTCGCCCTGGAGACGATTCAGGATATGGTCGAATGTGAGGCCACTCTTTCCCGGCGGTCGCATGTTGCCGCCCATGCCACCCATCCCGGCGAGGGCTTGCTGCTGCATCGCTGGTCGTCGTTGAGATTGTCCAGGGCCTGGACCTTGCGAGCCTGCAAAGTTGAATGCGCTGCCGCTACCATTAGGTTGGGAAGAGAGATTAGCGAGTGGTGGGTTTTGATGCTGTTCGGCGCGCGCGGCGGATTGGGCGTCTTGTTCGGTGAAGACACAGACGACGCGGGCGGCGACTTTGTGGTGGATAATGGTCTTGTTGTCTTCCCCGACGATGTCAATACCGAATTCCTAGTGGTCACACGTTATGAGTACTTGATGCAACCATAAAAATAAAGCACAGAACAAAAATAACAGCAAGTTCCATGACGCATTATTTCCAGCATCAATGCATCTGTGAGTATCGCGGCCTAGACACAGCGGAGGTAGCCTTGACGTTGGCTTTGCTTCCAGACTAGATCCGATGTCATTGACCCCACGGGTCCGTCTTCGTACTTCTAGTCGTGCACGCTGACCGGTCTCGATCAGTTGGTCTGTGCGCCCGAAGAGCACCAAATGAATCCGGGGCCAAAGACTGGCGAGTAGTTCGCGCCTACTCTCTGCAGAGGCTTTGAACGGATCTCAGATGGAAAACTGGGGTGCAAGACGTGACGAAGAGAACGATGCAAACGCGTGTGCGATGTGGTCAACGGTCGAGGCCGAGTGACTCGGAGATGCACGTTTGTGAACAAAAAGAAACAAAAGCTCAGATGAGGTCTTTCTGATACAAGCGAGGGGCAGAGAAGCTGAGGGTCCTCGAATAGTACTTGTCACGTCGAGTACGCATGATGGAGCCTCGGGTGCTGGATGGTACGCCAGCGATGGAGCGAGCAATGCTAAGACGAGGAAGCTTGCCGAAAGATGATCTCAGACTGGATGAATGAGGGAAAAAGAAGGATCGTAGTGCTGGGTTTGCTGCTCGCCCCTGTCGAAAAGTCCGCGAGGAAATAGAGTCGGAATAGCGAGAAACTATCGCTGTTGACGACTACACCCGCACCCATTGCTCTCGAAAGGGCCGAGGATCTCGCGAAGACGACTGCAGTGCATTAACCTTTCCCGCAAGCCGGTTGCTCTCTCCCCGCTGGCGGTGCTGAAACGTTCGGTATGCGGGGAGCATGACGAAGGCTCAGACATGATAAACCCGACATGTTGTGGTGTAGCAAGTCGAACGCCACATTTTGTGGGAGGAGCCGCGATTACGCCGCATGAAGTTCGCATATATCCACCCCCACAATTGCACTGGAGCCTGAGAAACGATATTGAATAATAAGCACTCACGACAATGTCATCCGTCTTGAGCTCGAAGGGATCCGACTCTGCGCCTTCAGGACTGAGCCGCTCGCCGTTGATGAAGGTGCCGTTCGAGCTCTTCACGTCCTTGATGTAAATCTGCCGTAACACATGCACCGTTGAGGACTACTCGTGACACGAAGCGACAACGCGCAACAGAAAAAACGTAGGCCGACGTACTTTTCCATTCTCCTCCCAGACCTCCGCGTGCTGTCTACTGAGCACCTTCGAGTCGAAGAAACCATTTCTCTCTCCCGGCGCGGTCTTGACGTTCGTCTGGCGCCCAATCTTGACTCGGGGACCCTGTGGGAGATGGATGTGTTTTGGGAGGAAAGAGTCATTGAGGGGATAGAGGTAAAGAGCGGGTAGTGGTTGCTGCATCTGGTTTGGAGCATAGGGCGCGGGCATGCTGGCGGCGCCGTCGTTGAGGGGGTCGTCGTCGTCGTTGGCGGCGGTGAGGAAGGGGTGTTGGCGGTCGAGGTCGAACTGTCCGTTCATGCCAAATTCGGGCATGCGTCAGGTGGCGCGTTAACCCTAACCCCGTGCCTTGCGCCTGCAGGCTCGCGGCAAATATACAATTTCTTCAAGTTAGATGCTCGTTCGCTAAGACATTGAACTCATCAACATCAATCCTAGTCTTTCTGTCCATTCTTTCAACATTCGAACACTAGGGAGATCTGCGGCGACAAATACGGTCGACTCGTGTCGCTTCGTCACCACGACGTGCCACCAACAGCCTCGAGGCCCCGGACACCAAAGGGGAAAGACAGCCATGCAGTCACCGGCTTCTACTATGTTTTCCTTTGTATCCTTATCAACTTCACATATTCAGAGCCGTACTTGTGCTATGCATGTGTTATACGCTATAGACATGACGTGCGCAGGAATCCCGTCTTGGGTCCGTAGAGCAACTCGGACGATCCCTGTCCAATATCGCCACTCCGGTTCGCACGTCTTGAGCAATTCCTAAACATCATCATGGGCAAGACGCGATAACACATACATCTCCCGTATACGCACCTTGCCAAACGAGAGCGAGAAGATGAGCAGTCTCTAACATTTCTTCTGCAGCTCCTCCCAGGTGCCCAGGTTACAACAATACGGCAACTTTGACCATGCCGATTTCTGCATACTCACTCGCCTGCGATCCAAACTCCGCGCGCAGTTAGCACATAGGTCGTCGTTTCTGTATGAATCTTCCTGAGTTGAAAAGAAACATTCGCCTAGTATCAGCAAGGGGTTCTGCATGAGAACATCTTGCATCGATAGACTCCTCGGGTATCCATTTCGGCAGCGAGCGACCACGCAGTCGAAAGATGGCCTATTTTGCAAGGCTGTGGTGGCCGCCGTAACCGACCAGCGTTCTTGGAATGTGGCCAGAGCGTCATGTGCAGTCTCAGACAGCTTGATAGGCATGCCTATGCCTTCGACCTTAATCCCGTGGAGAAGTTCTGTAGGCCTGATGATTGAGCAGAGGTAGTACGCGACGGGGACGATGACCGGGACATCGCACTCGAGACCAAGGTGAACACCCGTAATGCCGTTGAAGTCGACTGGAAGAATGGTTAGGCGGTCTATGGAGAGGAAGTCGTCGAGCGTGGACGGGTAGAGGACTTTGAGATGAGCGATGACGGATTGTCGAAGGGACGGGAAAACGTATTTCGTAGACATGCGAAGAAGACTGGCAAGCTCGTCAAGGGTAAGTGTTTTTACATCCTTGGCGAAGCTGACAGTGATAGACCGTACGATCAGAGTCCGTACGGATCAGCGAAAGAAATAAGTCAATAAATAAGCCTCTTACTCTCGGTCCACGATATACATCAAAAGTCGCCGAATGTCCGTTGGTGCGTCATGCATAAAGATCACAGGACATCCTTGGTACATCTCGTCTCCTGTCTGCGACGCGTCACAGACCGAAAACATGTCCCGGAAGACCTCGCATCGCTGTGAGAGAAGGCCCTTGTATATTCGAAACCCGGTTCGATGAGCGCCGGCCTCGCAGACCAGGACGACGTTGCCGTCATCTAACCAGACGTCCTTGTCTTTCTCAAAGCTCGCGGAGCCTGAGGAACCTCCTGTTCGCGACGAACCGGGAGTCTCGTTTTCGCGGCGGCGCTTGAGTGGAGGTTCATTCATATTCGACTCCATAGGGAAGAACAGCCTATTTGACATGGTTAGAAATGTGCTATTTGAGTAACTCCTCGAAACAAGGATCACATATACGAGCTACCTTTGTGGAGGTATGACAGAACCGTATATTTGAGAGTCCGACAAAGATGCAATTATATACCGGAAATTGCCGTAAAATTTGGCCGTCCGACAAGTCTGTTCAACTCCGCTCTATCCAGTGTCACTCTTCTCTAATCACCGCACTCCAAACCCTTTCACCGTTCATGTCTTCTTCTGCCTCTCAAATCCCGCTAGTACCAGAGAAACGTGTATTCCCTCCATTGTACAAGTCTTCGGGAAACAAGTCCGAGGACAGACTAGCGTTCTTTCATATTTTAGAGAAGCTAAAGGTGGGTCGCGTTCCGATCTTTTCCGTACTTTATGTCGTGCCCGCCAAAGTCTACGCGTATTGACGTACAATGTCGATATGGTGGTACATCGTTGAGTAGACGCAGAAGAGGACCGGATGGGTTGATCAAGGCGTAAGCCATCCAAAGCTCTTTCAAGAATCTGGTGCGGCGATCTGATCCGAATTGGACGTCGTGGCCTTTAGATCCCAAATGCTGAGAGGTTGGTTCATCCCACTTGTCAGTCTGGAGAACGGTGAAGATGACCATTCTTTCTATGCCTCCTTTTTGCGCATTTCCGGCCAAAGTATCTCAGACCACATGTACAGAATGGCCGTCTTAGCGATGTGTTCTTCCGACACGAAGCTGGACATCGCCAGGTGGGGACCTGTTTTTCTTCCGGACTACTTCCATCCATGCTTGCTCCTGTTGATCTTTTCTTTTGAACAGATGTGTTATGCTTGCGGTCGTACACGATCTCGCCGAAGCTCAAGGTATGCCCAACGGTCCATAGCCTCGTAGATATACCTGCTGCTCATGGATGCACTCTAGTGGGTGATATCGCCCCTCGCGAAGGAATTCCAAAGGCGGAGAAACGTCGCCTGGAAGCGGTATATTACTCGACACTGGCTTTGAAGTGTGTTTAGCTGCTGATGCCTAATGCCCATAGGAAGCGATGCATAATTTCGTCACAGAAATGTTGCACAATAGCCCAGCTGCTCAAAGAATAGAAGCGCTCTGGCAAGTACGTATATATGTCGTTATTTGATTTTCATTGAAGCTTGAAGTCTTACATGTTCCTGTTCCGTGCAGGAATATGAAGACCAGGAGACGGACGAGGCTAAGTTCGTCAAAGGTCAGTTTCTCGTCGTTCGTCCCAGCGTTATTGTGCCGGCCCGCGTAATTTTTCTGACACGCCTTCCCCCGTGCGGACCCCTAGATCTCGATCGATTCGAGATGGCCTCCCAAGGTACTCTTGTCCGCCTCTATCTATGTTTATGTCATATTCAGTCTCCTACTGTTGCTTTCGTTAGCTCTCGAATACGAGCGCGCTCACGGCAACGATCTTCAAGGGTTTTTCGATAGCAGTCTGCCTAATTTGAAGCATCCGGAAGTCCAGGAATGGGGAGCAGACTTGATAAAGGAGAGGGATGCATCGCAGAAATCACCTTGAGTGTTATGGCCAGACGTCGGGTGAGTCAATGTAGCGACGGCTCATTTTATCTGCTTTCCTGTCCTCATGCTATTTGAACTCTCCCAGCAGTAATACGTAACTTGAACGCGACCAATTTACATGACAGCAGAAATCAAGCCAGGTCATGATCGATTGATCGATTGGTGACGGACTCTTATTCGCTACTCAACCACCCACAGGAAATAATCGTACACTCAGCACAGCGAACCCACACTCACACCTAGGCAATCCCCTTTTTGCTTACCTCACGTCTTCGCCTCGTACGGGAACGTCTCGATCCAATGTTTCGCTATTTCTTCCCTCGTCGCGAACCAAACCCCTCCTTTTTCCTTCACATACTCCAAGAACTTTCTCAGACCTGCGATCCGACCCGGCCTCCCGATGATACGACCGTGCAGGCCTATAGAGAGCATCTTCGCCTGTCCTGCAACGCCTTCACGATAGAGTTCGTCAAACGCGGCAATGAGATAGTCAGAAAAATCGTTTGGAGATATGAAGGCATCGTGCCGCGTGTTCTGTCAGGAATACAAGGTTATGTTTAGCTCTACGCATGCTTGAATGGAAGTGGATGAAAGGTGAGTGGCTCACCCTGAAGTCGTTAGTGTCCAGTGCATAGGGGACGATGAGCAGGCCTTGGTCCTTCTCGCCACCTGGGTATGGGATCCTTCATAATATGGCATGGGTTTGGCATGGATAGTGGTCACTCGACATTGGTACGGGACAGCTCACCAGTACGGAAGGTCATCTCCGTAATAGTCTGAATAGTAAAGCAAGGGAATATTTTCCTCCTTGAAGACTCTAGCGATCAAACTTCTGGATCTAGCGTCGTTCTTCGTGAAGGCTTTCCCATAGTACCAGCCCCTGGGTGGTGTACCAGAGGGTGATGTGCTGCTAATCGCTGTATGTATCGCAGCCTCAGTCACTTGAAAGGAGATAATATATATGAAGCGCACCATTGATTGCTTTCCTGGCATATTCGGCCTCTTCTTCGATGGTCCATGAGGTCCTATCAACCCAGCGATAACCGTGGCTAGCCAACTCGTGTCCGTCCTGTTCGAGAGCGATGGCTACTTCCGGGTGACGCTCAAGAGCCTGTCCCACAGCGTAGCTTGTGCAGTGAACGTTGTATTCCTTGACTTCATATTTCATCAGCCGTCTTTGCGCACGACATCGTTAGACGGGATGAGACTCACACAGACGAAGAACGCGCCACACCCCAGCCCTTGACCCGTACTCATAGAGACTATCAAGACATCTGCATCAGCGGCTGCGGTACAGACAGATAATATATGACCTGCGGAATATATCATCACACCTTTCCGTGTTGACGTCCCTCGCTCCTCTCATAGGCACCATCCCCGGACCTTTTTCACTACCGCTCATTTCTGTTACACCGTCTTCACCGCCTGTCACCTCAGATCCCTCCTCATAATTGAGTACTATGCTGATCGCTATCTTCGCGCCGTTTGGCCATTTAGGGTCTGGGGTGTGCTGTCCGTAGCCTTTCAAGTCGCGAGGACCGTATTCAGCGGCAAGGTTATCGGCTGTGGTAGACATGGTGGGAGAGATACTGATGATAGGGGCCATGCGCGTTGCGTTTAAAAGCAAGTGTTATCTTTGTGGGCCTCTGTGAGAGCAGGCTATTATGAGGATAGTTATCAGTGCCGAGTCATAGCGTGACCGTCAAAACAGTGCCGTGAGACTTTGGGGAACCATCGAAGTCGGAGGTGGCTCTCCGTTTCGATAGGTGGGCTCAATTATGTCTTCTACTTGATATGTGATTTGTGCTCGGATGCATGCTGAGCATTGAAGGCAAGTTGAACCAAGTATCGTGGAATAGCAAACTGAGTTGAGTTCAGTATACTGGTAACTCCCTTGGCGGGTTCTTGGCATGGGGGTGATTCAACCTCGCATATATACAGCGTCTGGCTTGAGCCTGACTCTTTCATTCACGCGATTGATATGGCTGAATCCGGTGTTTAGTACGTGCCCCCAGTTAAGAGCGGTTGTGCAAGCCTTGCAATACTGACAGGGGGATAATTATGAGTTCGCCTCCTTTTTACAGGTGAGTGCTGCCGCTTTGTCCCACCACTGGCTTTCCCATATCTTCATTCCCACTAGCAGCGCGTATATTTCCCGTTCCACTGGCCGGTTTGCTAAGTAAAACACTAGCTCAACGGCTCTGAAACTACTCCCGCTTCACGAAAACGGATTCCCAGGATCTACAAAATCATTGACCTCAGACAATACTGGCATTCCTCTTGTTATGTCCAAGTTCCCACTCGGAGTTACCCTTCAAATCAGTCTCTGGCATATCGACCATCTCGTGCCTTTCCACGGTGACGGACACCCCTGGAGCTTGTCTCTCGTTCTAATGTGAATAAGGTGCGATCGTCAAGATAACCTCCATAGATCATAGAGGTGCAACCTCTCAAGTGCACAGGATGTGGACGTTAATAAGTCACTCACTCTGCCCGAAGGATTACTACCAGCAAGTAGCTTAGCGGCTGGTGACTTGAAGGATGCGATCGGCTCCTGAACGGTGCTTTCAGTCGGACATAGAGCCCGTCATCAGTTTAAATGTGGCGCATAGTGCGATGTGGTGCATGGAACACACGTTTGCCTCTGGTTCAACGTTGCCAACGCCCTGAGGAGCACATGAATTAACTATGTGCCACGCAAAGACGCCAGAGTAAAATACACATACGAATTTGTGTACAGCTTCGCAAGCGGCATGTTGAACATAAAGCTACTGATGACGATGCAAGCTAATTATGATATGGCCACGGAGGACGTAGGAAGTATATCTCACAGTCCACTGGGCTGAAGTTTTGAGAATCGAGCAGTAAACGTTAGTTTTCTGTCCGAATAGATGCAGTATTAAGTGCTCACCGAAGCCTCGAAGGCAATAACTATCCAAACTTTTATCAGCTACTGGTCTTAACATGAGATGTGTTGCGACGTACTGTCAGCCAAGTTGACCAGTGTTGTGATCAATCCGTTTGAGATGGTCCTGGATACGAGTGTTAGAGTTGATAGCAATAGCGAAAGTCATGAAAAAAATATTACATTCTGACCACACGATTGAGTGGGTCTGATTGCTGCGTGAAGTTGGCCGAGTGACGACGGAGATGCCATGTTATGACAATGGTAATACCAATATCCGCGACAGCCCCACCCGCTAGCCACAACACAAGAATGAAAGTGCCTTTTGGGAAGAGGGTCCACTCCTTCAGTATTCCGGCCGCAATGGCAGACTAAAACATAAGGGTTTTAGCAGACGGAAAATTAATATGTATGATGAAGACTTGCTCCGACTCCTCCGACTATCGAGGAGTAAAGCGAGTTAGTGTGGGGCCAGGTGGAGAAAGCCACGATACTTACGACCACAGCAGATAGTTGCAATCCCGATGGCTCCAACGATGAGCTTGCTTTTCGTTAATATCTAATCCAGACGCGCCAATACCGTTGAGATTGCTAAGACTCGCAGCCTACAAACTTGCTCACCCAAATTCGCCAGCAGAAAAAGCCCTAGGAAAACCGATCTTAACTCGAATTGCAGACGAGGCCCTGTCATTTTGATTCAAAGACTAACCTGCACTAAAGCAGCGATAATGCCAGTTATCGCAGGATCCGTACTAAGAAAAAAATATCATGAGCTCCGGTTTTCCAAATCAGTGGAGACATTTGTACAGGAATACTACACCAGGAATCGGTCTTGAGTGAGTTTATCTCGAGATGACTGCATGTATTACTTACGCCAGTTTGCAACGAGGAGTGCGTCCTCGTTGCCCTGCGCGACCACAATGTGAGCCGATGTCTCAGGCAAGACCAAGCACGACTTCCTACCCAATTATTGACAAGCACGTCATAAATCCTATCAAAAAAGAGTCAGTTCTCAGACGACATGATTAGAAGCTGTGAGCAGCGCTCATACCACCACATGTCAAAAATTGAGTTGGCTAATGCTGTGGTCAGAAGGTTGCCAGATTAGCGGACTGAAGGACCTACCAGTGTCAGCGACGAGTAGCAATGCGACCTGAGTGCAGAGATGAGCTATGGCAAGTGTAATCAATTGCATAGTACGTGCAAATAACTTGAGGCTCAATTTATCTCTACCAACGCAGGTTCAGTCAAGGAGCATATAGTTAAGAGCGTGTCTAACATGGTTGGAAAACGCACTGAGGGTAACGAGTGTAGTAGTAGAAGACCTAGGACACGGTAGGTATCAGCATAGCTCGGTCGAGTTTGCGCTCGTGTGTTGCACCTGAACGATCATGGCACCATAAAGAATCTACGTGGCATATTGATGGGTCAAATTCCGGGGAATTTGTAAAGACAGGCGATGACTGACTAGATTGAGGAAAATTCTAAATGTTCGGACGATGAGCTTCATGGTTTCTGATGTGAGTCTGGCTGTAATGTGGCCTACCCAATGAACGCAGGTCCATGACTAACCGCAGAGCGTCGTGTACGATCTAATGTCAGGGACACCGTAGTACTGATATAATAGACGCACTTACATGACGGATGCTGGAGATACCGCCATATTGATGGATGATATGACGCGGAGCTGGAAGCGAGGTGCAGAGGGATATGCCACTGCACCTCTACCCAGCCATACTTATACTGGCTCGTCATACTGAGACGAAGTTTGTGAAGATGTACGCAATGTTTCAGTGGCGCCAGAGTAACGGCAAAAGCCCATGAAAAAATACGCGAAGCAGACTTGATGGTCTTCCCAAGTGATTGCACGAGCTGCTATTCAATGGTAACGAGACGGGACATAACCATCACAAGAAGGTCCATGGGCAGCGCCATCGGGCACGCACTCTCGAAACACAATTTCAGGCCCGGGACAGCTCTATGATCACCGCGAGGGGTGAAAGCCAATGCGGAGTCATCGAGCGCCGAGTCCGTGACACCCGGTCCTTCGAAGCTACTCCAGTCCCGTATCCAGGTACTCAGAAGAAGAACATATGCACAGGTATCGACTAGTGGGTGCAAATCATCATAAAGGGTGGACTTCACGTCGATGGTGTTACGCCAATGTTACGCCACACTCGCTTCTACGCCGGTGCCTGTGAGAGATGCAAACAACGTTAGGTTTACGGTTACGACGAAAGCGAGTTTAGTATAACAGCATGCTAGAGGAGGAAGGGGAAGGGGGGAAAGGCTAGAGTCTTACGGCCATTGTAGGCCCAAGCCTTTCGGAGAGGCTGGGGATGCCTTCGAAGGGATGGCGGTGACGGTACACTGATAACGTTATAGTCGCGGCTAAAAGCCAGGATATCATGAGAAAGAAGTCAAACCTTCTGGAGGGAGTCTGAGCAACAGTGCAGTAAGTAACTCATCTCGAACCCAGCTGTTAAAGGGTGCTCGCTTGGTCCCTGCAGAAGTTGCTGGGCTCAGGGACCCGAGAGTAAGGCCGAGTTACGGTGGCTGAGAGTGAGCGGAGAGTGAGCGGAGCAGGAAAGCCACGCGCGTAACATAAGCGAAGTTGGTACCCATCTCTCTTCTCTCTGCCTTGCTCCGAAACGGTAGAATTCATCATTACTCTGTAGTACTCTGCTCCCTGATCACAATCTCTTCTGATGACAACCACCAAACGCAGTCACGGCAGGGTCATAGCCGGATGCCAGGAATCTCACCGAGAAACACAACGTACACGGTGCTAGTGTGGGAAGTTGGTGGGAAGAAGGTATTCCTCCCGCTTCCACCTCGGAGTCCGCACCTCCATGCTGGCCATCAATCGCCTGGATCAGCTGATAGAGGTATGGACTTGATTTTCACTTTGGCCCCGGAGTCCTAGATCCACCCATATGGAGGTCTTGCTCTTGGTGCGTAGAACAGTTTCTGGGTTGTGTCTTGTTTCAGGCAGACGCTTGGCGAGTTCATCCTATACACCAGTTTTCTTTCCACTGCATTGTTGCCACCGACGCGAGGTAGTCGGTGGTATTTGACTCTGCGTCGATGAGCCTGGCGGCCTGCTCATCGGCTGATTAGCATCGCCTGTGGTCACCATCAGAACACTCTCGTACCGTACGGTTCCATCCAGGAGGACCGGGCTGCTTTCTTTTGTCTTTTTACCAGGCGCAGCCGCCCCTTGGAATCTCGTAACAAAATCACCTGTTGAAAGCTCCTTCCTCGGGAGTATTTTAATGCGGGACTTCGATGGTGTACGATAGAGTTCTCGTATTCAGCGCTCAATATCTATTAGTGATCGATATACTCACGGGATGAGTAACCTGTTGTCTCCTGTCCAGGGTGCTTGGACTCGCTGTGGACTGAAATTACTTGGTGAATTACTTCCCGTCAATGTCAGTGTGCTGACCAGGCGCACTTCCTGAATGAGAATGCTGAACTTCGGTTGATAGTCGACGTGACCTCGTCTGAGCTCTGCATCTGAAAAGACGCTCAACCCCCCTTCCCAGACGAGAACCGCGTTCTCAGCTCAACTCTTCTGACTCCTGACACTTTCGCGAACTTGCACACTTCTTTCACATTCACACCTTGTCTGATCCGAGCATTCTACGACTAAATTGTATGCTGTTGCCCCCTCGCGCAGTCTGAAGCCTCTTCCAGACTGCACTCTGGCATCTAGTTTTCTGGAATCCGCACAAACGTCATGCAGTATCTTTATTCTAGCCAAATCTCACCGTGGTATATCAGACTCACCTTCTCATGTGGTATTGCAGTGGCATTGAGTCGGCTTCTTGACGTATCATATCAGTTGACTTGGACCTTCCATGGCGCTTCACCCGGACCCGAGCTCTGGCGACCCGTGTGCACATTCGGCGCTCCCGCAGTGTGGTGCTCTGTTTCTGGGTCCCGACCACAAGTCATAAATAAAACACCTCCATAGCAACATTACTCACTATCCTGCAATCCCTCATCAACCATGTCTTTTGACGCAATCAAGATCGCCGAAACTTGGCTCAGCAAGTTCTCTCGTAGCGTCCAGGACGCCGACTTACCAGCCCTCGTCTCTACCTTTCTTTCCAATGGCTGGCTCCGGGACAACCTCATCTTTACCTGGGATACCCGCTCGCTTTGTGGACCTGAAGCGATCACTGCATATCTTTCCACCACCCTCTCGAAGGCACAGCTCTCAAACTTCAATATCGTCGATGCGCCATATCTGAGCCCCACCTACGGTCCTCTCACTTTCGCCACTGTCGGGGTGTCGTTTGCCTTTACCTTCGATACTCCTATCGCCCATGGCCGTGGATACGCTAGATTGCTCCAGCACAACGACGAGTGGCAAGCTCTGTCAGTGTTCACCAAGATGTCCGACTTGAAGGGGCACGAGGAGCAGGGCGCAGAGCTTGGCTCATGGGGCAATCATACGTTGTCATTCGAGTCTGTCATGCGCGAGAGGAGAGCACAGATCGAAAGTGAACCTTGCGCTCTAATTGGTACGCCCTTTTCTTTGATGATTCCGCTCCCCTCTATTTACTAACATGATCTCCAGTTGGGGCTGGTCAGACTGGTTTGATGGCCGCTGCTCGCTTCAAACAGATGGGCATCCGGACGATAGTCATAGAGAAAAACGCGCGCGTTGGGGACAACTGGCGCGAGCGGTACCCAACCTTGACCCTTCATACGCCTAAAACGCATCATGCTTGTGAGTGTTATTATTTTACGGTTCATTTGTGTCCTATTCTCATAGTGATTTTGGCGACTAGTTTTGTATCATACATGTAAGTCGCTCAACCACTCTGTCTTATTGGAATATCACTGACCGTCTCGTAGTCCCAAGTACATGGCCGACTTATACACCACGAGATAAACTCAGGTGAGTATGCGGCCTCACTGAATTCGATATTAAGTTATGTAACTTACACTCGATTTAAATAGTGATTTCTTGGAATTTTACGCGACTGCTCAGGAGCTCGTCGTCTGGACGAACTCTACTCTCCTGCCTGGCCCGACTTACGATACCAAGACAAAGAAGTGGTTTATTATCATAGACCGGCATGGTACTGAAGTTCGTATCAACCCTTCCCACATCGTCCTGGCCGCTGGTGCTGTGGGCCCTCCCCACATCCCCAATGTCCCGTCTATCGACTCTTTCGCCGGAGATGTCCTTCACGCATCCAAATTTCGCGGGGCAGCTCCATACAAGGGGAAGCGTGTTGTTGTCATCGGCGCAGGCAACTCCTCCGCGGACATCTGCCAGGACTGTTGCTTCGAGGGCGCATCGTCTATCACCATGGTCCAAAGGTCATCTACGACGATCATGAAGAATGAGGCTATCTTAGACTTGATCATGGTCTCATTTCCGGAGGGCGTACCGACAGATGTCTTGGATTTTAAAGACTCGTCTATACCGTGGGGTTTACGCAGGGAAATGCTTCTTGAAATCAAAGGGGCTATCGCTGAGGCTCACCGGGAGATGCACGACGGCCTCAGAAGTCGGGGGTTAGACGTTAACTTGAGCGACGGTACTGGAACGTTTCTCCAATTCCATTCTAAGTATGGAGGTAAGCTATTTTTATCGCCTCGTGAAGTTCACTACTGACGCCCATCCGCCCAGGATATTGTATGTTTTCTGCCTTGGATATCCCTCTTTTATGGTACTGATGAGCGATATCTAGGGCAAGATGTAGGAACTGCGCAGCTTATTATCGACGGCAAGGTCGGCGTTAAGCATGGTGTCGAGGTCTCGCGGTGCACAGAGAAGACCGTCGTTTTCTCCGACGGGTCCGAGCTTGAGGCCGACGTCCTGATATTTGCGTCGGTGCTATCCCTCTCCGTTCCACCCCTACAAACCTGCTGACTTTATGGCATGATCATCAGAACCGGATACCAATCGTCTCTAGAAGCCTACAAGAAAATCTTCGACCCAGACTTGATCTCACAGACGCCTCACCTATGGGGTTTCGATGACGAAATGGAAGTCCGCGGCGTCTGGCGTGCCACTTCGCATCCCGGGGTGCGTTGTACTCAGTCGTCTCACTTCCCATGCAATAACTGACACTCTTTTATTAAGCTGTGGTATGCTGGAGGTGATTTTGGCATCTGTCGGACTGGCTCGAAGAATCTGGTAAGGAGTCGTCGGCGACACTCGTGAACACATGCTGATCAGCTGGCTTTCAGGCGCTTCTCATAAAGGCGACCGAGCTCGGGCTCAAATAAATGTATAAGACTCTGTGTAGACGCCATTTTGACGCTACGTGGCTTGTTTTAGACTGGTCGCACAAACTTATTCAATCTCCTATAAGCAGGGGCTAGGATCTCGAGAAAATCACCCCTCATGCCTGAGCGTGTGTAACACGCAGGACCTTTCGGGATGGGTCTGAAGGTGGGTCTTTATTCTCGACTCTGCGCGGCTCGCTCAAGATAAGAGTTCGACTTCCTTCGTAAGTAACTTTACGGACCCCGCGTCCTCGGCTACTCCATCTCTATGTCATCAGAAATCAGTCACTACAAGTGACGATGTGGCTTATATCGGCGTTTTTTTCCGCGAACTCTCAGGCCCCTAACAGACGGCATCCTCTCTTGCATGTCACCTCTAGTCGACCAAAACAACCACGTATGTATATGCAAAGCCGATTGTGCATTCTGTAACTTCTGGGTTTGTAAGGCGCCCTCTCGTCTTTTCCGAACTTCTTGCTCTTTACAAAATTGGCTTCTCGGGAAAATTGCACAAAGACAACATTGCTGCAAATCTTGCGTTCAGACGGCGTGATGGTTCAGTGCTTTACTCAAGACGATCCGGGGGACCTCATTATTATAAATGGATGATGGCGCTGGTTTGAAGACCTTCTCCGCCCGCGGTGGCACTGACCTACCACCCAGCTGGCGCAACCGTGTGCAGTGAGTCGCTGACCCTGACGGCGACATCGAAAAGGTTCAGCGCTCAGAGTCATCTGTATATCTCCTTCCGTGGACGTCATATGATGTGGTGTGGTCAAAAACTCCCGTAGGGTAGAAACGGCTACTATCGATTTTCTCCAGACGCGTGTCTTCTTGGTGGACTAGGGCACTGCTCCCTCATTTTGTTTTACGTTCAGAACTCATGTAAACTGGCGTAGGAAATAGGGACATTCTTCTGGGGTTTCAAAATCGCGAATCGTCGAAGGAAAAGGGCAGCGTAGATGAGAAAAAAGCTGGGATCATCGGTAGGGACAAAAAGTACGCTTGAATGCTCAATTTACCTTCCAATTGTATGCTGATTTTGACGCCATCGTTTTCTAGGCTTGGCCCTTCGTTCGAAAAGAAGTGGGCCCGTATCTTGGGGGGCTGTATGCAATATACTACGGCGCAACAACCTCCTACGCTTTGCAACCTTTGGCGAATGAAGACAGAAAAAAGAGAAACGTACCCGGCGGTACGCTGCGGAAGGAAGGTACTTGACGCAAAGACCACCTGGCCTCCTGACTTCTCAACTTCTTCTGGCATCCACGGTCGACCCTACGGCTTCTCGCCGGTTAAGTATCAAACCAATCTCGACTGTCGAGATATTGACAATTGCAAAGATCCTCGCTTCCTCTTCCGGGGATACAGGTTTAGGCATTATAAAAGTCTCAGACCCCCTTGCTTCGAGTTCTGACCGTTCCCGGCACAAGGAGCGTTTTTCGCAGCATCACAAGTCCACCTTTCTTTTTCACTCTCAGTTGAAGACTCCTGCCATCATGACCGTCACAAGGGACCCAAGCTATGCGCTGTATGGAACAGAGGCAAGGGCTTGAACTGTGGTGAATCCGCTCTTGTACTCTGACACCATCATTCTATCTTTATGAAGGACTACACCTCGGAGTTTGGCAGGTGTGCCCTGTAACGCGTTGCCCATGAAAGTGCCCTTTTGCTCATGTAACCCAGGTTAGATGCCCAACATAATGGAGTCGCTGAATACATGGGCCCTCACATCACGGAGGCGCCTATCGGCTCTCCACAAAGGATACTTGAGGTCGGGTGAGTAGGCCGATATGCCTGTTTTGGGATACTTACGGTATAGTAACTTGCTCGTCTTCAATGCAGCTCCGGGTCCGGGGCATGGTAAGACATGTTTATCACAGTTGCACTCAGGCTGTGGCAGTACCGACAATCTCAACAGGGCCATACAGGCCGCAACGCAGTTCCCGAAGGCAGAGGTTGTGGCGATTGATATAGTTCCTCTGCCAGACCGGTGAGCAGATTTCCTTTCCATACTACCCCCGTACAGGAGATACCATCGGCCTCCTTTTTCTCTTACCACGGCTTTGACAGACCAATGCCAGCCAATATCACGTATCAAAAGGTTAACATTGTTGACCATATCCCATTCGATTCCGAAACTTTCGACGTCGTCCACACGCGCTTTGTTCTTCTTCATGTATGTCTACACACTAGCACCACTTCGCACGTCACAGAGGCGCTGATGTAAATTGCGATGTTACTCAGCTACCGCATGCCCACGCGATCATACCTCGCCTCATTGAACTCGTCAAACCGGGAGGTTACCTTCTCATCGAGGACGTTGACTTAACCGGGGACTACAGTGGCTTTGGTCCGGGAATGCGACGCTGCATGACCTCCGCGTTTTTAGGATACATGCGCTCTCAAGGCCAGGATCCAGCGTTTGGCTCACACATTTGGGGATGTCTGAAGAAATCGAGCGCCTTCGATAAGATTCAGATGGATCACGCCATGGTGCCTTTGAATCCAGCTCATGACGACCGTAAGTTTCATTTGTTCCTCATGTCCGAGCCCCTGTGTCACTTGCTTACGCGTTTCGCCGGACCATGCTTGGAAAACTGTGAACATTGATTTGTTCGTTCATAGAGAGCGCGCTCGCGAATCTTGGACGAACCATGAAGGTCGGGCTTACAGGAAGTCTAACGAACGTACCGAGCACGGCAGCATTCGCCGCGGTACACACTCCAGAGATCCAGCAGGGCTGGATGGATGAGGTGAACGACTCGGATTGGGAGTATGCTTTTGGATTCTATGCAGTTTGGGCCCGAAAATGCTCTAGGGCGAAGAGTCGTTCCTGATGTATCTTTTGTTCTTAGCAAGTTCTTAGTGTATTTTTAGTGTTATCACCTACACGGCGTATGATGTCGCTAATCACTTGTGACACACGCACCCATCTGTGGACTCGGATGTCCCGGAGATTGTATAGGCGTAGTGGCAAGGCCCTCCTAGATGAAGATTTGAGCTATATGTATGGAAAAGAGCCCGCGAGTCGGAAGTTATTTCATGATGAAATCAATCCCCAAAACGAGCAGGTCATATTCTTGCTGGATGATATTAGTAACGGCATTCAGAAACCAAAGGCGTACATTGTGATCAGAACATCCTCAAAGTGGACTTTTCAATAACCATCGTTGCACGATGTAGAGGTGCTGTCTCATCGTTTGTGCCTTTGTTTTCCCGACAGTAATTACGGGATATGGATCGGCGAGATACAGCCTAGCGATGAGGATTAAGAGAGGCTAAGATAGAAATGACGGTGCGTATCCTAATCTCCGACGTTTATGACATTGACCAAACGTATGTTGTGCGTTGAATTGCTTACACACTGAGCAGAAGACTTGGCAAAGCGAAAGTATATTACATCTGGCTATTATCGTCATACGCGAGGTGACATAGATGTGCCTCAGGAATATTGGAAAGAGAGACGGCCCACGTAGATTAGTCCTGATATATTTCGATAGTCGGCCGATACCCATACCACCTCGCGCCATCGTGAATGCAGAATTGGGACATGTCATATCATTCAGACTGGTCATTCAATGGCAGTCTGCTAAAGATACCTTTAATGGCATCGCATTGCCTTTATCCATCCCTCCTGCCATTGTGGGCAGCGTTACTCCTCGCTCTTCACCGGTCCTCCGCGCGCAGTCCGTCGTGTCGAAAGTCAAGTGCGTGATCAACTCGAACAAGAAAGTCTGCATCTCGGTGACACTACATGCCCATATTTGTTATGATGTTTGGTGGAAGGTCAGGAAAAATTGTGGATATAATGGATGCTTTGGAGTAGTTGGCTGAATAACGCACGCAAATCGCCACCCAAGACAAGCACGATGGCCAGTCCCAAACGACATCCTACAACAAGACAAGTCGTAATATCAATAGACAGGAGTGTGTATTTCAGTTGCAAATTTGCTCACAAATTGCCAAATACCCCAACGTTCGCGTCAACAGAGGCAGCGTTGAAGGTTCCGTCCAACCACCTCTCTGGCCTCCAAACGTCTGCATCCTCACCCCATATGTCTTTGTTGCTAAAATGCCAACGGTAGCTGTGAATATATTTCCTAGCAGCAGGCAATATGGCAACGAAAACAATCCTCATACTTACAAATTATACGCCACATCGGAGATAATGATCCGAAGACCTTTTCGTATTGGGATCTCCTTCATGACTTTCCCCGACGTGGCACTTATAGGCTTTGATAATGGTAAGACGTCGTCCTGGGTGGCTTTACGAGATAGGTGGGGTACGACAGTATCAAAACGGAGAGTCTCCTGAATGACTCATCCAGTCAATGCGCTCTCTACAGAAATTGGTAACAACATACCTTGATCACAGCGTTGAAATACGGCAACTCATCCATCTCGGTCGTTGTAACCTCACGACCCTCAGAGCGTGCATCCGCACGTGCCCTCTGCAATTCCTCACGAAGTTTACCCTGCTCCATAGAGTGTTTCGCAAGCTCACAGAGAATATAAACGAGGGACTTGGTAATCGTCTCATAGCCAGCACCTAAGATTGTGCTATGAGAGGTTTGAGTTAGTTGTTTAGAGCAAAAGAAATCATCAGGAAGACTGACGCTACTTGGGGGAGAAGCTCCTCGTCCGTCAGACGTAGCTTCTCGTTTTCCATTGCGTTCGCCCTGACTTCTCCCCACAGAAGGATTAGATTAGAACCACAGACGAAGCAAAGGGGTAACTTGCCGATTAAGCTCAAAATATCTCTCCCAACCCTTCCTTCCTCCAATGCCGCCGCCTTTGATTTGAGGAGCTTCCTCGCCACCTCATTTGACACCTCAACATGATTCTTTAGAGACCTTAGCCTGTTTGAACGAAGGTACGCTATAATATCAAGAAATTGAGCAGGAATATGCGTCATCACGCCTTGAACGAATATTTTGCTGTCAGACTGTGGTCCGAGTCCTCCTGTCCTAAATTGTAGGATACAGCAGTCAGCGCCATACTTTGGACTAAAGGCCTAAGAAAATTGATGCAAACGATGAAAAAGAAACGTACGTGAAGTGGTGCAACGAGTCTGCCAACTCATTATCCTTTCGATGTAGAGCGCCAAAATCATATTCAAAGGCGGCCTTTCCGAGGGAATCGAGTGTGGCGCGGCCAAGGATGGTTGACATGTCAATGGTTTTGGAACCCTGATTCAGCAACAAGGAATCGCGAAGCAGCTGTACCAACTAGCGAAGCGTAAACCAATCAGATAAGGCAAGATGCGGAGGAGCGACTTCGTACACTCTGCGCACTGGCTTTGAAAATTGGCATGAGAGCCTGGCTCTCAGGACTGCCAAAAGCAACTAAAAGAATGCGGCGTTGACAATGGTGGTCCGCTCCTATGAGTGTTAGGCCAGTTAATCATTTTATGTGGAATCAGGAAAGACAGGTCATAGCATTACCTTCGGCACCATGGACACCCTTCCCAGTAGCCATGTTGGGCAAGAAGCGCGTACCATATGGCTTCACGAAGCGATATCTAGAAGTCTGTAAAATGTACTGGATTGCCTTTGGATCCGAAATGAGAAGGCAATCCTCCTGTTCGTATGAGAGGTCAGAGGACGCCAAACCTAAAGGCATGGGTGCAAGAGGATCGGGTAGACCTACTGCTAGAGGCGCCTTGAAGCGAACGATACCTCCAAATTGATCCTGCCACTTCTTATCAAACTCGACAGCTTGTTCGCCCATTAATTGTCGCAGATTCCCTGGCGAATAATTAGAATATTGGGGAGACGTTTACTATAGGTGATGGACATGACGCTTACCAAGCCAGAATGATTCTGGGCCAGGTCCGGGGATGTCAGCGATCGAGATAGCAGTGAAGCGCAGGTAGACCCATCGCAATAGCAAGGCACCGATGGAGAAGCCTACAATACGTGACGGAGAGAGTGGAATGCCCAGGAGATCCAAAAGTGAGAAAGCCATAGCGAGCAAAGGTCTGGGTAGGTGAAGGCTGAGAGCAATCACTTGAGGTGCGAAACGAAACTAAACTTCGCTTACTGTCGAGTGGGTGCTCTATTAGTATGTACAACGAACCCCTGTCAGATGAGCGCCGAACAACACCTACCTAAAGGCATGATCTGAGGTTTATTCTGCCTCAGAACGTACTCTCCGGTCTTGCTTGACCCCCAGTCGGACATTACATCCCACACAAGCTTCCAAGGGATTCAGGATCGATGATCAAGGCTCTAAAATCGGGAAAGAAGTGTGTGATGAGCCCCATTGAACCGCTGCAAATGACTGAGATACAAAACATCATGGCAGAGACAAGGATAGCAAGGGTGCCAAGGATGTGGAAGCCCGGTCATTTGACTTAGCGAACATACGAAGACACAGCCGAAAATCGGAGGTACGTCCTTCCATATGCTTCTATGGCCACAGTATTCACACGTCGCCCGGTTGAGCCTCTATTCATGCAAACATGAATCTCACCCGAACTTTCTCGAGATTCTTCCCGCAGTCTGCTAGAGCTCCTCGGCCAGTTCGACCTGCGCATCATGTCTCGCGTCTACGATTTCCCCGAATAGTACCAACCACTTGCCTTGATATACTTCCAGATTCGCTTCTACCTTTCGAGAATGGGCTCCTCAGGCATGAGTGTATCCGTCTTACGCTCTGAGGGCGAGACAGGTAAAGAACAGTTTGCTGTTGCCCTGTCAATCGGGTTCGTGCGAGAATAACTGATATAGATGCTGTATTGAGAACAAACAGGCTAGAAGACTTCCCGCTTGATAAGACATTGCCTGTGTGGGGGCTGCTAAATTGCGACATCGTGGAATGAGCACCCATTGACGGTTTGCACAGGGCAATTAGAAAGAATCTCTACCGGTAATCGAGCGACATGCGGATACGACGTACGCTGACTATACGGCAAACATCAGAGCACGAAAGCCTGTCCAATTTCATCGTGAGGAAACTCGCCATTCGCGCGAAGATACTTAAAGAGGCTTATGTGAGTAGTAGAAAGTTCAGTGTCACAGTAAAGAAGGAGTGTCATGGGAGTGACGTACTTAATGGACATGCTGTACGACATGCTGCCCTTTATCTGCCCAAACCCCTTCGTCCCAATCTACAGAAATAGAACGATCAGTTATGAGTAGGAAGCATAACCAAATACGCTTCACAGCACTGTTGACTAGTACTAGTATATGCCGAAGGGAACGCATGGATTCGAGACGTGCCCGCTTCGATCTCGAAGCTCAACGCCACACTAGACCTCTGCTCTCTCCACGGCACCACTAGAGGTTATGCGCAGAGGAAAGAAGCATACGAGCCGACCGTATATCTCGGAGAAATTGAACGCGTGGAGCGATTAGTAGTATCCGACTCCAGATTTGATCATGATCAAGTGCAGAACAGGTCTGCGATAGTGAGGCTCTTCGACATCCACCCGGCTGTCCGCGTTCAACGTTTAGCGCCTACGGCACACTTTTCTGGGCCTTTCCCCGACGCACCCTCCATAGTGACTAGACGCGAACTTCGAGATTGAGCGAACGCCGCCAATAAGTAACTTATTCAGAACCGGATCGATGGGGCTTCAAGCTTCAAGGCTCCAAAGAATATTTGAATCTGCAGGCAAGAGAAGGGCAAGCGATGAGCAAGAACAGAGCAGTGTGCACAGGAACTCGAGGAAGACGGTCCTCAAGCTGACGACTGGTTCGGCAATCCTAGGAACGCTAGGAGTCGACGCGCTGCACCTACTACAGGCCCTCGCGATCGCAGTAAGAGTGGTGGTGGTGGTGGTGGTAGTGGGAGTGGATTTGGACAGGGACCAGCACCAGCACCTACAAAGAAGATGACATTCGGCAACTTTGGCCAGAAACAAGCGGATTCATTTTCTCCAAGCTTCAAGCCGTGGACTCGGACGCGACTCAGTATGGGAGGACGGTCTAGGAATTCGAAGCAGGCAAGCCTGGCAGAGGGGCTGCAGGAACTCCAGATGTAACGGTTAACCAAGCGCAGAACAGCCTAGAGATCTGAGTGAGCTGAGCAGGATGCCACGGTCGTAGGTCGTAGCTTCACAAGACGATTGAATGGATGGGTGTTGTGTTTTATGCTTGTCAACTCTTTGTTAACTTCAACTTGCGAAAGTCCGAGTCCGGCAAAATCCGGGGGTCTAGGTGGGTGGCGGTGGCGTAGTGCCTTCCGAGTTCTTCCACCATCCAACCACTCCTTCAACAAACTGAGGACAGCGATAATTTCTTCGAAGTTCCAGTTTCGCGATCCTACCCCCTACAACCCCCAACGATTCCACCCACAGGGACTTGCGCACACAACGGTCAACCTAACAAACGATCATGCCTACACTAGTACTGGCATGGGACAAATCGTCCACCCCAAGCTCAAGCCGCAAACCAAAATCAGTGATTCGAACTTCTAATTCTAATTTTCTCATTCCATCCCCTTAAATACTCAAAACCGACACATAAAGAGAAAAGGCGGGGGATAGGTATGAAGTTATGAACTACGGAGCAGATATGACATACGTACATAAGACAGAGGCGGACGCGAGAGAGCATAGCATAAGCTTAAGAGGGATCCGAACGAGGACGAGGATTGTGTGGGGCGAAGGTGAAGGGATGAAGGGATGAGGGGATGAATGGTAGTTGTGTATGTATGCAGGTAGGTAGGTAGGTGAATGCATTCTAAATGTAAAGCGACCGGGACCGAAGACGGGCAGACATGGAACGAAGGAAGATGG